AGTCTGCATCTGATGCAAGTGCGTCGTACGCAGGTTCTGCAGCAAGTAGTAAGTAATTGCTTGTCCCGTACATGGTGTTCACAATGCCAAGAAAAAGTGTCTGGCTTAGTGGTGTTTCTAGGTCGGTGGTGCTTTACGTTATACTAATTATTAATAGTTATAAGAGCTATAACTGTACAGAATTCTAGCAATACTGCAAGGATTACAAGATTATAGCTCTATATATGCCTACGCACTTATTACACCTCCTGCAGCCACTTAACATAGGTTGTTTTAGCCCTCTAAAGAAGGTGTACAGGGATAAGGTTAATAAGCTTATGCGTAACTAGATTAACTATATTATAAAGTAGGAGTTCCTGTTATGCTTTAAAGCAGCTTAAAAGAAAGCTGTAACCCCTAGTAATATCTAGGGAGGGTTCTAAGGGGCTAGATTAGTCCCTTTTAACCTAGAAAGGGTTATATTAACCCTTATTATAAAGCTGCGCACTCTATTACTACTACTCCCTATAAATAATAAGCCCTAGCAGTTACAAACCCTAAGCAATACCCTAGAATTTAAGTTATAATTAACTCTAATTTAAGATAAATATAACAGGGAGCAGGGTAGCTTACCTACTTCTATTTTAAGCATAATTAAGCACTATGTAAAGGGGGGAGCTATCCTGTTGTATAAGCTTACGCTTACACAAAAATAAATCTATAAGCTTAAAGTAGCTACTAAGGGTACTAAATAACATAAATTATATAAAAGAAAGTATATTTAAGCTAAGGGAAGCCTCATAGTTAAAGAGGGCTAGTAGTTAACTACTCTAAAGGAGTTTAGAGCGCATAGTAATAGAAAGAGGGGAAAGAAGCTAGTGCGTGCTAAAGGAGGTGAACCCTCCTAACAACACTATAGACAGTGTAGAGAGGGTAGACACAACTAGGCTGGCGGATGGGTAGGGTATGCTTTTTTACGTTTTGGCTTATAGCTTCTTAACTAGCAGAGATACGCTTACATAATCTATTATTTAATAGAAGCGCCTAGTATTGCGCCTTCTAATAAAAAAAGAATTAGCTTATTCTGCCTAGTATTAGCTAAGTTATTAACACTACCTAGCAAAGTATACCTATTAATAGGTATGCTCGCTAGGTACCCCCCCTTTTTTAACCTTTTCTAGCCTCTAGCTTGTGCAGTTTAATAGTTATAACAAAACCCTCTACTACAGAAATGTAGAGGTAGTTTTTCTCTTTCTTTTAAGCCCTATTTCGCTAGAATCCATGTATTATTGACAAAGTTTTGGGGGGTACCCACGAAGGACGTTGGAGTATACCCATTCCGCCAGCCTAGACACAACACGCAAATATGTAAGAATAATATTAAAGAGATCTCTAAGTAATATTATAGCTTGTTTTACCTTGTGCAGCGCTAGTTTATAGTGTTTTCGGTTATAATAGGGTTTAATAGGGGAGGGTATTAGCAAAAGTGGGCGACTCGCCCTACGCCTACGTTAGTCTGTGCTTAGATAGTTCGAAAAATTTGAACAGGAGAGCAGCAGTCTTGCAGCGCGAGGCAACCAGGCGCCTAGAGGCTCTAGGAATTTCAGGGGAGTATATCCCAGTTGGGTTGAGATGGACGCAGGCAAGAAGAGAGATACCTGGAATGTGCTTATTCGGAGTGTTGTGTTGAACGCTGCGTTGAGCGTCTTGTTGACAACTTCCAACGTTCCGCCCGTCTGATTGAGGTTGATCTTCAGGTTGCTGGGTGAGTACTTAGGCCAGTCATTGAGGCCAAGAAATGCGTCGAGGACACTCGTCACAGAGGCATTGCCAGTCTTGATGAAGTTGCCCCAATTCCTTTGCACGGCGCGAACATACTATCGATTGTAGTTCGGCAAAGGCCAGCCCTCTTCGGCTGCGTTGCCTGTGAGATAGTTACAGCCGTTGAGTTTGCCGGCATTGAGAGCTTGGCTGGGAGTTGATTGAATGAAGCTGCCGTCTGTGACAGGCTCCAAGGCCCAGGTTCCTTATCGTCCCAATGCAGAAGTCGTCTTTCCCCTACAACTTCCTGATGGTCCAAATCACTCGTTTCAATGACTGATACAACATGAGGTACAACGTGGGCGTCCTGCACGGCTTCCGCGTGACCTTAAATGGCCTAGGAAGCAGTCTCCTTGTTGCGATCATGACTATGCCATCTATTTGTGATAGGTATCCGCATGTACGAGGTGATGTGGTCTTGTTCCAGATTGATGGCGTTAGAGGGAGAGAGGGTGGATTGGACCCTGGATAGACACGCAGTCGATGACGTAGCTGGAGATCCACTCAGGAGATGCTAGTTTCATGGACGGTCCCTGAAGATCTGCGGTCGTCTGGGGAAGTAATCACACGTTCTTCGTCGCATTCTTACAGCATCCTGCGCCCTGTCCTCTTCTCTCCTTTGTCTGCTCTCCTACATGTGCACATACATTTCTTCACACTCGCTCATCTTCCGTCTCTCTTCGCACGCGGCTTGAACTCGTCGCGTGCATTTAATCCTGGTACTTCAACGACGGAGCCCCTAATTGTAACAAAGTAAACAGCTTCGCGATGCCAGTCAACACGCTTTCGGTGGGCGCTGCCGTCACGCCGATTGTAATCGAGACGTACATACTCCACTACCTGAACCGCGGTCCTTTGCGTCAAAAGCCTACTGCGCACATCTCGTACCACGAAGGACTCGAGCTCATCCGGCGGTTTCTGCACTATGCATCACTTCACCCAGTCGACGAGCTGCAGGCTTTCACGGCGCAATGGGTGCCAGTGCCCCACTGGGTGCACGACTACAGGGTCGAGATACCGCAAGGGCAGCTGGCACGCTCTGCGCAATACATCAATGCGCAGCTGGGCCCCAAAGGCATCAAGGCTGTAGGTGGGCCGACATGGTGGCAGTGGAGGCGTCAAGGGACAAAGCTGGAGGCTGAATGGATCGAGATGAAGAAGGATCGCGACGCCCGGGAAAAGTCGAGCATGCCGAAGGGGCAGCGCATCATGCTCTACGTCCATGGGGGCGCATACTTCTTCGGCAGCGTAGACGAGCACCGTTACCAGATGCAAAGACACGCGCGCAAACTCCAAGCTCGTGTGCTGGCCCCACGATACAGGCTTGCGCCTCAATTCCCCTTCCCGTGCGGCCTCATGGACTGTCTGGCAGCATATTTGCACTTACTTGCGGAGGGCCATGATCCGAACACCATCGTCCTAGCTGGCGACTCCGCAGGTGGTGGTATGGTGCTCAGTATGCTCGTGACTCTGCGCGACCAGGGAGTGCCGCTGCCAGCAGGTGCCATTCTGATTAGTCCTTGGGTGGACCTTACGCACAGCTTTCCAAGCCTGAGTGGAGATGGTAAGATGGACTACATCCCGGCCCACGGCTTCTTGCACAAGCCAAGCATAAGCTGGCGTAAGTGCACCGTCCATATTGCTGATAATATGCTGATCACAGTAGCGCCCCCAAACGCCGATGATCTCATGGCACTCGAGAACAATACCACTCAAGGCGGATACCAGAAGCGCAAATCATCGCCGCAAGTCTCGCTCTCTGGCAAAGACAAGGAAGATTGTGTGGCGCAGAAGGAAGCAAAGGCTGAGCGTGTGCGAGGCTATTCGGTCACCACAGAGAAGCCAGACCTAGACGACATCCTCAATTCGGATTCAGACACTTGGGTCTCACCGGATGGTAAGTACGGGGTAGGTCCAAAGGGCATCCTGTCGATACAGCTTGGAGAAGAGCGGATCGAGATCAAAGACCAGATCCAGTTGTACACCGCGAACCATCTCCTGACCCACCCTCTGGTCTCACCTGCTCTGCAGCCTTCGCTTGGCGGGCTGCCACCTCTGCTCATTCAGACCGGTGGAGGTGAGCTGCTCCGCGACGAACAAATCTACCTCGCGCACAAGGCCGCGCGCCCGGAAGCCTACCAGCCACCTCCTTCGAACAACCAAACAGCGGAGGAGATTGAGGCGCAAGCATTGAGATACAAGCCAACGAACGTTCAGCTTCAGGTCTGGGATGATCTGTGCCATGTTGCTCCGACGCTCAGTTTCACGCGACCAGCAAAGCACATGTACCGCAGTATCGCGCAGTTTGGTGCCTGGGCATTGGCAAGGGCTCAGGAGACATACATCGATATTCTCGATGACGACGATATCTCCTTTGTTAGTACCGATTCGGAGTCTGCGGATAACGAAAAGACGTCAAAGAAGTACAAGAAGTCTGATGCCCCGACCGAGGCTCACATGGGTACTGACGGAATCATTGGCCAAGACAACCATGAAGCGCGCGTTGGCAAGGCTGGCGATTCTCTGCCTGCATTCGATAATCACATGATCCGGCAACGTGTTGACCGGCACGGCTACATATACGCCCTCGCCCCCAAAGAGGAATTGGTAGCTCTGAGCCTTCCAGTCTCTGAGGTCGGTGTGCCAAAGCCAGGGCCGGTTAAGAAGTGGATGAAGGCTTCGCAACAGTGGAATGGTAAGTTCGCAAAGCAGAAGGTTAAGGTCCAGCAGCAGCGCATGAAAGAGATGAAAGCTGGATTTGAAAGGTTCGAAGGCGAGACCCCGCCGCCGACTGCTCTGGCTGGTAGGAGAATCAAGGACATGAGGAAGGAAAAGGCAGCGAAGAAGTCTTGGGGAATGGCGCTTTGGTCGCTGTGGGGTAGCAAGCACGACGAGTCGACCGTGAGTGATCTTGCAAATCAGAGGTCGTGCAAATGCTAACTCTTTGCAGATTGATCGCGAACAGAAAGCCGACCAAACGGCGCCGCCGCCTTCGAAGGCAATCGTCGCGGACCCTGAACTTGATGGAGCAGTAGATGGCACAGATCGCAGTCGGGATGCCGGTCTCGCGCCCGTCAAACCTTCACGCATACGTTCACGCATGCGTTCACGATCCAGACACTCGAACGTCACCGATCGCGGTCAGATCAACAAATCGGAAGATGATTTTGAGAAGCTGTCAAGAGGATTCTCCAGAATTGCACCTCCATCTTTTGGCTTGGCAGAAGCTACGGTCATCGCACCTGAACGCTCCCATTCGGAACTTCCCCCTCAAATCATCACACCTGTCGAAACGCCTGGATTCGAAAAGCCAGGTGTCATCGTCTCTGACGAACCTACTTCGCCACCAACAATTGTCCCTGGAACAGATGGCACAAGCACACGTCCATCAAAAGGTGGTGTTGCATACCCCTTCTCTCTGAAGGTCGATGGCCAGGGTCACCGCGCCAATGCTAGTACAGTCACACTTCAAAGTTTGCAGCTTGTGACACCTCTAGCAGTCAAAGAACATAAGCAGCTCTTCGATGACATTGTCTTGACACCAGCAGCCGTGCACGAGTCGAAGCAGCTTGGTGTCGCTCTTGCCACACCACACATTGCAGCAGATCCGATCCTTCCATCGAACAAGCAGTATTTCGACGCCCCTGGGGCTGGTCTTTTTAGCGGCCAGTGGCAGCCAGCGATCCCAGCTACAGAAGCAGGAACGCCTACATTGGAGAGATCTGGGGTTGAGAGATTCGAAACAGCGCAAAAAGACTTGAGCACGCTCGCCAACGCCGATAAGAAGCCGTCGTTCCAATTTTGATACCCCTTTCGTTCGGAAATTTTGCCGAGTAACACAGCCTTTGAATATTGCATACTAGACATAGAGTGGTTAGAGCCGGATACAATGGAGAGAATCGCGGATTTACAATTTGGAATGCTTGCCAACGTCAACAGCCCCGCCTTTCAGGTGCTCGCATCATAGACAGCTTACCGCAGCTTCAATTCTCTGAGAACACATTGTAAGAGCTAGGAACCTCTGTCAGTGTGCCTCAGTACACATCAGAGTTCCAATTGGCCCCACATTTTCGTCCCTCAATTTTACGCAATGTCCGTCTTTCGCGCAAACTCACGCGCCCTGATCACAGGCGGCGCATCCGGTATTGGCTATGCGGTCGCCGAACTATGCCTGAAAGCGTCCATGAAAGTCACTGTCGTCGACTTCAACCAGGAAACCCTCGACTACGCAAAGAAAAGTCTCAAAGGCGATATCGAGTGCGTGAAGTCAGATGTCAGCGACCTCGATGCATGGAAAAGCCTGAAGGAGAAGGTTGGCGATGTGGATTTCCTGATGCTGAACGCTGGACGCATGGATAGGGGAAGCTGGGGCGAGAGCGATTATTTCAACCGGGTGCGCTCTCCCTGCCACAGGTCGGTCCAGGACCTGCTGCTGACTGATAAGTAGATCCTCAATACCAACCTCTACGGCGTGGTCAACGGCTTGAACACCTACGTTTCCTCTTTCCAGTCCCGCTCTTCCAGCACACCCAGCGCAATTGTCATCACAGGCAGTAAGCAGGGCATCACGAATCCGCCCGGTAACGCAGCGTATAACGCAAGCAAGGCTGCTGTTAAGGCACTAGCTGAGCACCTCTCCTTTGACTTGAAAGACACGAACACCAACGTGCACCTACTTGTCCCAGGTTGGACTTACACCAGCCTAGTAAGCCCTAGCTTCCTCTCACATCCAAATCGCTAATCAGTTCCATCCAGACCGGCAAACCGCCTGGCCAAGAATCCAAGAAACCCAACGGCGCGTGGTCGCCCGATCAAGTGACAGATTTCATGGTGAAGAAGATGGAGCAGAACAAATTCTATATCATCTGCCCAGACAACGACGTCAGCGAGGAGACGGACAAGAAGAGAATGCTCTGGACCATGGGCGATATTGTGAATGGAAGACCGCCGCTGACGAGGTGGAGGCCGGAATTCAAGGAGGAGGCGGAGGATTGGATGGCGAAACAAAAGATTTAACTGAGACGAGAAGTTTGAAATGGAGTGTTGTTCGTTGATGAACGGATACCTCTGTGCAATGATGGAAGGGGGTATCATGCAAGGCAAACGCCAAAAATGCAGACATGCAAATCTCAAGGAGGCTCAATCCGAGTCATAGCCTACTAACGCTGGGAGACCTTGTGCTGACGGCGTCGCACTTTCTGTCGAGTCTGGCGTCGGTGACAAAGTCTGTAGTATAGGCGCAGCTGCCAGTTCAGCGTCACGCTTCCTCTTCAACAGACCAAAGCTCGGTCTTGTCTTCGAGATGGCTTCTTTGGAAGCGAACGGATCGATTACAGCGCGCGTGTTGCCCACAAGCTTCTGTCGTAAGTCGACTCGGCTCTCCTCCGCGGCTCTCTCAGCCTTCAGCTTCTTCAATTTCGGCTTTGCGCTGGGCTTGTCCGTGCCATCAGCATGCTGCTCTGCAAAGAGCGGTTTCCAGGCCTTAGTTGCGTCCTTGACACTGCCAAATTCGACCAGTCCAACCTTCTGTCGGTCTGCGTCGGTCTCGTCGAGGATCTCCAGACCCAAACTGAACTTGTCCTGTATGCCCTCTCTACGTTCATCTTCTTTCTTGCTTATTCTCCTCTTGTCTCGCATTTCCTTCCTGAGCCTGGCATTGACATCGTAGGGATCCCTCCACACCTCTGCCTTCTCGTACAGCTCTTCTACCCTCTCCTTGTGATGTTTATCCTTCGCCTTATCCTCTAGTTTTCCCTCCAATCCCGCGAACGCATCCTCCCTCCTCCTCTCCTTCTCTGCCTCACTCAAGAACTTTAACTTGCCATCCTGCTCCTCACCATCCTCAGGCCCATAATCCCTCCTCCTACAACCCTCAGCGCAGACATATTGCGTCGTCTTGGGATCGGTGCGTATCTCCCACTCGCCGCCACACGCCGTGTGTTTCATCTTGAAGCTCCATATCGGCGTGCTGTAGTAGTTGCCGGCTTTCTTCTTGGCTGCGTTGAAGCGCACGCCCTGCCCAACGATGGCTTCGGGCTTGCAGTGCTGACACCATACGGCGAAGGGCAGCTCGAAGCGCACGGTAAGGATGCCTTGCGAGATTTTGTTTGCGCGCGCGCCGAGCGGATGCGATTTGTTGAAGGAGGGCGCGTCGGAGGCGTCGGGTGGGTAGTACCGTCCCATGTTGAAGCCCTGCATGGCGGCGGTCGGGTGCGCGGCGCGCGGTTCTGGTTCGAAGAAGTGGTAGGCTGCGGCAGTTGCGAAATGGTAGGCGTGAGGGCGCCAAGGATAGCTGCGCACTCTACCGGTACACGTGCGGAGCGTCGGTGGAATTGACCCTGAGGAAGTTCGCGACTTCCTCATCCACGAATTACGTCATCGGTGTCTTTGTTTGCCAAGCTGACAATATTCTAACACAGCGCGTACTTTCAGCAGACTTCTTTTACGATTCTTGAGACGATACGAGCGTACCGTGTCAACGCGGATAGATCGACCGAAGCGGAGACGCGAGGACACCAGGTCCTGCACAAACGTGACCAGCATGCAGCTTGCCTTGGCTGCATGTTGTGTACCTACTCTCAGCTTGTCCGTAGCTGACAGCTTGTGCGCTTTGTTGACCCGAAAGAATTGTCTCAGTCGTCTGCCCCTGCTGTTGCAGCCGAAGTACCGGCCTTTGCTTTTTCCGTGGCCTTTTATTTGGCGGCCAGTCGACACCATCGCTGAGCCTTCCGCTGTCACTCGGTAGCCATATACCAGGAGAAGCTCCTCCTATCTCATACAGGGAAGCGAGATGACACCTTCGAACGTTTGGACATGGTGGGAACACGCCTATGGAAGCAGGCCACGGTCAGCCCATGGGTTTGTCGGACAACAGCATTGGCATGACCATGCGAAAGCAACTTCGGCAAGTTGGCAAGTCCTGTCGTGTTACCACCAGCCGCGGTCGACGTTTGAGAGCTGCAAACACGGCATCAATGCGAAACCGAAGAGAACCGAGGGCCCGAGCTTGCCCAATCAACTACTGATAGTTGATCTGGGTTCAGGCACTTCAAATTGCTCAAGCATCTACGACTGTCTGGGCCGCGCGGTGCCCGCCTCGTTCTGAACGCCCTGCAAAGCTTAGTGACCCACCTTACACATACCTGCCTCTGCCTTGTAAGATTTTTCTACCAACAGGCTGGCCTACCGGCTGCGGCAGAATACCCCTTCAGACAACGACCTGTTTTATACCCGCGCATGCACATGTGAGAAATGACCCATCTCACTCTTCGTCCCGGACCTATCACATTAATTAACTCGAACACACTTCATGGGATTGAGCTGGGCCACCTGAGACCCAACAAGAAACCTTTAGGATCGGATCGTTGATTCCTCCCGCTAAGTACCACCATTCTATGACGGCTTTGTAGCGCGGGAGTCTGTTGCATGGGACAAAACATTGGTGGCTGGCATTGTGCAGCAGCACAGCAGCAAAATCCCAATGCAGTCCCCGTCAGAGCTTAGGCCTGGTGGATCACCGGAAGAAGGATAAAGCCTAGAGCTCGAAGACTCAATGGGCGTCCTTTGGAATGCCTGCCAGAATGATAGGTACCAGCCATGATCCTGTGTGTCGAGATTTGTTGCACTGACGTCCCCGGCTCAATGTCACATCGATTACGGGATGTGGCCTTCACGTGGTTTGGAGCCCGAAAAGCGCGTCCTGCATGGGCGATTAGAGCGTTGTCGGACTCAAGGAACACAGGATATCCACTTTGCCATGAGTGCTGCTTATCCCCTGCGTTCAATACTCTCTCGGTCAACATGGCGACGAATTTTGATCAAGTCATTCTGTCTGACTCGAATCGGACGCCAATTGTCCAGATCCTTATTTGGTTTTGCCTTGTGACAAGCTTCTTAGCTTTCATAACTCATGCTGGCATCAAGCTCTACGTTTTCCGGGCTCTGAGGGCAGAGTCGGGTTTCCTACTTGCGTCTCTGGTCAGTCTGCTCGAGCTGCCTGGGCTTCTCTATCATTGACAACCCCTACAGGTGTTCTGTATTACGCAGTCAGTCGCTGCATTGATCCAATGCCGATATGGATTTGGAAAGCCAGTTGCAGCTCTGAGTAGCGAGGACGTTCAGTCAAGCCTCAAGGTACTTCAGTCATCTTCTCCGAGCCCTGTGAGGCTGACCATCATAACAGGCTGAATATGCGGCGACCGTCCTGCTGTTCATGTCACTCGGGTTCTCAAAGCTAGCTATTGTGGCATTCGTGCACAGCTTGACTCCATCAAAATTGCATCGCAAGATTAACTACGCAGTTGGAGCGCTTGCATGCCTGTGGATTACGTGCGCCGTTCTCATTGCAGTCTTCCAATGCCGAGTACCTCGCACATGGGACAGGACTCTGACTCACTGCACAGACCGAGTAAGTCGTGTTAGACTTACTGTGAAAACAGTTCTGATTGCCGACAGTTCATCTGGTGGAATACCATATCAATATTGAACATCGTAACAGAGGTCGCGATCATTGCTTTGGAACTAGGCATAACCGCGCATCTTCAAGTGGCTCGACAAAAAAAAGCTTCCATCATGAGCCTATTCGCTTGCCGGATCTTGTAAGTGTTGCATCCTTAGGCACGAAGTGCATCTAACTTTAGTAGGGTTCCGGTAGCAGCTGCAATTCAATTAGCATATTTTCACCAGGAACATTCCAACTCGGCAACGAGCGAGGACTTGATGCTCGGCTACTGGCGATCAGCCCTCTGCAACCAAGTGATGCAGTGTCTTGCCATAACCACGACTTGTTTACCGTACACGAAGATCTTCATGGAGGGCTTCGAGTCTGGGCTGTTCAGGGTTGATGAAACCCGCCGCAGAGGAGAATATGCTTCAAAAGGTCACAGCGGACGAGAGTATCAGCTCATGGATGTCTCGCGCTCGTCGCAAGCACAGCAATCCACGCCAGACAGGTCTATCAACGTGTCAAAAAGCTGGGCTATCTCGGTGGAACCTGCTGACCGCTTGAGAAACAAGTAAGTTCTCGTTCGGTAACACGAACTCGTCTATGCTTTAGGAGGAGACACAGGACGTAAGCCACAAAATCAGGACTAGTGACAGCGTGTCCAATAACAAAAGCTTCCAAATATGCGCATTTTTCGAAAACACTACTTGCGTTGCATCCCGACGCACGTGCTTGCTATCTAGTTTACAACAATTTTGTATCCATTTTGATGAACCGGTACAGTTCGGTATAGTCGCATGTTCCTCCTGTGGTGCTCACCCCTGCACAATCCTGCACTGTGTTACATATGCACCTAAGATTATCGGGCAGGAGCTCCAGACGGGCGGGACGGGACGGCCTGTCTCCCATTCGAGCCAATGTGCGCTGCACAATCGAGGTACAGCTTATGGGGTATCATCCCTCATTTGCGAGGACCCAAGTCACTGTTCATACATGTGGTACTACCCTGCCCTCTCACCGTGACTGCAGTCTTTTCTTTCTTTCTGTACGCAGTTCACGGATTGTTAATCTTACAGCGCTCTTGCTCCCTTGGTGATACAATGGCGTCCACTCCCTCCGTAAAGGGCAACGATGCTGAGATGACTGTGACTCCCAGCTTCTCGACAACTAATCAAAAGGATGAGCTCGCGCTTGCACGCTTGGGCAAGAAAGCGGTCTTGAAAGTAAGTCGTTCCATCCCTCTGCATTCTAAGATTGTCAGTTTTCTGACGCTCGTCAGAGGCGATTTGGCTTCCTCTCCATCCTGGGCTTCAGCTGCACGGTCTTGATCACCTGGGAGGCATCCTTGGTGTGAGTGGAAACAATTCAATCAACATTGTCAGCAGTCATTGACATTGAACAGACTGTTCCTTGTAGGCTTCCAGAATGGAGGTCCAGCTGGTGTCGTCTACGGGTACTTGGTCGTTTGGCTGGGTACCGTCTCTGTCTTCATGGTTCTCGCTGAGCTGGTCTCGATCGCACCTACATCCGGCGGCCAATATCACTGGGTGTCGATGATGGCACCTCGACGCTTATCTAAGCTCCTCAGCTATACATCAGGGTGGCTCACGCTCTGCGGCTGGCTGGCCTCTTTCGGCTCTGGCTGCTTCCTCACTGGCGGTCTGATCCAAGGTCTTCTGATCCTTTGTCAACCAGACACTTACATCCCGCAGAACTGGCACGTCACCTTGCTGTACTGGGCAGTCATCTTGTTCTGCGTTTTCATTAACGTGGCAGCTGGGTGGCTCTTGCCGAAGTTCGAAGGCGCTCTGCTGGTGTTACATATCCTCGGCTTCTTCGCGATCCTGATCCCGCTCCTCGTTCTTGGTCCCAAGGGGGATGCTAAGGAGATCTTCACCACGTTCCTCAACATGGGCGGATGGGATTCTCAGGGTCTGTCGTTCTGCATCGGAATCATGGGCAGCGTGTTCGCCTTCGTCGGGGGTGATGGCCCAATCCATGTGAGTCCTGCAACATTCTAGTTGATCGATTCGTCACTCACATCGCCATAGCTGTCTGAGGAGATTCAAAACGCACAAGTGGTCGTACCTCGGTCGATCATGACAGGTATTGCGATCAACGGAACGCTGGGCTTCGTCATGGTCGTTACTGTGTTGCTACGTCTTGGCGACGTGGATGCCGTTCTGGCAGAAAACCCTGCGTTTCCATTCATGGCAGTTTTCCACCAAGCCGTCCAGTCTCGAACTGGCGCGGCTGTGATGGCTTCAATAGTCATGATCCTTACCATCAGTGCGAATGTCGGATTCGCGGCTTCGACTTCGCGCATCTGCTGGGCATTCGCAAGAGATAGAGGCCTTCCGGGATGGCGCCAGCTGAGCAAGGTTAGTCCGCAAGTTTGCTGAGATTGAGCCTGTGCTGATATTGTAATAGATCAGCGGTAGGACTTCGATCCCCGTCAACGCCGTCGCGGCCACTAGCATCATTGCCGCACTCCTGGCTCTGATCAATATCGGCTCAACAACTGCCTTCAACGGCGTCATTTCCGTTTCCATTGCTGGCCTCTTCGCTTCCTACCTCCTCACGTCCTGTCTGCTCTTATACCGTCGCTGCACCGGCGCAATACTTCCCAGCAGCGCCGCGTTCGACAACGTCACACCGTCCGTCACCGACGACGGCATGGTGCGCGCGTTCTGGGGACCGTGGAAGATCCCTGGTGCGCTTGGTATCGTGAACAATGCTTTCGCTTGCCTGTATCTTGCGTTCGTGTTCTTCTTTAGCTTCTGGCCAAGTTTCAAGGAAGTCACGGTCGCAGATATGAATTGGTCGATTTTGGTGACGGGGGCTATCGCTCTTCTGAGCGCTGTCTACTACATGGTCTGGGCGAGAAATACGTACCACGGTCCCGTGGTTGAAGTAAGTCTCTAGATATTCGTAGTATATCTGAAGGCGTCGAGGTGCCCGTCGCAGAAGTCCGCGGGTGCGAACTCGACCGCGCAGTCTGTTACGTAACATGCTTCATCGCTATCGGTGCATTGCCATCGCGCAAATGCGGTGCCGAAAAATCTATTCCGGGTTGCCTTTGGAGGTGTGGTGTTGTGCAATGCTTGATACCTTTGGAGGTGATGATGACCGAAGCTGAACCTTTGGAGGCAGGCCCAGGCGAGAGCGCGGCGCGCTACGAAGTAAGACTCCGAGGTCCGTCCCGGCCAATCACGAAGCATGCCCTATCAAAGACCATCCAGATCCATAACTTATGTCTTTATAACAGGACGGTGTGAGCCTCCAAACCGATTAAGTGAAGTATCTGATCCATTCGCAGCCTCTGTGAATCCGACACTTGCATCATTCGAAGATGCCATCTGCCCCTCACCCGCTCGACCCTCTCACGCCAGAGGAGATTTCGAAGGTTGCTCACATGAACAACCTTCTGAGCCTTACATATGAGCTAATATAGTAATAGGCAGCCGAAGTGGTCCGGCCATTGTTTCGAGGTCAGAAGCTAAATTTCAGGGTCATTGCTTTGAGAGAACCTCCGAAAGATGAGCTGATCAAGTACCTTGACGCGGAGCATCGAGCAGATCACGCACTGCCGAATCTCAGTCGATGTGCTCGCGTGGAAGTACTCGTCGAGTTTGGCAAGGGCACGAATGATTTGATGGAACTCATTGTTGCTATCGATCAGGATGCCGTCATCGAGCAACAGTATCTTGCAGGCAAGCATTCGTACATTGACTCGGCGTATATGAAAGAGGTCGAAGAAGCTTGCTTGGCCAGTACAATAGTGCAGGCCGAGATCAAGACGCTTGATCTACCGGAAGGTGCGACCGTGATTGTTGAGCCATGGGCGTATGCTACCGATGGTTCAAATGACATGTCTCGCCGCATTTCGATGGTAACACTTCTCAATATCCAAGACAAATAACATCCACTCATTCGAGATGCAGTGTTGGTTCTACCTCCGTCTCATGTCGCACCCAGACGCAAACTACTACGCGTACCCACTCGACATCTGCGCCGAGGTCTCGGAAGATCTGGAAGTCACGAAAGTGTACCGCCTGCCTTCCTCAGCGAACGATCAAATTCACAGCGAGATACGCACTTTCGATCGCCGGAAGATGCATGCAACTGAGGCAAGCGAGTATCATCCTGATCTACGACCGGACCCACGTACTACAACGAAACCTTACCAGGTCGTCCAGCCAGAGGGTCCATCCTTCCAGATCGACGGCCAGAAGGTCGGCTGGGAGAAATGGACGTTCAGAGTAGGGTTCAACTATCGCGAAGGTCTCACCTTGCACGATATCCGATACGACGGACGAAGTCTGTTCTATCGACTGTCGTTGGCTGAGATGTTTGTGCCTTATGGCGATCCGAGAGCTCCATATCCTAGAAAGGGAGCGTTTGATTTGGGCAACGACGGAGCCGGTATCAACGCAAACAATCTGCAGTTGGGTTGCGACTGCCTTGGTAAGTTTTGTTGTATCGATGCTTCTTGCCTCATTATTGACGGTAAGGCAGGCACCATCAAGTACTTTGACGGCTGGCACAACACCGGATCCGGTCTGCCACTCAAGCTGCCCAACGTAGTCTGCCTTCACGAACAAGACGACGGCATCCTCTGGAAGCACACCAACTTCCGCACCGGTCATGCAATAGTGACTCGTTCGCGCATCCTGGTCTTGCAGACAATCATCACTGTCAGCAACTACGAGTACATCTTCGCGTTCCACTTTGGGCAAGATGCTTCAATCCATTATGAAGTCCGCGCAACCGGCATCCTATCAACTGTTCCCATCGCCCTCGGTGATGCAAAGCCACCTTTTGGTACCATCGTGGGTCCGGGTGTGCTCGCACCGTATCATCAGCACCTGTTCTGCTTGCGCATCGACCCTGCCGTTGACGGACACAATAACTCGGTCGTGATTGAGGAGTCACACGCAATGCCGATGGACGAGCTAGATGTCCACAATCCCTTCGGCGTTGGTTACGAGACTCGCACCAGCTACATCGAACGCGAAGGCGGGTTCGATCTCGACGTCACAAAGAATCGTGTGTTCAAGATTGTCAACGAGGCGAAAGTCAACACCATGACACAAACGCCAGTAGGCTTCAAGCTGCTACCATCGTACAGCCAGATGCTACTCGCTCACCCATCGTCTTTTCATGCCAGGCGCTCCGAGTACGGACAGCACGCTGTGTGGGTGACCAAGTACCGCGAAGGCGAGATGTTCCCGTCCGGGAGGTACACGATGCAGTCCATGGGCGGCGAAGGGATTGCAAGTGCGATTGAGAAAAGAGCTGGCGATGACGAGGAAGCAAAGGTGCGGAACGGGGATGTCGTGGTCTGGCATACGTTTGGGTCGACACATAATCCGAGAATCGAGGATTGGCCGGTCATGCCGTGCGAGAAGATGACAGTAGGGCTAAAACCGGTGAATTTCTTCACTGGGAATCCGGGATTGGATGTCGCGCCAAGCACGCAGGAGGTGAATGAGAGTGTGCTGTACGATGGGGATGCAAGCAACACTCAGAAGTGCTGCCAGGTTGCGGAGTAGTAGATGTAGATCCTGGCGCAGTTCCTGCTGCCTGCAGTATGTACGGGAAGTAGACAGTACTTGGCAGTAGGTGATGACCGCAGACTGACAGTGATACCGTGTCGAGCTATGTCAAGTTCCAAGGCGGCCAGGCAAGAGTCGCTCATTAGCGCGTCAGTTATCGATAACGAACCTCGCCGCCCCTCCGCGAACTTTTGTGACGCAAGGCGGTCATAATTTCTGAATCTACGAATGCTACCAGAACACAGCACACACCATGTCCGCACCAGCGACTACAAAAGCGATACCTGGTACGTCTATGCGACGACACTGGCGTCACAATTTCCCTCTAACAAAGGCTCAGGCGAGCTGCAAGACAAATTCGACCTCGGAATCTGGCACTGCCTCTTCAACTGGCCAACGCTCACGGTCGCGGTGCAGAACCAATGGGGCGGCCCCGACAGCTCTGAAAAGCGCGACTGGCTCGCGGGCCAGATCAGCGACCTCTTCTCGTCGGAGCCGCTGACGGACGCCGAGGACGTCGAGGTCATGCTGCTCCAAGTGCTCGAGGACGAATACGGCTGCCGGATCGAGGACGAGACCGAGGTCGCCGTCGCGCGGGCCATCATGAAAGTGCGGAAGGAGATCGGCGAGGGGAACACGAGCGGGGTGGAGCAGATGCATAAGAAGTGGGAGGACAGGAAGGGCAAGGAGGTTGCGACGGGGAACGTGCAGGTCAGCGAGAGCAATCAGGAGGCGGAGTGGGATAGCGTGGATGAGGAGAGCGAGGACGAGGACGAGGATGTGGACATGGACGATGCGCCTGCGTTGGTGCCTGCGAGGGCGAAGGAGCCCAAGGCTGAGCCGGAAGTTGACGAGGATGGGTTTGAGAAGGTGGTGGGGAAGAAGAGGAGGTGAGTTGATGAGTGGACCGACAGGCGTAAAAGAAAAACAAGAAAAAAAGAAAAAGAGAAGAAGCGAGAAAAGGACAGTCGGGAGTCGACCTCTGGAACCAAGATATCACGACATGCTGGTGTTGTGATGTGATGCTTGAAATGCGATGCATGCGTGACATGTGAGAGCACCTGTCGGGCGCTAGGCTGCTGGCTGCGGAGAGCTCGATCATCAATGCAGGGTCCACATGGATGCGGGTGGCGGGCGCTCTCACCACACACTGCTGGCTCTCACCACCACTCGCGCGACCTGACGCGCTCTGCACAGCATGGACTCCGCATACGACCACATCCAGGAGAAGAACTACCCCGCGGACCACGAGGAGAAGAAGAAGCCGGCGGGCGAGAGCAGCGCCGGCGCAGAGCCCAGCAACTTCAACGCGGAGGTCCAGGAAGCCTACAAGGCCATCTCGAGCAGCCCGTGGGCGGCCCGACTGGGGGGATTCTGGCAGACGGCGAAGAAGCAGGCGAGTCTGCACGGCCGTCCGGCGCAAGCCATCTTCTGACAGCGGCCAGGGCGAGCAGTACTACGAGACGGCGGCCGCCAGCAAGCAGTACAAGGAAGCCACCGCCGGCGTCTCCAGCCTGATCAGCCAAGCCCGCAGCCTCTCTGTGCAGGCCAGTGATGCGGCGGGCACGTCCGCAAAAGACGCCTCGGCCGCAGCCGACACAGACAAGGAGGACATGACGCCGCACCCCGACCGCCCGGAGTCGCTCACCGCCGACATCGTCAAGGAAGCCCAGGGCATCGTCTCGCTCTTCCGCTCCAACGCCTCCAAGCGTCTCAAAGACCTCCAAAAGGCCGAAGACGCCGCCGACGAGGCCCTCCTCAAGTTCGGCTCCAACGTGCGCAACTTCCTCGCCGAAGCCGTCACCATCGCAGCCCCGGCCTCGGGCTCACAGGCCGAGAAGGACGGCGCCGTGCTCTTCGAGTCCAAGGACAGCAGCGGGAAGAAGGTCGTGCACGCCACGCGCTTCGACGCCCAGCTCCACGTTATCCACTCGACCCTCGACTCGTTCCTCAAGGACCCTGCGAGTCCGCAGTGGGACGCCTGGAAGACGCAGTTCGATGCAGACAAGAAGACGGACGCCATCGCGAAGGACCTGGAGAAGCACGAGGAGCTGCGGAACGCCATGGAGAAGACGGTCCCCGAGAGGGTCGACTACGCCACATTCTGGTGCAGATACTACTTCCTGCGCCACGTGATTGAGAGCGAGGAGCAGCGCAGGAGGGAGCTGCTCAAGGGTATGTCCTCGATGCTCAAGCTACCCACGAACTAGGTGCTGATGTGATTCCAGCGTCCACGCCCGCCGACGAGGAAGAAGTAGACTGGTCCTCAGGCTCCGAAGACGACGACGACGACGAGAAGCCCACACCGAAACCCGCCGCCGCCGCCGCCGCTGCATCCGTACCCAAGTCCTCCACACCCGACCTCGCCAAGAGCCAAACCACAATCAAGCCCGAAGCCGAGACCGACACACTGAAGCCTGTGCAGCCTCGTCGCTCGCACGACGAGAAGAGCGTTGCGGACAGCGATGCGAGCTACGACGTGGTCAGCGGAGCCACCAGCCGCGCACCCAGCCGGGCGCCGGGGAGTCCCAAGGCGAAGCCCGAGGCGAAGAAGACGGTCGAAGAGGAGAGTGACGACGATGATTGGGAGTGACGACAATGATTGGGAGTGACGACAAGGATTGGGAGTGACGACGATGATTGGGAGTAGATAGGCTATGAGTTCGCTATGCTATGCTATGCTACGTTGATATCTAACGAAAACTGAATACAGATTGCCACACATGCTCGCTCAAATGCTACCGTCTTGTACCCTCCCTCAGCTTCTCCCGGTGTCCCATCCTAGCTGCAGCAGTAGGAACCGGGGCTGTCTGACCTTCTTGCCCCCTCTTAGCTCCCCGCCGGTGTCCGCGGCTGCGGCGGTGCAAACCGGGGCTGTCTGACCTTCGTACCCTCCCCTGTCTGCGTCGTCGCCCTCCTCAGCAACGGACTCGGACTACTCATACTCATACTCTCACGCCACGGTCGATCGAGACTCGACACATCGATCGTGCTCTTGCTCCGCCCCGTCGACGGCGCATTCGGTGTCCTGGGCCTTGAGTACGGCGTGCTCGCCCCGCTCCTGCTCCCTGTCGGATACCCAACGTAGTCATACTGCAAGGCTCGTCCGCCTTCGTCGTGGATGTGCCCATACTCCCGCGCCTCGTGTGCCCGCCTCGCCAACTCCTCCTCGCCTCGCCGCTTGACCGGACTCTCGTCGTACGGATCGAAACCGACCCGCTGCCGTGCTTCGCGTCGCGCTTGCCGCCGCAACTCAGAGTCTCCGCCCGAACCGACCGTGCTGCTTTCCGAGAGGAAGAAGGTTAGAAACTCGTCCGGGATCGAGAGGTGGGACGATTGCTGGAATTGTTGCAAAGCCGTGAGGCGGATGAGCATTTCAAGCATGGACAGGGACGTCTTGATTGGTGGCAGCGTGGTCGGCGGTGTCGAATGCTCGCGCGTGGGTATCGCCGACTTCTCGGGGGAGGGCATGAGTTGTTGACTGGACTGTGGGGGCAGCGTCGATGGGTCAAGATTGAGGCTTGAGAGGGAGGAGAGGAGGCCGGACGACACTGCGTGGGAGCGACTTGCGCTCACGTCGCCGGCTGAGGACGTGGACGCGTTGATTGCGGTTCCTTCGGTGTCGTCAAAGTCCGAGTCCGAGTCGGGTTCTTCTTGGTACACTTCGAACGCCATCCACTCCAGATCAAGCGTTGGTGGGAGACGCCATGGGTATGTTGGGGCTTCTTCCTGCACTGCCTGCTCTGCTGCAAGGTCGGCAGTCGACTCGCGGCAGAATTGAGCGTCCAGCTCGGATTGATCAATATCGTCTTCTCCAACTGTGTGCGAGTCGTCAGACTCATAGCCTGTGTCTGTGGGCTCATGTTCCATCATTCTTCGTGGAGGAGGCGCGTTCACGTCTCGCTTCAGCAACAAAATTGGGTTGTTAGATTCACCGTCACCACCGATATTCAGAATCTTCCCGGTGTCGGCGTAGAAGATCTTCGACATCTCGTGGATGGGTATGATCTCTCGAACGCCAGCTTGATCGATGCCGTCATAGGGCTCAGGCTGAGGCTCGTCGTCTTCGAAAGTATGCAAGCGGCCATCGTCCAGGTCCTCGACGATCAGCAGCTGATACGCGTATTCTTGCAACGCACTCTCTGATGGAATATGACGGTGTTCAGCTTCAGCACCCTTGTTGGACGTCGAATCAAAAGGCATCGGGAAGTCATAGACATTCTCCAGCGGTACTCTCAGCAGTGTTACCCTAGCTTTGTGCACGACTTCCTTCCATGTGCTCTCGCGCTGGCGCAACAGCTCTTCATGAGTGGGCACAGCATAACCGGAAAAGAGCATGTACATTGACAGCGTGAAGGTCGGGCCAATTTGCTGAGCTCGGGGTTTGGACATGCAGTAGTGAGAGTCGCCAGCGGTGAGGAAAGTGCTGGCCTGCAGCAGACGGGAGGGAGAGACCGTCGGAGGCAGATTGGTGGACAAACTGACACCTGATGTCGTGATGGCCAGGTTGATCAGTGGTACTGCATCTTCGATCCGGGCCAGAAGTTGCTTCATCTCTGCAATGATCATCTTCAGCTCGATGTCGTTCTGCGCGCGTGGCTTTGCTCTGGAGCTGCCTCTCTTAGAAAGCTGCTCTTCAACGACAGCCTTCTCTACACGGCTACCAAGCGACTGAATGTCCCACCGCAGTGATTTTGTCAACGTGACTGCTGATTCAAGCGTCGTGTTTCCGCGTGCCGAAATAAGCTCGATCATATCTATCGCAGGGGAGATTATCTTGATCTTGGAGTCTAGCCGCAGTTGCAGTGCTGCAAGCTCTTGCTTTTCTTGGCCGTCGACCGTCTTCATCAAGCGGCCGCATTGTTGGATTGCGTATGTGCTTGTGATAGCAATGCCACTGCGAATGGCATAGCTCATGGCCTGCTGGGTGACCTGATCGAGCGTCAGACGGGGTATGCAGCTTATCAAAGCGGACCATATGACCACTTCTGACTGCAATCAGAGTCAAAGGGACTCACCTTCGCCAGTAGCACCTCCATATTGGGTATCAAGGCTGACTTGCTCTTGCAGGAGGATGAGTAACACGCTCAAGTGGAAATCACGATTGACGTCATTACACGAGGAACAACGCCGTGGAAAGTAAAACAATAAGCAAACCAGGTAGCAGTAAAGGAGCGTAGTTGACGCTAGGACATCGTGGTGAGTCGCGTTGACTGTTTGTTTGCCAGGATACCCCCTGGCCAATCGCTGTCAGGCAACGAGTTTGGTGGGTGAAATGCGAAATGCGAAATGCCCCGCCACGTCGAATGGGCAGCAGCGGCCCGCACTTTCCTACTTTTCCGTGAACAACGACGCCCCACGGCCTGGCACAGCAAGACCCAAAGTCATTCTTTAGGGCCAGCAGCTACTGCACGAACGCATCGTCAACTCCACGAAAACGTCCAGAACTCAAATTCACCAAACGATCGCACAGCGACCCCGCATTCGACATGGCTGAGAACTGGGAGGAGGAGGAGGAGCGGCTCGCGCAGCAGACCGGCGGCATCAACCTCAACCAGCAGCAACAGCAGCAGCCCCAGGCTTTCGTGCCTGGCGCGACCTCATTCACACCCGGCGCATCGACTTTCGTCCCCGGACAAGCATACGGGCAGTACCAGCAGGGCTTCGGGCAGTACCAGCAGTACGGAGGATACAACCAGCAGTACGGCGGCCAGTACGGCGGCTACCAGCAGCAGCAGCAGGGCGGATACCCCAACTACAGCCAGAGCCAAGGGCAGGGCCAAGGGCAGGGTGGCTACCCCAACTACGGACAGCAGGGCGGATACGGTCAGCAGCAGGGCGGATACCAGCAGCAGAACTACCAGCAGCAGCAGCAGCAGCAGGCGCCCGTGAAGATCGCCAAGCGTGGCGAGGCTGACCAGGCTGCTGAGCCCAAGAAGGACGCAGCGCCCAAGGCCAAGGTCCTTTCCATCGGTGGCGATGCGCCCAAGCCCAAGACTCTCACTATCGGCGCAGATGCCGTTGCACCAAAGACCGAGAAGGTTGGCGGTACCAAAGTCCTCTCTCTAGGAGGCGCACCGCCCGCTGAAAAATCAATCAAGGAGACCCAGGACAAGAGCGCACCCGAGGCTGGAGCCAAGGTCGCTGCTAAGCAGGCCATCGAGAAGACCGGCGAGCCCACCAAGGCCACACCTGCCAGCTCCGGCCGCACATCACCAACCCCCGCATCTGGACGCAGCAGCCCCACACCAACAGCGAAGGAGAAGGCCATCCAGAAGGCCGCCGATGTCGAGAAGGAGGTTGAGGAGGTTGTCGATGAAGCCACGCTTGCCGAGATCTACGGCAAAGAGCACGTCAACATCATCTTCTTGGGTCACGTCGATGCCGGAAAGTCCACCCTTGGAGGCAGTATTCTTATCTCCACGGGTATGGTCGACGAGCGAACACTCGACAAGTACAAGCGTGAAGCCAAGGATGCTGGTCGTGAAACCTGGTACATCTCGTGGGCTCTCGACCTGAATAAGGAGGAGCGTCAGCAGGGTAAGACAATCGAGGTCGGTCGCGGATTCTTTGAGACGGAGAAACGCCGCTATTCTATCCTGGACGCGCCTGGCCACAAGACATATGTACCCAACATGATTGGAGGAGCTTCGCAGGCTGATGTCGGTCTTCTCGTTATTTCAGCACGTAAGGGAGAGTACGAGACAGGTTTCGAGAAGGGTGGTCAGACACGAGAGCACGCTATGCTGGCCAAGACTCAGGGTGTTAACAAGCTCGTCATTGTTGTCAACAAGATGGATGACCCTACAGTCGAGTGGTCCGAGGACCGATTCAAGGAGTGCACAAGTAAGGTCGTTCTCTTCCTGAAGGGTCTTGGATACAACCCCAAGACCGACATCTTCATGATGCCCGTCAGTGCGCAGACATTCACTGGTATCAAGGACCGCATCCCCAAGGAGAAGGCACCCTGGTACGACGGCCCATCCCTGCTCGAGTACCTCGACGACATGCAGGCATTGGAGCGCAAGATCAATGCTCCCTTCATGATGCCCATTGCTGCCAAGTACAAGGACATGGGTACCATGATTGAGGGCAAGATCGAGTCTGGTATCATCAAGAAGGAGCAGAAGTACCTCATGATGCCTAACAAGGAGATGATTCATATCTCTGCCCTGTATGGAGAGCAGGAAGACGAGATTCCCGGTGCCACATGCGGTGACCAAATCCGTGTCCGTCTCCGAGGTGTCGAAGAGGAGGATATTCTTCCTGGCTACGTTCTCTGCTCGCCAAAGCGCCCCGTCCACTGCGTTTCCACATTCGAGGCCCAAATCGTACTGCTCGATATCAAGTCTATCTTCACAGCCGGTTTCAACTGCGTACTGCACGTCCACGCCGCACAGGAAGAGGTCACCATCTCGGCGCTGCTGCATAAGCTCGAGAAAGGCACTGGCCGCAAGTCCAAGAAGGCACCCGGGTTCGCCACAAAGGGTATGAGCATTATTGCACGAGTGGAGGTCACAGGCACAGCTGGATCGATTTGCGTGGAGCGCTTCGAGGATTACCCCCAGCTTGGTCGTTTCACACTGAGGTATGTTCTCGCGCCCCGATACGCATACGAAGGACAACTGCTAATACTAGCACAGAGACCAAGGTCAGACTATTGCTATTGGAAAGATCACCAAGCTTATCACGGCCGAGAACGCTGCTTAGGTTGCCGCAACCAAGACGTTTGCAGTTTGCAGCGGTCAGGTCACCATCTAGACGATGCATACGTTAGCGGAGGATTGCAACATAGATCAAAAGTGAAATCGCACATATTGAACACCATGAATTTTTCCATCCTGTTTTCGTTATCCAGCACCCGGCGATGTTGATTCAGCATTCAGGCACACCACTATATCCGCGGGAATACGCCTTTGAGACAAGCCTTTTAGTGCTGCAACTCACAACAACCTTATTCAACCTGCCGTTTCGGGAAGGACCGAGTGAGGCGAGATCTCGGCGCAGCTTTCATTTCAGGATATCCGCAAAACAGCATCCTCACTTCACGCTTCACACTGGCAGCATGGCTCTCCAGACCTCAAGCTGCACGGGATGACGTCACACTCTGATCAGCCATTTTCGGTCCATTCGCGCAGCAAGACAGCATCAACGGATCACGCAGCTCTATGCATCAGATAGATCCATAATTAACCATAATTCAGACTTGGGTGACATGCTTCTTGGATCTTTTCTTTTCTTTTCAGGTTACCAACTCAATCCCACATCTGCCGTACATTCAAGTTCACCCTTTTCCCACTCATCCAACCCCGCCACTCCTTAAACTCTTCCTTTCCGTCTTCCGCCGGCCAATCTGCCAAATACTGTGGACAAGTACCCTTGACAATCTGCGGTACACCATGCCACGCAAACCTACTGGGTCCAGACATATACAGCGCGCTCCCACTCCTCAGTCTCAGCGTGACGGTCTTCTCGCCCACCTCCTTCTCCCCGCTTTCCTTCCAATCTGACGTTGATGTGGATACTCCAATGACAAACACAGCATCGCACCCCAGACTCACACTCACGAGCCCCGTGCCACTCGTCTCCGCCACGTCTCTATGGACACTCAGCGTATCCCCGGGACTGTACAAGTTGACGATCGCGGCTTCTGCTTTTGTCGATGTCCATATCGACTCGAGCAGGGTCTTGATGTCGGCCGGGAAGGGCGGCGGGTTTGTTGGCGGGTATTCCTTTGCGGTCCAGTCATACTGGCCGCCCAGAGTAGTCCAGCGCATCTTCTTCCTCAGGAGTTTCGGCACGGTCAGGGGCTTATGAACTGAAGGGTCAAGAGGTGTGGCAATTGGGTCGGCGGAGGTGGGCGGATATGTGAAGAATGACCCGGGTGATGAGTCCGAGGCCGAAGCATTGGGATAAGAGAGATTGTAGTGTGTGTGTATGTTGGTAAGATGGGCCGGGTTGGAGAGGTCGCGGTGGAGAAGACGTGAGAGGAGGAGGCTTTGGATTGTGGGAGGCAGAAGATTGGGGACGATGTGAAGGCCTGCTTACCGTCAGGGCCAGGAAGCTGTAAGACGCAACATTGTATGAGTGAAGGGGAGTGAGGGAAAAGCCGAGCGGTTGAGAATTCAAAATGCTGCCAGTTGGCCATGTAATGATGCTTGAGAACAGAGAAAGAGGTACGACTGCAGTGACCGCTTATTTCATGCAATACTGACTAAAATACGCAGACGCTATAAGAAACGGTATCCTACCTGGCATGTCCGCATGTTCGTACACCGGTATCTTTGGTGGTAGGTCGGCGTACGCTTGCGCGTCTTGACCGCTAAATGCCCAAAAAGCAGCGGTCAAGTCATGACCACTCCACTCTTCGACTATGCGAACTTTGTCCTTGGCTGACGTATTAAGGCTGTCTGGCAGGTCTACAATGTCTAGATCCCGCTCTAGATTCTTTGGTCTCATCTTTTGGTACTTCTTGTACACATCTTTGATGCTCTCTGGTGGTCGTTGGTAAGGGTCCAGATGCTCCATCTCCTGCAGGCAACTCGAGTACGCTCTGTAAAGTCGTATGAGCGCTAGTATTTCGTGTTCCGTTGCTGTGTGCGATTGTCTGGTTCGAACTTCGTCGCGTCTTCGTGATGTAAAAGGCCAAGGAGTGTGACGCGAAAGTGTCAGGGTTTGATTGCGGGCGCGTTCGTGGCTTGTGCCGCTTCCCTCGCTAGGCTTAGTCTGTTTACACCCTTTCTTTCATGCATAACATCTGGACTCCCCGCCTTGCTAGCATCCGCAATCGACAACTCACTAACCTGCAGGTACGCCCGCTCTCATCTGACCTCGAAGCGGAACCATCTTGTCGCCTGCTTCGGCACCACACAAATCGACACTCGAAGCTTTACCGCGACACAAACCGGACCGCCTACCGTCTGAAAGCCTCTGTGCGTTGCCGTTGCTATGGAGAACTACCAGAAGCTGGAGAAGGTGGGAGAGGGTAAGAGATATCTTGCAGCAGCTGCACTGCTGATCAACGCTCTGAATCCGCGACTAATGGCGACCAGGAACTTATGGAGTTGTCTACAAGGCCCGCGACCTCACGACCAAAGACCAGCGTATCGTCGCGCTCAAGAAGATCCGCCTCGAAGCAGAAGATGAGGGCGTCCCCTCGACCGCCATCCGCGAGATCTCGCTGCTCAAGGAGATGAACGACCCCAACATCGTCCGCCTGCTGAACATCGTGCACGCCGACGGCCATAAGCTCTACCTCGTCTTTGAGTTTCTCGACCTGGACCTGAAGAAGTACATGGAGGCGCTGCCGGTCAGCGAGGGTGGACGCGGCAAGGCGCTGCCGGAGGGCTCTGGACTAGCTGGCCAGAAGCTGGGCATGGACTCGAACATGGTCAAGAAGTTCATGATGCAGCTCTGCCAGGGTGTGCGCTACTGCCACGCCCACCGCGTTCTGCACCGCGATCTGAAGCCCCAGAACTTGTTGATCGACAAGGATTGCAATCTCAAGCTTGCTGATTTCGGTCTTGCCCGCGCTTTCGGTGTGCCGCTAAGGACATATACCCACGAGGTGAGGATGCCAGGAAAATGAGGAGATATCCTTGGCTGACATATCGACAGGTCGTGACACTTTGGTACCGTTCACCAGAGATTTTGCTTGGTGGGCGACAGTACTCGACTGGCGTCGACATGTGGTCTGTTGGCTGCATCTTCGCGGAGATGTGCACACGCAAACCTTTGTTCCCCGGTGACTCTGAGATTGACGAGATCTTCAAGATCTTCCGGTACGTGCCAGCTCTCATTCACTGAAGATTCTCTCTGATAACCCGAAGCATTCTTGGTACACCCAGCGAGCAGGACTGGCCCGGCGTCACATCGTTCCCCGACTTCAAGCCCTCATTCCCCAAGTGGAACCGCACAGATATCGCAGCCATCGTAACCACCCTCGATGACATTGGCCTTGACCTTCTCGACGCGCTCCTTGTTTACGATCCTGCTGGCCGTATCTCAGCCAAGCAGACCGTCATCCACCCCTACTTCACGGGGACGTCAATTGGCTACAGCAACGGCTATCACTAAGCTGACTGATGTCCGGAAGATGTTACGACTGTTACGGAATTTGATGGAAGCATATTTGGTGCTGACCAAAGCGGAAATGCCCCGCGCACCAGTGTTTAGATACGACGTGTCTTGAATACGAAGGATAATGCTGCAGAGGATACAGTGTTGGCGTTTGGGTTGCATTTTACTAGACTGCATCGAAGCTGCGGTTCACGAACAGGATTATAACGAAAATATTTTCAAATAGTACACGGCGCATTACCACGAAAACGGAGTGTTCGGTGGAACTTGATCGAAACATCGTGAGATCTCTTGGTGTTGATGATTGACGTATGGGACCCCACTTTCAGCCCTACGTTGAGGGGCAGCGACGCAGGGACGGGCCGTCAGTAACACCAGTAACACCCGCCGTCATGGAGTGCTCCATCTCTCATCTTCGGATGCGGTCGAACCATGACTTCATCTTCTCCAAAGCTTCTACCGCCAACGATAGGTCCTCGACTAATCGTCTACCACCAAACAATCCATGACCCGCAGGGCAACTGTAATTCGCTGCTGCCATTACTGACCAACAACACCGGCGTTACGCATGTCATCATTGGGGCGATACACATCAATGATGGGCCCGGCAACATTACTCTGAATGATCACCGTCCCGATGACAAGCGATTCGATCAGCTATGGGGTGAAGTAAGCTGGCTGCAAGGCAGTGGTGTGAAGGTGTTGGGCATGCTCGGCGGCGCGGCAAAGGGATCCTTCGAACGACTTGGTGAAGACGACGAGAGCGTGCGTACTATTGACATCGTCTAGCTTTTCATACTGATCAAGGGCAGTTTGAAGCACACTACATCCCCCTCCACGCCATAATCACAGTCCACAAGCTCGACGGCCTCGACCTCGACATCGAGGAGCAGATCCCCCTCGCAACAGCAACACGCCTGATCGCCCGTCTTCGCGCTGATTTTGGTCCTCAGTTCCTGATCACCCTCGCGCCCGTCGCCACAGCACTCATTCCAGATCCAAACATCCCACCGCATCTCCGACCGCCACGTCCTATGCTAGCCAGCGGGCCCAGTCCGAATCCTTTGCATCCAACATTGCCGCACTTGAGTGGCTTCTCGTACCCCGAGCTCGAGTGCAGTGTCTATGGAAGGGAGATAGCATGGTATAATACGCAATTCTACTGTGGATGGGGTGACGCAGGAACAACAGCGTGGTACGACGCCATCGTCGCCGCAGGCTGGAAGCCTGAGAAAGTCGTGCTGGGTGTCGTCACAAATCCTGGCAATGGTGCAGGCCACGTTCCCGTTAGGAATTTGCGCAATGTTTGCGCGCTCCTGAGAGAGAAGTACAAGAATGTTGGCACTGGGTTTGGTGGTGTTATGGGTTGGGAGTACTTCAATTGCGGTGAGCACGAAGAGGACCTTGTGCATGTGTCTGAACTTGAATTGAACAATGAGACGGTGCAGGCCGGGTGGGTTTCGGCGTTGGGTAGAGTGTTGAGGACGGAGGAGCCGCAGCATCTGCAGACGAGTAGGCCACCGTTGGGCGTCACAGCGGAGCAGATCAGGCAGATGGTGACAAGTCTTCCGGAAGCAAGAGCTAGCTGGCCAGAAGAAGAGGTGCAGAAGTTGGTCGTGCTTGGATTTGCACGACGAGAGGCGCTTGCGGCGCTGAACGCCACTGATGGGAATGTGGAGATGGCTGCTGGGTTTCTGTTCGAGCATTACCCGCAGTAACCATAGTTAACTGCAGGTGCGGCTGCAACAGCACTGGTACACTTCGAGCGTTTCTGTTTTTCTAGCGGGTTTCTCTTCTTACGCGTTGACAAATTCACCTAACTTCTTATCATCATTCACTTCGTCTTCCACCAGCTTCCCCGTCGCCCTGATTTCACCATCAACCCTTTGATACCTCACCAACTGCGGAACAGCCTTGACCTCCCACTTCGTCCTATACACGTTTCCCAGGTCTTTCCATCTATCACGCACAATCAGTACACCGCAGACACTCCACACTAACGGAAGTATACTTACTCAGGTTTTTGTCCCACATGAACGTAGAGTAAATGTGGTGCATCTTCGCTCGAGAACGCTTTCTGGAGTCGTGGCAACGCAGCTCGTACGTCTGGACACCATGACTGCTTCGTCACTGGATCCGTACCGGCAATAAATGCGACGTAGAGTTTCGCGTTGGCAGTTTCGGGGACAGGCAGGTCATGCGCTGTGGAAGGGACTTGGTAGTGGTCCTGGACCGGCATTTCGTTTGGTGTATGCGATTGGTGGGAGCCGTTGCTGACTGATCTTCAAACGGGATCTTGAATTGTGCGCGATCTCAATCAATGAGGCGTTGTGTTGCATATGAGAAGCGCTGTTCCTTCTTGTTCCTGCGCAAGCGCGAATGCGGGGCAGATGCAACTTCCATACGTGTCAGTTCCCTGCACACCTTCCCCATGAGTACAACGGCCTGACTGTTACGCGCTTTCCGTTGCTTACGCTCTATAGAGCGTAGCCTCGGGAGATCACTGTGGGCCATCAATGTCTCGGTGGCATGAGCGCACACTCACGACGTCTTGCTATGTCAAACTCCATGCAAGATCGTACTTCTGAGTTTGGCGAATGCGCCAACGTTCTGCTTCCGACTTCCCTATGAGAACAGCTACACAGCTAATTGATGTGCCGATAAGGACCTCGAGAGGCCACAAACACTCAAGCACCTGTTAAAGTTGGCGAGTTCACTGCACATACCACGATAAGCACAGAGACACACTCATTTCGGTGAAACGATTTGTTTGAAGTGCAAAGAGCAGAGTATGCCATTCCCCGTCCAATCCCACCAACGCCGAAATCTAAGGATATCACTTCCCACCCAACCCGTCATTATCTATCAAGCCATATCCGGCTCGCTCTAAATCGTCTATGGTGCCAATAATCCCGCAACCTGAACGCCATTACCATGCAAAATTCCGCGCCCACGCCAGCCCACTAGTGCTGGGCGATTTCTCCGCTTTGCCTCGGAGACTCTCTCCGACTGTTGATCTGTGTATTCCTGAACGTCTCTTCGTTTAACGTGTCCAGACTGCGTGCGGGGCTCGGTGTTGTGCCCCTGCTGCCGCGACTCCGAACGGGGCTACCGGGTCGTGATGTCGCGACATCGTAGCTAGGGAGCGAGACTTCCATCGGCGTGTACGACGCTGGTGTGCGAACTGCGGTGTTGTAGCTTGGTGTTCGTGCGAGCGCGGACATATCGTAGTCGTTGGCGGGAATGTCGAAGTATGATGGCTCAACGCCGTTCTGCGGTGTGCGGTGGTGCGGGGTGCTCTGGCCGGAGGAGTGGTTCGAAGACTGCGGACCCGAGTGGTCGCCGTTCGAGTCCTGGCGCGAGGGGTGAAAACGAGAGTGGCGATCGTTGTGAGACATGTTGAGGTTCGCGAGACGGTGCTGCAGAGCGATTGTGGAAACACCTGGCCCGTCTTGCTGGTGGGCAACTGCGTCTAATGACAAGTCCTCTGTCGAACCACGTCGGCTCTGTGCAAAGAAAGGCGTATTTGCGCCACTGTTCATTGTGCTGCGCCAGCCACCGGGCGTCATGAATCCAGAAGGATCGATGTCGTTGTACAGCTCATCAAGCTGGTGGAGGCCATATGTTGGGGGCGCGTTCTGGTTGACCTCGTCCGCGATCGCCTGTTGTGCCAGAAGACTGTTGTCTACTACTACACTTTGGTCCTCATTCGGCGGGAGGTTGGGTGAGATGAACAGGTGGACGTGATTTTTTACCAACAGCTGACTGGTGTGACCTTCGGGGTTCTTGAGATTGACGTAAAGCCTCAGCTTATGCGACAAGCGGATATTCTCTGTATCCACAGACTGCCTGCAGTGCTTCAGGGACTTGGGAAGATCCAACGACATCGAGAAACGGTGAGACTCGTCGAAAAGCGCATCGGCGTCGTCAACGTCGGCGGGTACAAGATGTGCGGAGTTGGAGGGCAAGTCTGCCTCCTTGGTGGCAACCTGTACATCAGTTTGGTGGCTTATCCTCCTGCCAGCGTACTCTGCGAAGAGTTGCCGTGATTCGATCAGCTCCATCTTGATCGTCGTGATCTCGACGCCCTTTCTAAGGGGTATTAATACGAAGTCGGCAGCGATTTGTGTGCCGATGATGTAGTTCTTCTGGGGAACTGTGATCTTGTAGGCAATCTTGTTCGCCCAGATATCTTCGTTGATCTGCATCGATCGTCAGCAGAGTGTCCTCGCAATGATCCGGCGCAACGCACCTGCTCCATTGGCATAGATTCGAGCATGTCGCGGCCCAGGGTGCGAATGACGCGGATATGCGACGAGGCAGAGAGCTGCTTGCTCATGTACCCGCGATCGACGGTCGCCTTCAGATCGTACACGATCCAATTTGTCGGCAGCCCCTCCACGCTCTGGTCGAGGTTGCTTGGCATGTTGAACTTGAAGTCCCACTCATGGTGGCCGGCGTTGATCTTGTGCGCTTTCGCGTTCTTGTCTGAGCAGGAGACAGGGAAGAGTGTGAGGGTGTCGACGAGGAAGTTTGTCTTGTGCGTGATCGGCTGCGGGCTAACGGTGTTGGCCAAGTGCCATCTGTCGCGGGGTATCAGTCTGCGCTCTGCAGTCACTCCAATGGGCGGGGGCTGCCGTACGAGACTTTGCGCGTCGCCGTCAGTGTGATGCGAACGCTACGCACCGAGATTGACTCGGGGTTGTGCAGGACCAGCTTGCCCTTGAGCTCTGCATCGTGCGATTCCGAGGGCTCGCCGTAGAACACCACAAACGGAGAGTCAGGCCTGTGCAACGTTAGCAGCCATATATGCCTTGCTTGCCTGCCTGCCTCTGCAGTGCGACTGCATTCGCACGTACTTGATCTCCAGCACGGGCGTGTGATCCCTCCCACCAAAGATTCCGGCACCGGGGCGAGGCATGATGTAATGAGGGACAAGATCCGGAAAATCACCAGGAGTCCAATCTCATAACACTCGGCTTTTCAGGTCTGAGCGCTATGAATATGCGCAGGAGATCGCTCCAACTTCCACAAGGTAAAATGTCAGGCGCAACGAGAGAAGGTTGGCGTAAAAATGACTGGTATGGATGGTCCTATCCAGATCAGTGGTCCGTAGTAGTGAGTGGTGGCTGAGCGTTTGCGTCTTGCGTGCGATACGGGCGGGTTTCTAAACAACCAACAATGCCTTGTGATGACGATCGAGCTGACTTTGCGAGCCAGCCGCGTGTGAGCCGCCTTCTTCTACATATACAGCAACCGGCGTGGGATGCTCGTCGCCGCTGCGGGCAAGGGCGGCCTGCATGGGCCCCAGCACCACCCTTGCACGTCCTCTCTGAGCGCGCCGCAATCCACTGCGCAGGGTAGGCTACCAGAGTGGATACCGTTGCTCGCATCATTGCCTTCGCTAGCGCCCTCTGCAATCTGCGCTCTGGGCGTCTTGCTTGTCTTCGGATATTGTTTTTTTCTGGCGCGACGGGTCCACTGAAGAGAAGGTGGGCCGATAGCCTTCCGCGAACGGCACGACCTCTGACACATGCTTGCTGCAGTGCTGCTGAGTGAGATAGGGGAAGCCATCATTGAGGTAACCAAGAGTCACGACTTTGCTACTCAGCACTGCCTGTGCAGATAGCATTCTGCTAGACCGTTTTGCTAGACCATTCTGCTAGACCATTCAACACCTGAGGCAGCTTCACGGTGCTCCGGTAGTGGTGGATCTACCCGCCTCGTCTCTAGAACAGAACTTCATGAATCAAGAAAATTGGCTTCAGCCTTCCCTTGTGCATGTTCATCAGCCACACACGCAGTCACGTCCGTACTGTCATCACGTATCAGCATATCAAGACTCCTGAGAGGTGTTCCAGATCACACCATTCGTCTCTGATGCGCATGCTATCCAGGTTAAGTGAGCATTCCTGTAACGGTAGTCCTTTGTCTAATGCAACGAAACATGCGCTTTCACAATCTGCATCTGTTTCCACTTCTGTTCATGCACAGTATGCGGTCAACGTCTCTACGGCCGCGGTACGGAAAATCTCTCGCTTGTTCGGGCAAGGAGCCGCACTGATCGACGTGCGACGCGCTGGTATCATTCCAGCTTCACATCGCGCACGGCAGCGGAATGCCGCAGTGGATACCTTTTCCACTGCGGTGCCCAAGAGCATGGCGCAATTAGACATCACAGCGATCGGGCTTCTCACCGAGGAGCACCATCGTAGCGATGAGTGTCGCACAGTCATCGAGAGATTAGTCGAGCATTAGGTTCTGACCATGTGTGTCGGACGCCATGTGATTGTGAGAGGTAGAGATAAGAGTAATATACAGCGCGCTGCATGCGCCACCGCCCCTGCATGTGCTGGTCTTTTGTACAGTCGTACGCCTGAGAGGATGCCACGCGCATGCACGACCCGTGTGGCGCGGTGAGTCCTGGTCGTGGGTGACGTGCGGTTCCAGAACGTGAGGACTCGGGCCTTCCCGGGAGGAAACGTTAAACAGCCATCCCTGCGAAACGCATGCAGGTGCTCGCAGAGCCTCATCGTAGCGCCCCATCGTCGCCAAAAGTCCGCCAATAAAGAAGCAGCTCCTACACGTGTTGTATGTCTATGAGATGCCAGCGCTTGAGCCTGTCTGTGAGCGCGTCCTCAAGCTGTCGTCCGTCGACGAGCCTTCCTTTGGTCGATCCCAAGTCCTGACGTGCCCTGCGAAACGTTCTGGTCAGCACAGTCCTGACTACGATCCACATCGAGGATCCTTATCAACTCGTATGAAGTTTTGCAACTCCCAACAGAAACACAGCGCACTCGCCGAGCGGGTCATGCACGGCGGCGGGTATTACTGCCCTAGCGTGATGGGTGCGGCGAACGAGCTTATCGCATAATTTTTAGACAGAAACGTGCTTCTGAGGTTGGGAGAGAAAATTTCTAGGCGATGAGTGGCGGTTGACGAGAATGAGACGTACCGTTCTTGCACGATGTTATTATGCAATCTTCCTCAAAGGCCAACCATGTGAGAGGATGTTCGTCGACTGATTTGGTCTGCGCAGCGTTAGCACTAGTTCGTCGTGACGTTGTTCGTGTTCTTTAACTCACCAACACCGGAGGCAGCATCGCGGTGCGTGCGCGGGGCTCTACGGGATGCACAACCTCATCGTCATCGAGTGCGCTCCCTGATGACAGATTGGAGTTCGATCTCATACGGCTGGCTGAACTCTCCGTTCGCGTGCGCTGAATGCTCGCCGACGCCATGCTGTTCCTTGGCCGTAATGAAGCAGCTCGTGGTCGATGCAGCATCCCTACACTGAAATCCCACAACAGCAACCTGGTATCTTCTCCGACACTCCCTATCCGGTAACTGCGCTCATCACATCTCCACGGATCAAACTGCACGCCTGTGACCCAGGAGTTGTGTCCTTGGCAGCGCGCTACTAGCATACGGTCTTCCAGCGACCAAATTGAAACGAGGTCGTCTTGCCCTCCGGTAACGACATATCTGCCGTCAGGAGACCAGCACACGCACATCATGCCGCCATAGTAGCTCATATAGTGGTGGAGCAGCTTTTCCCGAAGGAAATCGATGATCCTGAACGAACCGTCTTCAGAGACAACGGCGAAATGGCGGCGATCTGGCGAAAACTCGAAAGCGTTTATCTTAGAACTGGACACGTGCCAGTACGAAACTGGGTTTGCCTTCTGGTTCTTCGACTGAATGGACTTTTTTACTGTCAGCCTGGTCTTTCGCTCCATGTCAGACATGCCCTCGTCAGGTGTCTGATCCTCGGGAACAAAGGCGACGTCCTCCTTCTCTTTGTCGTATACGATGAGACTTCCATCCATGTGTGCTGCCATGAATAAATTCTCGCTGTTTGGTATCCAGCGAATGTCAGATACTGCTGTTGGATTGATGATGCCGTTCTTGTTCAAACGAGAGTACTTCTGCGACATAGGCTCGTACCAGATGATGTCACCGGTCGAAAAGCCCATAACAATGTCGAGGTGATTCGGCCCCTTCGTGACCTGGTTGATGTCGTGACACAGCGCATGTGCCTTGGTGAACAGGATCTTGGTCAAATGCTCCTCCTTGGTCGGAGATGTCAGGTCCAGCCACTGCAGTGCGCGATTGATGTTGGCGAAAGCATAGAGGCCGTTGACGTTGTGTTCTTGCAGGCGCTTTGTGAGAGCTTCGTGTGGGATAACTCTGGACACGAACGACGAGTTGCTCTTGACAATGTTGTTCTTGGGCTTGTTCCTCTTGCTGGGGTCCTTCGAGACCTTGCCGTTCACAACGGTCAAGGCTGCATTGCCTGCGCCAAACACGGGTGTCCGTAGACCATCCAGTGGCGCTGACACAAAGCCATTGACACCCTGCGAGTCAGTCTCGCTCGTGTGGCTATTGGAGTCGTGTTCGGCGATCGGCAGGACCTGCGACCGTGTGCTGTTCTTCGTGTCGAGTCGCTGGAGCAGTGTCGAGGACGGCTGGCGCGGCGCAAGAGCAACGAGTGACAGCTTGGTGCCCTGGGTGGGCGGCGTTACGTTGGTCGCAAGTGGGTTGGGATTGTGGACGGGCGCTTCAGATGGGTGCGGCGGCGGGGTGGCCAGATGGAGGTCGTCGCGAAGTACGTAGGTGCCTGTCATGTCGATCGTCAGCAGGAGCGTCCCGCGTGCCCTGCGCACACACACGCCGTCTTCACATACCCTCTCCCACGACCAATTGGTACTCGGGCCCCGTCGGGCGGGCGATGCTGTTGTTGGTCTCGATAAGCTGGCCTGGCGGTGCGCCGGGATAGCCGCCAACAGGGTACCTCGGGGGTGGAGGGAGCACGCTGGGATGCGCGGTCAGTCAAGCTTCGCGCTGCAGATGGTGGCATGATAGTGGTGGTGCTGCGATTGGTGGGCGGGCCTGGGCCTACTTACAACATGGCTGATGCAGTGCAAGGTACTGTGCGTTAATCACTGTACAGCGCGCGCAGACACAGGCATGACGAGGAGGGTGGGGCGATTGTGTATATGTCGGAGTATGAGGCCCCGTGTGCGCTGCGAACACCGGACGGCGCAGTCGACCGAAGCGTGGAGAATGCGGAGAAGGACGGCCTAGCATCGCATTTGGACGTGGCTTGCGTTGGATGCTTGGAGCGAGTTACGAGCGCGCGCTGCTGTCCTTGCGTCCACGCCCTCGGTGGAGGCGATCGGCATGGAAAGCGCATTCGAATTTCGAGGCAAGGCTGCGTCTTAGCAACGGCGAAGCTTGTCATCTCCATTCACCGTTCCAGGCGCCTGGCGCAATGCGGGGAGCTTAGGGGTTTGATCGGCCAAGACACGTGGACGAGCGCTCGATCGAATCATACATCACCGAGCGTAGTGTCACAGGCTGACAGCGTACCGGCATAGACCCGTCAAACTTCGATTGAAACAACAATTGCTTCTTCCCATTCTCCCTGCCAATCTCATCTGATGTGCAGTGAGCTGTGAACATGCTGAGAAATGGCCACCGGTATGTGGAGCTCCCTGCCCGAGCTGTCATGGTTGTTGATGCCGGTTGCTTGCCTGCCACGGCCGTTGACTAATGTGGCACCCCAGTCCGAATCTGTGTCTGCGGTGACGAGGGAGTCGGCAAGAGCTCCATCATCACCTCGCTCGTCAAGGATGTCTTCGTCACCGCCAAAATCCAACCCGTGCTCCCCCAAGTAACGCTGCCGCCTACGCTCGGGACGCCGGATAACGTCACCACCACCATCGTCGACACCTCCGCCCTGCCCCACGAACGACATGCTCTGCGCAAGGAGCTGCGCAAATCGAACGTCATACTGCTGGTGTACTCGGACCACTACAGCTATGAGAGGGTCGCGCTGTTCTGGATGCCGTACTTCCGCTCATTGGGTGTGAATGTACCGGTGGTGCTGTGTGCAAACAAAGCCGACCTAGCTTCGAATGGAACCACGTCGCAGGTGGTGGCAGAGGAGATGCTGCCAGTAATGAACGAGTTCAAAGAGATCGACTCGTGCATACGGACAAGCGCCAAAGAGCATGCAAACATCAACGAGGTCTTCTTCCTCTGCCAAAAAGCCGTCACACACCCAATAGCACCGCTATACGACTCAAAAGAGAATGCGCTCAAGCCTGCAGCCGTCTCTGCGTTGCAACGAGTGTTCCACCTCTGCGACACCGACAAGGATGGGTACTGGAACGACCAGGAGATACATGACTTCCAGATCAAGTGCTTCGAGAAGCCATTGGGCGAGGATGACCTCGCGAATATCAAGAAGTCGATGGAAAGATTTGCGCCAGGCGCTACTGGGGAGAATGGTATGGATGAGAAGGGTTTCCTGTTGTTGAACAAGATCTTTGCAGAGAAAGGCCGCCATGAGACCATCTGGATCATCCTGCGGAAGTTCCACTACACTGATAGTCTCAGTCTTCAGGATGCGTACTTGCGGCCGAAGTTCGAGGTCGCGCAGTTCTCGTCCGCAGAGCTCAGTCCAGCTGGATACCGGTTCTTTGTCGATCTGTTCTTGAAGTTTGACAAAGACAACGACGGTGGACTCAACGACCGCGAACTCTCGAATCTATTTGCGACAACACCCGGGATACCCATGTCTTGGACAGATTCAGCGTTCCCATCGTGTACGGTACGCAACGAAGCTGGCCACATCACACTCCAAGGTTGGCTCGCGCAATGGAGCATGACTACATTCGAGGAGCCAAAAACCACACTCGAGTACCTAGCATATCTTGGTTTCGAAAGCAATGATCGCAGTGGCACCACAAGTGCGCTGAAGCAGACAAAAGCAAGGAAGCGGAGGAATCGGCCGGCGCGAGTAGAGCGCAATGTCTTTCTATGCTACGTGGTTGGGTCAAGTGGCAGCGGAAAGAGCGCGTTGTTATCGTCGTTTCTGCAGCGGCCATTTACGCAAACCTATCATCCCACCATCAAACCTCGATCAGCAGTCAACAGCGTTGAACTCAAAGGTGGCAAACAATGCTACCTCATCCTCGAAGAACTCGGCGAGCTGGAGCCTGCGATCCTCGAAAACCAAGCCAAGCTCGACGCGTGTGACTTGGTGTGCTACACATATGACTCTTCTGACCCGGACAGCTTTGCGCATATTGTGGAGCTACGGAAGAAGTATCATCACCTGGATGCGCTGCCTGCAGTGTACACGGCTCTGAAGGCAGACCAGGACAAGACGATGCAACGATGCGAGCTGCAGCCTGACGAGTACACGAGCGCGTTGCGCATGGCACCGCCCCTGCATGTCAGTGCGACGTGGAGCAGCATATCGGAGCTGTTCGTTCACGTAGGTAGCCTCCCGTACCTCCTGTACCCCACGTGATGATTGCGAGCTGACCAAGTGCAGCTGGCTGAGTGCGCGACACATCCATCGACTGCGTTCCCAAAGAACGAAGACGAGGGTGGGTACGATAACATGAACTTGTATCTGGCGCTGGGCGCGGCTACGTGCGTCGTTGCGTCGGCGGTATTCGTCTGGAAGAGAAACAGCGCATCCTCATGATGATGATGATGATGATGATGATGAGGCTGCATGTGATGACGTTCAGGGGATGGTAAATAATCAATAATGCACTCCTTGTCGACGACAATAAACGCGACAATGATGCAATGTCTGTGCGACGTGCTCCTGAGTGCAGCTGGGTGATGATGCTGTGTGCAGTCGAGCAGTTGGGCGTGCACGAGGTTAGCCTCTCTCTGGAGGGCGCCGGGACCCTTGGACATCAGATGAAGGCTGCAGGGCCTCACTTTGTTCGCCCACAGCCTCAGGCATCCTCTGCAGTCTGCACCGCCGGCGATGGTGCCCCCTGTCCGACTCTTCCTGAATCCTCACACGCCTGCACGCCGCCTATCACTTCGACGGCCCGCCGCCCTGTCGCTCACTCGCTGATGCACTCGTTGTCGCGCCCGACGCTCCCCTCAGGCACCCCCCGTGGCCGTCAGCGCCGCTCCGCATTCCTCGCGCCAAAATGGTGAGTCCACGGCAGAGCGCCCTCACGTACTCGGCGCAGCTAGTGGGCACGCAGCGTGCCGGGCGGTGAAACAGACGTCCGCTGCTGCTGTTGCGGCCTCACCCCCCTCCCCTTGCCGCTGCATCTGCCCGGCGCCCGGCCGCACTCTTTGAGTCTTGAGTCTTGACTCCTCCTTGTCGCTTGTCGTGGAGCACCTCGCTGACCTCCTCTCCGCCCACCCTGCAGGCCGCTGACCGAGCACGCGAGCTCGAGCGAATGTACCAGATGCGCCGCGGCCATGTCCCGCACATGTCCATCAGCGACGACAACCACCACGTCACCGAAGCCATCGGCGACCTGTACGGCCGTGACAGCGACTCCGAGTCGCCCAACGGCAGCTCGCGCCCGCTCAGCTTCCTGCCGGACTCCCTGAGCGAGAGCATCCACACCCCCTTCAATCCCTTCCCCGACATGGCCCCGCCCGCGAAGTCTCCCCTGCGTCCGCAGCTGCCGCCAGACGGCACGTCCCAGCTGTCCACGAGTCCCAGCGGCCCTGCCGGCATGCGTGCCAACGACCAGCTCTCGCCGCCGCTGTCACGCTCCTCGTCCGACACGGCCTCGCAGCAGTTCCCCCTCAACGACCTTGACTACGAGTCGAGCCCTGCCGGCCTCGCCCAGGAGCTCAGCAATCTGCAGGCCATCCGCCGCATGTCCATGGATGTCCACAACGCCGACCCCGACCTGCCCTCGTTTCAGTCCTACAGCTCCGGCCCCGTCTCGCCGCCGGCCATGTCTGACGACGACGACGAAACCCAGCAGCTGTTCTGGGTGCCCGCTCGCCTGCACCCCGAGCTGGCCCCCAAGGAGTTCAAGACGTTCATCGAAGAGAAGGTCCACACCATAAGACGCCGCTCCGGCGACCTGGGCTCATCCTTGTCCCCGGATAGCGGCATGGGACGACAGGACTCCGGGGGTGGTCTGCGCAGGAAGAAGTCTATGCTCTCACGCCAGATCGACACCGGTTCTGGCTACAAGGACGGCGCTGAGCGTCTGGAGAGGAAACGCTCAGGCACTCAGCCGAACGGCGGGTTGGCGAATCTGCAGGAGCTGGAACATATTGTAGAGGACCCGGCGGCCATGGTCCGACGAATGAGCATGTCCAGGAGCCCAACGCCAGAGGCGGTCGACGGCGACGCACCGATCATACCTGGTGGCATGGGAGGCGGCATGGGCACATTGAAGCGTTCTACACGTACCACGTATAGACGAGGCAGTCTGAGAAGCACGGGTCGATCTGTACCACTCTCGAGACGACTTGTCAGTCGCAACGCCGAGACGGATACTGAAGAATCGCCAGCCACTTCGCCCACCCGTCCAGACGTGCCCGAGCTGCCCAAGTTGGTGGGCATCAACAGAGTACAGTCAGAGCCAATCAATGGTGCTTTCGAGTCTTCCAACTTCTCACGGCCCAGGAGGAAGACGCCCACCGAGGAGGAGCAACGACCCGGTTCTGCTGAGCCTCAAGGACGGCCTGGCTCAGCCGAACCTGAGCAAGAGGAGCGCAAGGGCTCGAAACCCAGGGCCTTCCACTCGAGGATAGCATCCAACGGTCGGACAAGTGCTCACCTGCCTGGCTACAATGCCCCTGCACCAACGCTCGCATCACCTGTCCCGCAAATCATCGAAACCCCCCCACCTCCAGAGCCAGAGCGAAAGCAACAATACCAGCTTCCTGAGCGCACGACCTCACGACAGCCGCTCGCACAGCAGCAACAGCAGCAGCAGCAAAGGCCTCAACAATATCAACAGCAGCATCCGCCGCAGCAGCAGCAGCCCAACGGGCCACGAGCTCAGACCCAGCCCCCGCCCCAGCAGCAACGACAGTCGCCTGTTCACAGACAGAACAAGCACGCTCAAGCTGCTCAAAATTCTCCAATCAAGCCACAGCAGTCGCTCGATGACCTGACGCAACATCCTCCTGCTATTCCCGGCAATCATAGCACAAGAACTGACAACCTCTCGATCATTCCAAATCTTCCGGACGAAAAGAAAGATAAGAAGTCCAAAGACAAGAAGGAAGATGGGCCAAGGAAGACGAGTTGGGGCTGGCTCGTCGGCAACGACAAGAAGGAGAAAGAGAAGGAAGAGCGCGAAAAAGAGGCGGCCAAGAAAGTCAAGAACAAGCTCAGCAAGCCGCAGGAGAAGCCTGATGATACCCGGCTTGACTTGCTGCAGTCTGCGAGTGGCCAACGTGGGCGAGAGAGCGTTGTCTTGGACCGCGACAGCGTCAAGCTCGAAGAGGAGCGAAAAAAGGAAAGCAGCCGAAAGGCATCCGGCGACAAGAAAGAGAAAGAGCATGGCCTGCTCTCTTCGATCTTCGGAGGTGGAAAAAAGAAGAGCGAGAAAGAGTCGAGCCACAAAAAGAACACTTCACGTGGTCTGTCTCCCGAGCCTCCGCCTCGAACCCTCAAGCCCGACATCGACTACAACTGGACCCGATTCTCCATCCTCGAAGAACGTGCCATATACCGCATGGCTCATATCAAGCTCGCAAACCCTCGCCGAGAACTTTACTCCCAAGTCTTGCTCAGCAACTTCATGTATTCCTATCTCGCCAAGGTACAGCAAATGCATCCGCAGATACAGATCGGAAACTCGAAACAGGCCAAGCTAGCTGTAGCTCAACAGAAGAAGGAGCAACAACAACAGCAGCAGCAGCAACAGCAACAGCAGCAGCAGGCACAACAGCAGCAGCAACAACAACAACAACAGCAGTCGCAGCAGCCTGAAGAGTTCTCGCAGTATCAGCGGTATCAGCAGCAGGTAAGCCAGGAATCAGTCAGGTGATCTGTGAACTAGGCTGATTAACCTGGCAGCAGCAGCAGCAGGCGCAGCAGCAAGAACAGCCTCAAAATTCGAGCGAATGGCCAAGTGCCTACGGACAGCAAGAGCAAGGTCAGCAGCAGAACGGGCACCAGCAACAGCAGAAGTATGGCCAAAGTCCACGTGACAGCCACCATTCGCAGCACAGTGTGAACGGCGGAGGCTACAGTGTTTCAAACAGCTCAAACTATCTCGGCCAGCCCGTGCGGCAGGGACAGCCCGGTCACTCGGACTCGGATAAGAGCGGAGACGATGACATGTGGTAGCAAGCGGAGGCAAGACGCCCTATTCATCTCACCACAATTGCTGAGCATCATCATATTTTCTCAACGGAGCGGACAGCCATGGACATCTCGTCCGCAGATCGCACGTTTCCCTTTTCTGTATTATATGTATCGGCCTCCTTCTATTTGGTGCGCTAATTTCTATTATCACATTTCGATCTACTTCTGCTTTTGTACCAGGAGTATAGTAGGGATGTAGCGGGGCGCACACGGATGTATAGAGAGGAATCTTGGGACAAATGAACTGCACGGTCGTGGATGCAGGACACATGTACGGTCGGAACGGGAGTAGTTGTAGGAAGGTGCAGGCTTAGCCGAGTACACCTGTATACAGATGTAGTACCGAATCCTGCAACTTCCTACACATCGAACATGATTTTCCCATACAGCAAACGCTCTCGAGACTGCGCTAGAACAAACGATAAGAGCTTATCGGCAACTTTACCCCACATGATGCAGGTGACGATGACAAGCTTACACCGACATTTCCAATTAGATCAAATCTGCATCGGACGCACGTGCTATACATACTCGCTCTACTCACTTTTACCTGTAACACAGAACATCTTCACCCAGAGATCGCCAGCACGGCTGATCTGTACACACCACCACCACCACCGCCATGGCATCTTCAATCGACCCCTCGCAACCCCCCCTCTCACCCACCTTCGAAGCCGGCACGATCCCGCACGAGACCATTTCCACACAGACACTGATCGACACGCTCAAAATGACAAAGCACCCAGAGGGCGGCTACTTCACCGAACTCGACCGCGATCCCCGCACAGTCTCCAACCCCTTCCAGGACCATCCGTATGCTACTACCGCACAGGCGCCGCTCTCCGGCGACAATGCTGTCCGGAATGCGTCGACGAGCATCCTCTACTTGTTGACGCCGCACTCGCCGCAGGGCTGCTTTCATAGGAATGCTGGCAGGACTGTGCACACGCTTATTCAGGGGCGAGGGCGGTATGTACTTGTTCATGATGATGAGGGGGAGGGGGGGAAGAAAAGAGTGGAGAGTTTTGTGGTTGGGAAGGATGTAGAGGCGGGGGAGAGGGTGGTGTGGATTGTGGAGGGGGGCAAGTATAAGGCGAGTTTTCTTGAGGCGGAGGAAGGGGTCGATGAGTGGGAGAGTAGGCTGTTGATTAGCGAGGTAAGCTATGCTGTGTTCTTTCATCCGTTTTTTTTTCATTCATGATTCGAGCGCAAAGGTGTGCGGGCGCTGATGCGGAGTGACACGCGCTGATCAGGGCTGCAGACGGTTGTTCCGGGATTCGAGTACGCGGATCACGATTTCTTGACTGAGGAAACTTGTGGGGAGATTTTGACACCGGAGCAGGCTGACGAACTGCGGTGGTTGGTTAGGAAAGAATAAGGCGATGATCATAGCAGGAGTGGTGCTCAACGATCAACTAAAAGAGTCGTTTCTGATTGAGAGGTAGACCATTGATATGGTCTGTCTAAATCCCGCCGAGAGGCACCGCCATCATATGTCGGGAGCCCTGGGGTACAACTTTGGCCATGTGCTATATTGACCCGGACGCAATGGCGATACTTCGTTGTCACCATCAAGATCTTGATGGTCTGTCCAAGTGTTACGATAGGTCAAGGTCGTGATATTGTCATCATTTTGCTGGTGAATTTGAACTGCCCTTATACATGAAAAGAGCCAACCCGGCAATCTGCAATGAGACAAGATGCATTGATCGACAAGGGGTGCTGGCTGATGGCCAATGTTCTTCTGTTGTAGATCGTGCACTATGCATCCTGCGTCATCTAGTAGTGCTTCTGGAGGATCAATTAGCATTCATCTTTTGAGCCATGGACTCAATGTACGTACCGTCGTGACTGTACTGAGTATCTAGTGTTGCATGCGATCCAGATGAGCTGGTACTATCACTCTCCTCATCGCTCCGCTCGTGGAAGGCACATTGGGTGTTCACAGCGTACGGCGTACGGCTTTGAGGCTTTCATTGAGATGATGTCTGGAGATAAGCAAAGTGAAACGCTCAATTTCTCTACATCTGAGTCATGGAGCATCATTCGCATGCCGTAGACGATGTAGCCTAATCGAACATGTCTCCAATGTCCCAGACGGAAAATGTCATGATCAGAGAGTTGCAGTCTTTTTCGGAATGGTCGACACGCGATGAAAAGCCATCGCTTACACCACTGACCGAATTCTAGTCCATCAAGGATGCCGTGCGAGTCGAAAAACGTCAGTAGAGGAAGTTAAGACGCCAGGGAAGAAGTGTCCCATTTGAGTCCTGAGGGTTTGCAACTGAGTAACAATCAGGCGCACAGTGCTAATCAGGAGCAATGCATATACAGCAATCAATATATGGTAGGCCATGAATAGTGATGGCACGACGGCCCGCCCCTGATCGGTCCTTTGAATCTGGATGAGTGCGGTCTTCGCCACGTTCAGCAGCGTCGCAGCCACGTTTCGAGTGACTGAGCATAATATCTAAACACGATGGTATAAAAAGCCCCAATTAAATCGGTACAGTGCTTTGCCGTTCGTGCGTGCGGCCTTTCGGATGTCTTTTCGTTTCTGAATGGATTCGGACGCTGTTGCTTGGTGAGGTATAATGCGAAGGTATGTCCAGTAGATGGCCGTCCACCGTGCTGCCGATATCGCTCCTGCAATCGAAGGCGTAAGTGATATGAGCCTTTCGTATAGTTCTTCCTTCCCTTGTAGTCTTTCGGGCTGTGTTCGGTTCAGAACGACGAGTACAAGCAGACCCGCTTCATAGCCAGCGAAGAAGATCAATGCAAGAACGAGCGCCCAAGTGCGCAATATCGTCGGTAGAAAATTCAGCGAAGGGAATCCTGGTGGCGCGTCGATCGGTAGATAGTCGTCGCCTAAATTTGTCCAGCAAAAGTTAGTTCAATTCGACGCACTGCATCGACTTGCGCTTGGCCAGGATAGGACACCTGGAAGGAGATACGTGAGACCTGTCGACGTTGCTTTCTTGAGCACTATATCCCGTAGGGTGTTCTTGGAGCTCATAGTATTACTCTACGTTTAACCTTGTGTGGACCTCCTCCATGCTATGAGTGGTGGACGTTGAAAATTGTGCTTGATGCGCAAGATGCAGTAATCAGAGTCATTCACAACGCTAGAATACTGGAAAGGGCAGAGAAGCTACAGTGTGCAGCCGAGGGGAATGGTGAAGGGACGGAAGGGACGAGATCTCCCGATCGAGTCGAAAACGAAAGTTCTGGCGCTTCAAAAAATGGATGGCGGGCGCGTGCGTGATATGATCACTGCCTTGGGAGATTCTCTGCCTCGTCCGTGGGAATAGAGGCAGCCATGCGGTTGGACGTGCTCAGTCAGAGCACCCTGACCAATGATGATCCATTCAGCGATACACAGAAGTACCAGCGTGACGAATCGATTCCAGAGCTGTCGTAGATGTTGGGCTCTTAGCCTGGTCGATCTTGTGATTATCGTCTTTTTTTGTTGTCCCGCAGGGAGCTTACCGTTCCCGCGTCTTGGGTTCTTTCAACAACTGAGTGAATAGTAAGTCTATTAGATAGGTTGTGCGTCAAAAAGTAAAAGTCAAGTAGGCGTTGTCGGTCGCTGCAAGGCTAAAACGAGGAGTCCACCCCGCGTGTCGTTGTTTGAAGCTGCAGGTGATAGGTGGATCATATCATCAACTAGTAAAGTTGCAGATACCGCCTCATAGACAAGATTCACTTGTGTTGGGACGTTACGCGGACGGATACAAGGTGCGGTGCCAGCGAGTCAATGGCAACATACTGGCAACTGGACAACTGTTAGACAACGAAGTCAAAGATCACAAGGACTTGCTCGACTTCGTCCGGAGTTAAGCTGATAAAGGTCGAATTTTTCGGGCAGACACTCATACGTTGAATCGCATATTGCTTATATCGCGGATGTGAGTCCTGACAGACACCGGACGAGAGGAAGGAGCTCTGTAAATAGATCACCTCGGAATCGAAATCAATGCGACACGTCGATCTTCATAATAGAATTAGTATGATTGACAGTACTCAAGATGACTTTGAAGCTTTGTGACCTCTTCACGATAAAGTCGCGACAGATAATGACGGAAAAGTGACTTCTCGATGCTTGTTGGAGCTTCCCCACAATCCGGCATACCGTATTTGGATAGCGCGATCGGTCATTCCAGCCGAGGTCGCGGATACTACACGCCGGGGGCGCTTCTCCGCACCATGGCCAAGCTGCTCTCCCTTGCATTTCGCACACCTCTCCAGAAGAAGACCTTCACATTCTGCGAGACTTAGAACTCGCTAGATCTTCGAGAGGATAATCGAGAATCCTTCAACTGAGCTTCTTGTGAACTTCTGCGTTGCACGATTCCAAAAACGCCCCGCATCACGTCGAGCTCTAGCAACACACGATGACGATATCGACCGCAGTCCGCATAGCGCCCTCCCGCGCTGCACGCGCAGTGAATCTCCTCCGAACTGTCCAATTCACACACCCATCCTCATGTCCATGTCACGCCAATCCCAACTACCACAATCAAACGCCATCAACCATACACCAAGCACGCCGACACCTCGCGACCCCGGTCAACTTCTCGCAGCAGAAAGAATATGCATTCGAAATGGCAGCTTCGAGTATCCGATTTGGACCTGGGTGTACAAAGGAAGTAGGCATGGACTTCAAGAACATGGGGTCGAAGCGTGTTATGGTTGTCACAGATCAGAATGTAAGGAAACTGGACGCTATGAAGCAGGTTGTTGAGGGGCTCTCAAGAGAGGGTGTAACTTTCGAGATATACGACAAAGTCAGGACGGAGCCAAAGGATAGTAGCATCAAGGACGCGATCGATTTCGCAAAGCCTTGGAAGCCAGATGCGTTCCTGGCGGTGGGCGGTGGTAGTGTGATCGATACTGCGAAGTTGATGAATCTGTATACCACGTTTCCCGGTAAGACACTCCTTTGGACCCAAGCCAACGTTGAACATGCTAACGTACCTCAGAGGCTGACTTCCTCGACTTCGTCAACGCACCGCTCGGCAAGGGTCTACCAATCCCTGGAAAGCTCTTCCCGCTTGTCGCAGTACCCACAACAGCAGGAACAGGTTCCGAGACCACGGGTACCGCCATTTTCGACTTGGTCTCGAAACGTGCGAAAACCGGCATTGCGCACCGAAACCTGAAGCCCACTCTCGGCATAGTCGATCCCCTCAACACTCGTACTATGCCCAGCGCAGTGCACGCCTCCTCGGGTCTCGATGTGCTCTGCCACTCCCTCGAATCGTGGACGGCCATTCCTTACTACGAGCGCACGCCGCGCCCCACAAATCCTCTCTTGCGCCCGGCCTACCAAGGCGCAAATCCCATCTCCGACATCTTCTCTCTTCAAGCCCTTCGCGACACCGTCAAGTACCTGCCCCGTGCAGTGAAGGACCCCGAAGACCACGAGGCGCAGAGTCAAATGCTGCTCGCTTCGACACTGGCAGGTGTAGGTTTTGGCAATGCAGGTGTGCACTTGTGCCATGGCATGTCGTACCCCATCTCAGGTCAGAACCCAGGGTACAAGCACGCCGGGTATGAGGTCGACCACACTATCATCCCTCACGGCGTCTCGGTCGCTGTTACCGCACCTGCAGTTTTCAAGTTCACGGGCGCGTCGAACCCAGAGAGGCATTTGGCTGCAGCTGAGGCGTTTGGAGTCGATATTTCGAACGTGAAGAGAGAAAGTGCAGGTGAGGTGCTCGGTGAGGCGCTGGCGGAATTCCTGGTCAAACTGGGTGACCAGCCGCGCGGTTTGAAGGCGCTAGGATTTGGGAAGGAGCATGTCGATGGGCTGGTGGAAGGCACTATCCCGCAGCAAAGAGTGTTGATGCTTGCACCGCATCTCGAGACTGAGTTGGATCAGCAGAGAGAGCAGTTGAGGGGCCTGTTCGAAGAGGCGTTGGAGTACTGATGAATGCCGGTCGTTTTGACTAGACTGAGAACCGTGATGGATCCAGTTGTACGTATCAACAGAAGCTCGCTCAAAATACACTTACGCACATATTCTCGCTATGACGCTGGAGCAGCGATTCTTTACCACTTCCATGTGATTGGAAAAGTCACAGTCGGAGTCTTGCGACCGCTGACTGGTCTAGTAGCCGCGCTTGGCGCTTAGCTTCGTTGGCTCTGTTCTCAAGCCTTCGGACTGTAGCTGGCCTCTTCGCCTGTCACATTGCGGTTGCGACTTCCGTATCGCGCCCTGTTGTCTGCTTCAGCGCATCGTAATACTCTGCTACGGATCTGTCTTTTCCCACTGCAACCTTTTGACTCATGCAAGACATCGAAGATTGGGAGCCTACCCAGTTCGCCCCTCGCTGCAGCATTGCGGCACAGTTGGTCAGGAGTCATGTGCTGGATGAACAACACGACTTTGAAGGATTCACGCTGCCTGATGCATCATTATCACCTCCTCGAGTGAAGACGATCCATCCGGCCTGCCGAGTCGAGTGGCGGGACGGGCACTCCAACCGACGATATGGCTTCACCGCTAGTGAAGAACAGTGTATACGCGCCCGGTTTGATTCCTAACCAATCCACTCACAGAAGGCACCCGTCAGCTCTTAGTCCTTCGTCCTTCTGCTTGATCCTGCAGTTCGAGCAACGCCTCATCTGAAATGCACCAAGTAGAGCCCTTATATACGCGCTGGGCGCTTTCGCGAATGACAGCGCGCGTACAATATCTTGAATGTAAGCAGCCAAGCAGGTAAACAGGCGCGCTGACAGCCCCCTGACAACTGTCCAGCTATGACCATTTCCTAACTGGCGGATTCATCGTTCGACAGCCACCCCTGGACCCCAATTTCAGCATCCGGCTCCACAATAGCCATCACGTTCAAAGACATCGCTATGATTGGCAGTCTGCTGCACCTTCCGATCCATGCAGGCAGGCCCGAACTGGCGTTGCGCGGGTTATACAAAACGTGATGAGGACCAGGGCAACGGTAGCGACACCACGGCATAGCCTGGTTCAGGAGGCGGATTCCGCCCCAGCCTTTTTTCAAGATCGCTGGTTTGCGACACGCTGCGGGGCGAGAAAGGACAGACATATGTGTTGTAATTCTTTGAGCAATTCATAGGCGCCCCGGATGGACTATGTTCGCGCGCCTAAGCGCACCGCGCTTATGGAGTCCCCTTCACTGACAGCAATGCACCGCGCGGCTTGGTCACCCGCGTGTGGCTGCGCCGCTAGTGGTATCGTAGGGGTGGTTCGGTAGAGGCAGCCCCTCCATTGACTGAAGACCGGCACGCTCTCGCTTGTTCATTCTCTTCTCTAACCTCACAGCCTCATCCGCTGGAATGCTTTGACACTGTCATAATTTGCCTGTTTAGTCTCTTGCATCTCGCTGTTTGTATCTCTTCCTGGTTCTTACCCTTATGTACCTTCAATCGCAAAGATGAGCATCCACCTTCGCATCCCATCTTTACAAGAACGTCGACCAACTTCCAGAGCAAGTCGCGTAGCTTGATACGATCTTCTTCTCCACCGCGGTCGCCTGCGCTACATGGCGATAACTGCGAGGCTATCGAATCAGACGGGCAACCATGTCACAAACCACTACCGTCTGACCATGACGTGTGGTGTACACGTCATGCTCAGGATCTCAAGGACATGAATTTGGCCTGGGATAAGTTCCAGAAGGAGGCGGAGAAGATAGAGGTCAGAAACCCGGGCACAGCGAAGCAGAAAATGCAGAAGCTGCAGCTGGCGTTGAACCTACGCCGCCGCTTGCGTGAGAGATTTCATACTCGGGGTGTAGACACACTAAACTACACAAAATGGATTGCAAAGGTCGAGACCGATACCAGACAACTTGCAGATGCATTGTTAAGTATGTTCCCCATATTTATCCAGACAAAATTCATACGCGATGCGCACATTGTCTGCATGATCGATGCTGTGGCTTATCTCACAGGGGTACATCTTAAAAGTCCTTACCTATCATGCGCTTTTCTGATGACGGCAGCATTAGGGTTCTGAAACAGTTCCAGACTGACCTCTGCAATGATGCTATCAACCGTTTTTACAGCATCGTGCCTGATCTTGACGATAGGCCTCGTAGAAACGACTCAAGCGACGGGGTCTCAGTCGATCCAGGTGTGGAAATTGTACGAGCCTGGTTCAGAATCATGATTTTGAACGATAGCGAGGCAGAGATCCTGGAGCACGCGAGCAGGTCAAGATGCATCGATGAGTTCCTCGCTGGCTGTCAAGCTCATCAGCTAGAGATGTACTGTGACTACTTTGAGAATGCGTGGCGTCCTAGGCAGTTCAATACTTGCGTGTCGTGATCTGTGCACAAACGCTGGCTGGAGGCGATATCAAGTCAATACGTCTGCTTGGTGGTGTTATCCCCAGTTCAACGGAGGGTTTGCGCATGGCTAAGCCCGCTTGGGACATCCTGTAAGCGCTTTGCGTGTGGGACAATGCTTTTTTGCTGATCAAACCGCAGCTACCGTTGGTTCCCAACTCTACTGACGCCCTGGACCGTCGCAAGTATCTGCTCGAACTTCGAGGACTACACCACGATCTGTAAGCTCCTGATGCTCGGCATGTATAATGAGCATTGGTTCGATCCGACGAGTATATTAAGTGAATGCACTACTGGTGTATACCTTGGTTTCGTCCCGACATGTAAAGGCGATTACACGTCGAGTCTCAGATTGAAAAACGAGACCAGAGCCTACGTCCATGTCGAATCCCGAAATTATCTTTGTGGACAGATGGCTATGGGTGGTGGTTTCACTCGGGATTTCTTGGAAGAGCTGCGCAGACGAACGAATCGACTGCACCTTGTCGTATACGAAGGCACCAACGCAGAAGCCACCGTGCACCCGACAGAACCAGAGCTCTTCATGGATCGTTACCGATCTGCGTCGACACGTGAGGGCCTGCACGATGCACCATGGACTACAACCATGACGCTGGAGGATATCAAGAATCAGCTGCGGCTAAAGACGTCGATGTACGACCCCATTGTGGTTGACTCGTGGCAGTTCATCATCATCGATCGTGAGGTTGGACAGCCATTTGAACTTTTGGACATAGTCCAAGACGCCCTGCTGATGCTGACGGGTGATCCTTCCCCACGGTCAGTTGCAAAACGTGTTATTCGCAGCATCATACCGCCATCTATCCAAGACATATTCCTTAAAGAAATGATCATCGGGTGCTCGCCAGATCTTCGGTATCCTCCGCCTCACGACGTCCAATATGATGGCAACCGCTTCAGATGTTATGATCCCGACCACAGCATGATTACAACTGTGCAACGGGCTTCAGCATCTGAGAAGCTTACGCGCAACGAGAACCGTTTTATTCGAAGGGTCGTCGAGGATATGGAGCGATTAGGCATCATCACTCTACTTCCTGACTGGGAAGAGCCACAATCTCAGCCCGTTCTAATGCAGGGCTCAGATGGTGCACTCGATTTGTACTTCCCATACGATCATACCAAGCTGGCGTTAGATGGCCAACGTGTAACCTCCTTGCCGTTTCCATCAACCAACTCTCTGGAAGATTTTGCGAAATCGTGGAAGCAACAGTTTCCGAGCGGCATCATGGCCAAAGGCTCCATTCAAACGCACTACTGCGCATGGCCCATGCCCACGATGAAAAGTCTAGGCAACACAGGATCAAATTTTACTACACCAGAGGGGCATGTTTACCACTGGAACGCTATGCGAAAGTTTCTGTGTGGAGGTTTTCAACTCAGGTACTAACAGTAAGCCACAGCCTTCGATCGACCCTGGCCTGCACACACCTGGCAGTACTATCCTCAGCACCATATCAACAAGAAATACACATTCGTGTACTTTTACCAATCCACGTTCATCATTTGCGCCATGGATGAGCAAGACGCGGAGCTCAAATCCGCAGAGCTGCCTGAAGAAACAGAAGATCGCGGTTGGCGAATAACGATACCCAAGATCACGAACTGGAAGTCCAAGGTTGAGGAGTTGAAGCTCGATGCATTATACAGCGGAATTCGACCTGCTGATGATTTTTAAGTCAGTAGTCCTAGTTTTGTCTTTGCGGTTTAGTGTAGCATGCAGCAGCTGCTTTGAATTCGATGCCCTTCTTGCATCACGACGCAATATTCTCCCCTGCTTTGTCAAGGCAGGTTTGAAGTTGATCTGAGCTCGACCGCACTCTTACCTAGCTTCGAAAGGCTCAGATAATGCGCTTCTAATCTACGCCACCTGTACGCAGAGGGGTACGAAATCAATTCAACCTGGTAAGCTATTCATCAAGAGCCCTATTATGCACTATATCTATACGAGGCACATCTATAAAGGATATGTCAGCGGCTTCTATATCGTAAGCTCTCACACTCAAGCGTACTGTCTCGTCTACTGACACCTGCAGCTCGATCCCTGTTTCATTAAGTAGGATACCACTATTGCCACGATATTCTTCGTCGAAACGACTCTTTGCACATCACTCCGGATTGTTCTGGCGCGCCGATTAGTGCCGTTTAGAAGCAGCATATCTGACCCTTGGATTACGATTAAGATGGCTGAACGCATACTGTCCGTCTCCTGAATCGGGCCTATAAGGCAGTTAGCACCATCGCACTTTTGTTTGTGTGGCTGAGTGCAAGGACAGTGCAGCTTGTGTGCCTACACTTGGAACTCGGTCCGTCTGAGACTACCGATGTCAAGGACAAAATAGCAGATGTCGGAACGATTCTGTTGTTCTCCTTGGTGTACGTGAGAACACTGGGTTCGCCTCTGATATCGTTGCGATCCTATTGTTCTTGGAGGGCACAAGATTATTACGACAATGGGCATAGAGGCAAGACCAGCGAGGAGCTTGATCGCTAAAGTGTTGATATTGGGAAAAACCATGCCTGCAGTGTAAAAAAAATTAAACGCCGCTGAAATGCAGACAATCAATCGTCTCAATGACCAGTTCAAGCTCAAGACCTTTTTAATGAGCTTTGCCACATCCGCATCCACCCTTCTTCAGGCCCACCCTCTTGTTCCAGCTCCAGGTCATCTCTGGCTCGCTCGCCATTTTCATCATTTCCTTCACGTCACGGTCGTTGAAGCCCTTGTCCAGGATGCCGAACTCGGCAGCCAACCTGGCGTACTTGATAGCCTCGTACTTCTTGCCGAAGCTGCTGTAAACCTCTGCAGCATGCTTGTACGCTGTGGCATGGTAAGCCCATAGGCGCTCCTGGTCATACATGCTGATCATCGCCTCAGCCATCTCGGGTGTCGCAGACGAGCTTGGTGTCCAATCGTTGAGCATCTCGACGATTTCGGTAATATGGTGTAGCCTTGCATCGGACTCCGCGACAAGTGCTGGGTGTGCTGTGCATGCAGAGCAGCTGCACTTGAAGCCCCAGTTCCTCTCGAGTCGCCTGAGGCGGTGTGCGCTATTCCTCTCGCTATCGATGTACGAGATGGTGATCTCCTCGCCGGGCTGGATTGTGCGCATGGCATGCACATAATGCGTCAAAGTCTCCTCGTCCCAGAAGTAGGCTGCGTTAGGTCTGCAGTCGTGGTTGAGCATGGCAATCTCGGGAAACAGCGCGGCCTGTGAGACATCATCGACAACAATTTCGAAGTTGTTGGTGTTGATTCTGTCATCAACAGGATCACCCTTGAAGTGGTCGAGGAGTTCCCAGAATAACTTGCGGGATGTCTCTGGTAGCGACTCTACACCAAGGTACATAAGTTCGAGGCGCTCCGGTTCGACAAGATTATAGGCTTCAGGGTCAGCGATCAGAAGCGGCGTAGATGCGAAGATCTGGTCGCCACGGAATAGGGTCTTATTCGCGACGAGACCACGCCCTTTGATTGGGAATTCGTACTGCTCAAACGGTGGGTTTGCGTGCTGATTCGAACGGTACAGGCTTTTCGGGTTCTTGAAAGCCTGCTTCTGTAGCATTCCATATGCTAATGGCTCTGTGGTAACGATGAAGATCCCGCGCCCATTCGCGAAGCTCTGGTCGCTGAAGAGGCAGTACGGCTCTGGGGTCTCATTATTCGAGAAGCACTTAGGCCAAAATGTCCATGGGAAGTTCGCTTGCTTCGACGCTGTGAGTCGTGCCTCGTCTAGCGAAGTCGTGATATTGGATTTGAATGTGATTTCTGAGGGTGTTGTGGAGGCGATGTGGCACTGGCCATCGCGCAGTATCGAGTCTAAAGGACATGCGTCCTGCAGCAGTGCGTGTTGTGGGACGTGGTCTAATTTATTGTGGTTCAGCGCTACTGCTGTGCTGAAAAGGCCAAAGCTGACGGCGCCCTTCATGTTGAAAACCATTATAACGATGCTGTAGGCGATGAGTAGGTAAAGAGGTACAAAAGAGGTCATGTCTGCTGTAAGAGGATCAAAGGATTGAGGCCATTAAGAAGGGAACGTTCACATCGACGCGAGAGTCTCGGGATACAGTTGTGAAACACGAAATCGTGGTGCAGCGAGGGGTGAAACACATCTGCGCGGGAAGCCGTCTCCTGTCTACAGAACAGGCGGGAAACCTGGAGCTTAGGTTAGAAACATGCCTGATGAGTGTTTCAGGCCAACAAGTGACCTGTACGTCCTCAGGACAGGGTCTCGGGGATGCATTGTGGCCGCCTGGTTTGATTGGTGATAAGGCCATCGCTCAGTTTCGATTCGGCGAACGCGACTTTAAACGTTATTGCAAACTTAGAGCTTGATCGTGGCAACAGATGGCTACTGTAGAAACCCGCGGGAGACGTTCCATCAACTATAGCGGCCGATGTAGGTAGGTCCACCGATTAATGAGCCAGAATCCTATGGCTGCACCTGAGGCTTGACGGGTGGTAGTGCAAGATTGCGTAAATCTCGACGCTGCCATTGGTAGGCATTTCTTCGGCCGCTATAATTGGTAAAACGTCTCCAGCGAGTTTCTACGGTATTGCGCAGCCCTCGGAGCGACAGTGCGAGGAGTCGTCTGGCTGATTTGACGTGTAAGAGGTACGAAGATCAAACATGGCCGCCTACGAAAGCGGTTTCCGGCAACGCCATAAAGCCAAAAAAAAACTCCAGTAACTCTGGCCAACAGTTCCAGGAATGCAAGAGTGATACTTGCAGCCGTGGATCTTCTCCAGACAATTTGAGCCCACAGTATCACGTGACAAGGTGGTCAAATTCGATCGGCGCAAGCTGAGATTGAAAACGAGGGTTTAACTTTGCAAAACGCTACGTACACGAAAATGCAACAAACTATCCGGCTCAAGAAACGACCGCAGAACCTTGACCCTTATAATTGTACACAATGCTACACTGGCTTGCAGCGTCGCTGGCTGAGATGGCACCTTGGCCACCAATTATTTTGCCTCCAGCCTCAATTAAGACTTGCATGCCGTGGCGTGGAAACATGTGAATCCGGCGACGTCCTGTTGGTGCAAGTTGTGCTGGGGAACAAAGGTACCTGGATTGCCCATATCTGACAGCTGAGAGACCGAACCGTAGCGCTACAGCGTCCGTTTGTGCGTGAACCTGATCCACGGACTTGTAGCTCGTGCTTGGCGGCATGCGCATTGTGCAACGTCGGAACTATCGCATACTCCATGTTCCAGTGACATGATCTCCCAAGTTGAGCCTGAAGTAACAGAAGCACAATGTGGGTTATGAAGCTGTGCCTTGCAGGAAGGCACTAGTGCGGGGTACCATCAAGGGGAAGTGGCACATCATCGCCACCCGGGACCTGTAGCTGCCAATACCAGGCCTAAACTTCAACAAACCAACACCGGGCTTCTTACGGAGAGCCGATATGTCGTGGAAGGCATACTTGTATTGCAATTGAGCCACAATTAGCTGAAGAAAGTTCTGGCTCACATAACGGTCCCTCACATGCGGCCCGGAGTCTCTCAGACCGGCGCCTCGCGAGTTTGCTAGCTGAATGTCGTAAGTTAGCCCTTGCCATGCAACTTCGTCGTTCAGCTGCACGCCCGCAAGTCAACTCGACGTCACATACACATCTCGAGGTTGCCACTCTACTGAGCTCGCCCTTCTCTTTGCGCAATGTACGCTGCTGCTTCAAAAATCTTAACGGTCGTTCTTGACGTCATCTGCTGAATCCTCGCGCCTACTGTTTGTACTTGTGGACTGCATGGCCGCTCTTAGGTAACGCGCAACAGTGTCTCTGCAGCGACCAGAGCACTTGTAGACGTGCCTCTTAATCAGCAGCTGGAAGACAACAGTGAAGATGGAAAGATACTGAAGGCCGTCCTGGACACGAGTACAGGTGAGTGGGAATCTGACGCTGTCAACACATTCATTTCCTTCTCTTCTTCTGCAAGGCTTTGCGACGCTGCGATTCCGACAAACGCGAACAAGGGTTGAGCCACCAACCAGCTTAGAAGGCCATCGAAGCTCTTTCCTGAAGATCGGCCAAGTTTGAGCTGATGAACAACCAGTTTCCGAGCAGCGGCCCGCATCGCACTCATACCTGAGAACGCATCGAATCAATACAGCAAGGCTACCTTTGAGATACGGCACTGATCAAGAGTCGGATATGCGATTTCGAGCATCGTATTGGGTTCCTCAGTTTCTGCGCGAATGAGAACGAGTATCAAGTTGGGGTCTTCGCAAGGCTGAAGGAGCGGATGTCGGCAGACCGGCCAGCCTTTCCCAGTGCGGCAGTGCCAGAGTTTCGGTATAATCAAAGTGACGGCGATGCTGTGAGTAGGTCCTCAGCTGAAGATAGCATGCTGCGAACTGCACGCGGCTTGTACTCTTTCGTTCTTTCAGGCGGGCATCAGCGCACCGAAGTCCCCGACCCCTCCGACTGTTCACTGTTCAGGCGCTCGAGGCAGTGCACTCCGCCTCATGCCACGTTGAGATAAACAAGTCAAAGCCACTACTGATGCGCGAGTCTCACCTCTACGCGACTAGCTTTCGGTCGTATGCTGCGTGTACATGCGCGACTTATCGACCCGCAGCTGACGATCCGGTGAGGCTCAGTCCACGATGCCTGGCCGTAACTTTCTCACCGGTGCTTTTCCGACAAAATTATCCAATTTAGCATTGACTCCCACCCGCCGTTCATTTGGTGCTGACTACCGATTTCCTGGAGAATTGCTTTGCCGCTCCATCATGACGCATTGGGGTCGAATGTGGGCGAGCCAATAGTTGGACGGCCTGGATGCTACGAATTATCTTTCCAGGAACCACTAGGCCCTTTCCAGTCCAAAATGCGAACAGTCGGGGGATGCGCTCTCCCGCGAGCCAACCAAGAGGTCCGACAAGGAGTGCGAATGTGCGGATCGCATCGCATTTTGGACTCTTTTGGGATAGTTGAGGCACCGTCATCAGCCTGTATGACGTCTCCACAATGTGGTCGCAGCGTACCGGAGTCAGCATCATATGCAGTGCGGTGACTACACTGCCGAACAGCATCTTCGTAGATATAAGGCATCTGGAGATGTCTCTGTGTTAGTTCTCATTCATCACGAACACACAGTCTACCAGCCTTGCACTCGAGACACGTCTCCACAGCCTCACCGCTACCCCACCACCGACACAGATACCCCTTGTCGACCATCTTAGGCAAATTATATCATGACTGTTCCACCTCCCAACCCAGACACGTGCGCTAGAATCGGCCAATTCGTCGACTGGAACGGCCAACAGATTGAATGTACTATCGACGGTACTCTTTATGGCTACTACCCGTCGCTCGGTGCCAACGGTTTCTTCGCTGCCTTCTTCGCACTCTGCTCTATTGTGCAGCTCGTACAAGGCATCCGCTACAGAACATGGACGTACATGATTGCTCTTTGCCTGGGCTGTGTCGGCGAAGCCGTCGGTTACTGCGGCAGAATCATGATGTGAGCAGGCTTCCATCGTCCACTGAAAATGCAGATAAAGCAGCAGCTGACCGTGTGATACAGGTACAATGACCCATTTGCAGAAGCCGGATTCATGACCCAGATCTGCTGCCTAATCATCAGTCCCGTATTCGTCGCTGCTGGTGTCTATATCACGCTCAAGCACATCGTCATTACCTTCGGAGAGTCCTGGTCTCGTCTGCGATCTGCGTGGTACACTTACGTCTTTATCTGCGGTGACCTGATTTCGCTCGTACTCCAGGGTGCAGGAGGTGGTCTCGCATCTGCAGGTGATCCAGGCTCCACCGCTCAGGACGTCGGCACCGATCTGATGATTGCCGGTGTCATTTTCCAAGTCGTCATCCTTGCATTCTTTGGATACTTCCTTGTCGAATACGCCATTCGCACACACCGCCGCCGCGATCAGCTCTCAGCTGAGTCGGTGAGACTGTTCAACTCTACGCCTTTCCGCTGCTTCATGTTCGCAATTGGTATTGCATACTTAGGCATCTTCATTCGATGCGTCTATCGTATCCCTGAGCTCACTGGTGGCTGGAGAAGCGAGCTGATGCGCAATGAGGTCGACTTCATTGTACTTGAGGGTCTGATGATTGTACTCAGTGTCGGTGTTCTCACTATCTTCCATCCTGGATACTGCTTCCCTGCGCTCGGTAATACGATTGGCAGAATGAAAAAGGAATCTCGTGGCAAGACCCTCGATGCGAGCTCAGATATGGAGATGGTTGCCGGTCACTAACATCCAAGTAACAAACCCCAGATTTCTTTAGTACCTAGACCTTACTGTAGACTGGTGGTAGATTGGGAGAACAACGTGATCAAAATCGCTCGAGACCTGGTGAATTCTTGCGAGGCCTCTAGCGGACACAATTCCACAAATTTTCTTATCCGCAAAGTGAGACGTGCCGCCCTCTTTTCATTTTTAGAATGATCGCATAATCTGATGTTCCTAGGCTGTTGAAGCGAGCTCTGTCATGCGGTCGATGAAGACGATTGTCGAAGGATACATGGTCGATGCGATTCCTGGTCCGTCGAAAGATTCTGAATCCTTGAAGCAGCAAACCGCCCATTGGCAACAACTGGGACGGACGAGGCTGAAGCTCGCGCACATTTCGGTCAAATAAGTTGCCTGCCATGCAAGGTTACTGCAGGCGGTCGAGAACTGCTCGCCCAATGTATGCCAAGAAATATTGGAGCTCATCTAACTCCCAGAGGTGTTGTTAGCGTCTTGACTACCATCTATAGCTATAGGTGCAATTGATGCACACAGAAAGTCGAATTGACTGAGCGCCAAATCCGTCGATGCTGGGTCATTCGAGAGTGGAGTCAGCGCAAAAAATAAAGCCGTATCGAAGCTGTTGCACATGCCGTTTTCTTGCAGCCATGCACAATCGGGATCCATCGCCCACTACTGGACTCGTGCGATGACCATGATCGCAAATGCTGCAGCTGTCCGTGATCCTAATTCACTTATTTCTATCTCAATCAATTGAAGACAAGACCAGTATTAAGTAGCATGCTGATATATTTTGGCGACGGTGTTGCGTAACACTCTTTACGAGCGAGCGTGTACACCACCTAGCTTTCGCGGCAGCTAGCGTACGGGAAACCTTTGCAGTATAAAAGCTTGAGTTACCAGCAATACGCTACCTTGACTAACCGGATCATCTGGTCTCGTTCTCGAACATTTTTTGACTGGGCTCCTCGAACACAGACCAAGACGTCAACGTCCAGCCTTTCAGATCAACTACAAGTCTCACTCAACACATGCGATATATCGGCATTATGCGACACAATCCGGACTTACTCATACCGATACGGTCGAATCCTGCAGTCTGGACCAGATCTCTGCTACCAAAAGACTCGATTTGAAGATCGCTATGGTCTGTGGAGGGCGGATGACGTCAGAGCTCGTCGCAGTATAAAATGATGTCCGAGGCATTTGCTGCACTTCCACTAGCCTGACTCCCGCTCTGGACATTGACAGGCGTTGCAAAGCGCTCGAGGATCGCTTCTGTTGTGTATTTGTACTCGCCTGCTCAGGCTAGGCAAATCATCACCAAGCTCAGCAAACAGACATAAAAAGCTTCCCTATACTGTCTAGAAGTCCACAGAAAAGACACTGAGAGATCAGGGTGTGATGACCGCAAGGATTGTCCTCAGCGTCGGATCGGTCAAGCCACCTCCGAAGGCTCCACAGAAAATCTGCCACACCACATCACTAGTGAGCGAGGTGTGAACGTCTACGGAAACTTGAATGGCATGCCTTCATGACTACCGAGCTCAAATCATACCAGCTCACAGAACACATTTGGCAGTAGGCTGTTAATAGTCTTGCGAGTGCCTCTTTTGTTCGAGGAAGCAGCTTGTCTGGGGCCTTATGGGGAAGTATTCTCATAGGTTCTAGCTTCTGAAAGACTTCCAGCCCTCCTACTGTCGTATAGAGAGGCGCATCCACCCACGTTACCTGTATTCTAAGAATGCACGGTATGTATTCTACAAAAACTCGTTACGAGAACCAACAGAGCTTCCCATTGGCTGGGAAAAGATCCCCGAGAAGCCAGCTTCGTCGGATTTTCTTACCGAGCGCTCAATCTCTCGAAAATCTCTACCGAGAGCTCACAATCCTATCGGTCTAATATCTGACAAGTTACAACTTCTGTCATATCAAAACTTTAAGTGTGCTGGAGATGGACTCAGCCTTCTTCTGACCACCGGCGCCGAGCTCAATCTGCCCAGATCACCTCCAAATCCATGACGACCCATGACGAGCCTATCGCCGATCCACTTATGCGGGGATAATTGTACCTCAAGTACAAAACGAAATCGATGGACCATCCAGAGAGGTGGCAAGCTATTGCCCCAGCTTCAGATGAGCCGGGCGAGCAGCGTTCGGCACAAGGAAGCAGGAAAAGGCGACAAGCAGTCGCGGTTGCGTGCGTGCAATGTCGTAGCGGCAAGGCTAAAGTAAGTTCGAACGCGACCTGGATTCAAGGCTCGGACTCATGCTTACCTCTTACTAGTGTGATGGCATACGGCCAAGATGCACACGCTGTACAGACAACGATCTGGCCTGTCAATACGATGTCCCGGAGGGCGTATCTCGTGGTGAGCGTATGAAACTCCTGAAGCGGGAAAGTGTGTCCAGCAGAAGTGAGGAGTTGGAACGCGTTTTGAACGTTCTGCGCTCCGGTAGCGACATCGAAGCTTCAACTCTGCTTGCGCGACTCCGACTTGGAGAGCGCATGGACATGATCGCAAAGTCTTTGCCGCCCACCATTTCATCGATGCTCATGAGTAATCCACCAAGGTACGCAGAGGGTCGATTTTCCTATACCAACTTGGGCGGTGCAGCTTAATGACCATGCTTCTTAGCTTACAGGCTCAGGATTCCACAGGTACTTCAACCAGTGGCATAAGCCAGGACTCGACGTACGGTGCGGCACCGAGTGACACTGTCGGAAATCCAACATTGCGGCAACATTCTCGCGCATCTTATGCTTCATCTTCGCAGCATCGACCCAGTCGGACCACAGTACAAAGCTCGACCGCAACGTCTTCACGGTCGGCCGGTGAAAGAAGTCGATCCCTTGTTCCTAGTAGTGATATGGTTGATGGCCGCCAGTTTCTTTCGATCTTGTTCGATCGACAGGATTATCTCCTTGCCATCAGCGAAAGTGAGGACGAAGGCGAAGAAGACGACAACAGATTCGACAAGACGCTCGACCCAAGATTACTTTTTGAGGGCGCAAAGTCGCCCACGGGATCGCCAATGGACATTTCTGCCAGCCATATGCCATCACCCGAGAAAGCAGAGAAAGAGAAGACCGTAAGGTCCATACACGTCACACATCTTCGCAGTCGTCAATCAATAGTCAACACAATACGGATCCATCCTAACCTCAATTTACGTAATCTATTCGGCAACCTACCTTTCTCGAGCGGCATAAGGGCCAATAACTATCCGGAAGACGTTCAAGACGCCCAAGTGACCAATTTGTTTCTGCCAACCTGGGCGATGATGACTGTCAACACAAGGCCAGATCCGGGCTCCATCAAGCTTGCCTTTCCAACCATACTGCAAGAAGCCGCGGTCATGCTGGACTCTGGCACCCCTTTGGAATTTGTGATCGAAACTCATCCCAACATCGCAGCTCTGTTTGACGAAGAAGAGTTCAACAACGCTGGTATACTGTCAAGATGGGCAGCTGGAATGGTGCACAGTGTGATGCTCAAAGGTGAACATCGCCTTCTGTCACTGGACATATAACTACATGGTCTGATTGCTGAACAGGAAGCGACTTCACCTGCTTTGCATACATGTATTTGTTCTGGTATCTCATGCGCTGGATGATATCCCCGTCTCCGGAGACGTATGAGATGATTCCAGAATGGCTGCGACCGACGTAAGACAACCTCGAAAGGATCTGAACGTATTTCGCTCACAATCAACGATGCAGTCCAAACCAGCTGTTCATGCCGCATATCAACATGCTCGACTACATTCCGTGGCCTGCTTTTCGCGAGCTTGCTGTGCAGATCCCGGCCATGCAGGAGCGAATGGAATGGCTGATGGACATGAGCAACACGCTGAGGTGTGACTGGTCTTTCCCAATTGGCGAACCCATCCATAGAGCGGAAGACACGGGTCTCCCAGATCTCTGCCCATCTGCAAAGGTATGTCACTTGTATTGACGTCCGTCCGGGGCCATCTTGTCGCATTGAGGCTCGCGAGACTTTTCCACGACCTCACAGTTGTCGACAAATCAACAACGCTGATACTCCGCAGAACTCCCTGCGCGACCTGTCAAACTGGTCTGTCGGGCCCTCTTTCAGGGGCTATGTAAGTAACGCAGATTCGTACGTCCGCATTCGAGTGGAGGAATTTTGAGCGCGGTGCACTATCTCGAGGTATTCAAGCGAAGGCCTTCAGTCTGCCTTCACGACACGAGGAGAATGAAGATCTACGCAATTATACTTTGACATCAATGGGAGGAAGAACTTGGGCCACTCGAAGATGGCAGGACTGGTAGAGCAAGAAGTGACGCCTTGCACATGATCACGACACATGTGTTTGGTGACGAGCGCGAAGCCAAGATGACTTGACGCTGTCAACGCGAACATAAAGCAAGAACAAGCACATCAAAAAGCGAGCATGAATCAGCATATGGAATACATAGATACAAAGGCCCACAAAAGCCACTCAGACGCACGCAACATTGATGGCATATCAACTACAGCATGAATGACACACCAAACGCAACGACAAGGACAACGCAGACGCCAAACAAACATCATGATGAGTATGCCTCCTATTAGCTCCAGCTAAACATTGCACCATTGTCATCTAAATGTCTCGGCGTTCAAGCACAACAGCTTTGCCTTGGTAGTTTCTCGGTCAAATCCTGCATCTACCCAGGCACATAGTCGACAATGTCTAGACCGGCTTTCAAGACTGCCAATACGCATTGAAGGATGCATCCGGAGCATACGGGGGAAAGTCATCTTCGATTCGCACACATTCTCAACACGACATCTACCTCAGATCTCGCCCCTGGAGCGCGCCTTGATTGGAGATGTTTAGTCTGCGCTCTCTTGGAGTGAGATGATTGGGCAAGGAATATTTCACCGACAGCACTAGACTTTTCCGAAGCCCAAAGTCGTCGCCCTATCGGCGATGGTCGGTGCTGAGGGCCGAGGTGGCTCCTTCTGGATGTTTGATCGTTAAACGAAAAAGAGCGCTTTGGAGAGTGAAGCGGCGAATATCGCGATGACTTATGCTCAACGCTGTGTCCCGTGGCACAATACCCGTCGGACCGAAACGCGACCTCTGGAGTCGGAGCCGATCGTCAATTCGATCAACAATGTAATTACTGATGTTGATTCGACCTCGAGCTTCCGTCCTTGTGGCCTTGCCGGGCAATGAATGTGAGTGAAATCAGTCACTTGTAACGGTCGCTGATCACAGGATGATGACATCACAAAGACTTGTTCGAGTAAGTATGCGCTAAACAGAATCGAATTTGAGTATATACAAGAAGATTTACAATGACTTTTCTATATGATCATGCTCTCATTGTACTACGATCTAGTACCTGTCGAGAAAGCTCGCCCTCTGTGCGACACGGTTGAGCTTCTTGATGTCACGGCGGACAACAGGAGCGCCCTGCGTGCGGCGAGAGTTGCCCTGAATGCACTGGCTGTAGTATTCGTTCTGCGTCTTGCAGGTCCATCCCTGGGTGCAGGTTGTGGGACCAGTCCAGCCAACACCACCGCAGCGACCGTAGGCCTCAGCGACGGATGATGCAGGAGAAGACTCAGCTGGGGCAGTTGTGGGGGCAGACTCGACGGGCGTAGCAGGGGCAGAAGGAGCAGCGGACTCAGCAGGCGACGAAGCAGCGGGAGCGGAGCTGGGGACAACAGGTGATCCAGTGCCAACAGGAGCAGCGGAAGAAATGACAGGAGAGCTAGTACCGTTGGGGAAAGCAGCGACGCTGGTAGCCTCCGCAACAGCAGAGGTGGCGCTCGAGGCGGGAGCAGAAGGCGTGGTTCCGCTGCCATTACCAAGAGCAAGGATCTTGGCAGCGGCGGCCTCGGCGACGACCATGACGATAGCCTGAGTGTTACCGGTGGGTAGGTCAGGGTGGATGGAAGCGTCAACAACGAAAAGGTTGTCTGTACCGTAGACCTTTGTGTCAGTATCAACAACGACACCATCGTCGCCCTTGGTCCCGACCTTAGCAGTTCCGACGTAGTGGCTGCCTGTCTTAAAGGTCTTAATCAAATCAGCAGCGGTGACGTTGGTGACGCCAGTAGGGGCAACGATACTGAGTGTGGAGTTGGAGCCACTGGCCATCTGAAGAAGACGGTCCATCATCATGGTCAAGGCCTCGGTGTCTTCCTCAGAAGTCATGTGGGGGTTGGTGATGAACTCGGTGGCACCATCAGCAGTGATACCGAGCTCACCGACAGACTGAGCACCGTGGGTAAGATAGATCTTCATCTGAATAGTGTTGGCAGAAGGTCCGTTGCAGGTACCCTGGAAGAACATCTCGTTGCCCTTGGAGGTAGTGACTGAGGACCACCAGTTGAGACGCTGACCAGACTGAGCCAGGATACCGGAGCCCTTGGCGAATAGGTCGATATTGGTCTGGTCAGGCTCAGTAAGAACAGTCTCGGCGGTGGAGGACATGTTGGTGCTGGTCTTGAACTGGAGAGTGAAGATAGGGTGGTCCTTGATCTCAGCACCAACCGGAAGGTCAATCCAGTCCGCCTCGTCGGGGAGGGTGACCCCGCTGCTGCCGGACTGGACGACCTTGAGCTGCTTGGTAGGGCCGATACCAGAGTTGAAGAGGATGCGGGGAGTGGACATAGAACCAGCGGCGAGGATGACACTACCGCCGGCGTTGACATTGTAAATGACTCGCTGCTTGTCGGCGGTCTCGATCTCGATACCAGAGATAGATGATCCCTTACGGACGGCACGGATGACCTTAGTGTTCATCATGAGCTTGAAGTTGTCAAGCTTCTGGGCAAGGGGAAGGTAGGTCCTGACGGGCCCAGAGCGCAGACCATTGGCAACATTCCAGGGAGGGTGACCGAAGACATCTGTCTTGGAGTTAGGATCCTTGATGAAGTCGGTCTCGGTCCAGCCCTGAGAAGCAAAGAACTTCGAGAGAACATCGTAAGCCTCGTCGTTGTAGCGCTTGCCGTCCTCACTGCCGTAGGTCTGTCCAGGATTACGCTCCCAGACGCGGTCAGCAGCAGTAGCGACGTCAGTAGACTTCCAGCCTGTAGGCCACTTGTCGTCGAAGTCACGATCCTGGGGCCTAACAAACATCATGGCATTGACGCTAGTACCGCCACCGAGCAGGCAGCCAGCCATGTCCGCAGTATCGTCGCAATAAGCAGGTGTGCCAACATCGCTAAGGTAGTAGCCGTAACCGGGAACATCGTACATGGAAACAGTATCGTTCCAGGACAGGTTGTCAGTGTAACCTGTGAATCCGTAAGAGGGGCCTCCACGCTCAATCAGCAGGACGGAGGCACCGCTTTCAGCGATTCTCTGAGCAGCAATGATTCCAGCGGCTCCCGCACCAGCAACAATGTAGTCGTATGTGGCGTTGCCAACAGTAGCTGTAGAGTTACCTGTGGTAGGTGTGGTCGAGTTGCCACCGCTGATAGGGAGGGTCGAGTTGCCAGATCCAGAGTCGGAGCTTCCTTCGACAGCCATAGCTGCCCAGGTCTCGAAGTTGGCGCTGGTAGCGTTGGACATGGGCAGTCCAAAGGCGCCGAAGCCAGCAGTGTGGTAGGTCAGGGTAGAGCCAGCAGTCGCGGGGTCGGTAAGAGAATCATCAGAGAAAGCCCAGCCGACGATGTTGGTGCTGGGGGAGTCGTAGATAACAAGGCCAGTGGCGACATCGTCGCTGATGCAGTTCTTGCAGAGGAAAGTGTACGAGAAGGCAGTGTCGTTGACGTATGTGCCATCAGGGATGGGGTTCATGGTGAAGTCACCGGTAGTGACTGCTGGGTTGGTGTAGCCAGTCGCCTTCCTGAAAGACGAGACGACCTCGCCATCGTTGGGCCATGCAACGACGAGCAAGTTGCCAGTCATAGACTGGCCCATGCTGAAACCAGCCCATCCGCCTCCATTGGTGATAGGTGCCTGGATCTGGGCGATGAAGTCGGTGGTAGGGTTCTCGGGAAGGGCAATACCGAAGGTGAAGCCGGTCTTTGCATCAGTGTATCCGCGGAAGTCGATACCTGTCTTGGCGTCGGTGTAGGGAGACGATGTTTGTGCAACAGCTTGAAGCGCGAAAAGCGCTGTAGAAAGGATGAAAGAGCGTGCCATTTCGACGATCTGGTGTCGTTCGAAGGAAAGACTGTGGTATGAAGGCACGGCCTACAAAAAGAATGGCAAAGCCGTCAAGGCTGAAATGAATGGATGAACAAAAGAATGAACGAAAGTGCAAGCAAGTTGGTGAGATACATCCAAGGGGTGAGATGAGCTGTTATGTATGGCAACTGAATATTCGCCAGAGCGGGGCCAAGCAGTCCTCAATCTGTCATGCCCAGGATTCAATCCTTTCGCAAGTCATACTCCGGCAAACAAGCTCACGATGCAGCCTCGCGAAGACGGCGTCCCGGCTGCTAGACAATGCAAGCCAGGAACGTGGTTCCCCAACGACGCTAAAGATGTCAAAACCGTTCGACGGAGCCGATACCAGCGCCGGGAGTTAATTAACAGCCACGCAAGCGGCTGAAACTTCAGTGGATATCAACAATGCTTGGCCCCGTTACGTCCAATATGGATTCTGTGATTCGTGAACGGGAATTCATCGGTTCGGTAAATTGTGTCTCGTGCGTCAGTGTGGGTCTTGTCGTTTGATCCATTTTGTTTGAAACGCACGGTCGAGTCAAGCATCGCAGGAGACACTCTCCCTGGCAATCTCGTGAGCTGTCGACACTGATTATAAACGTTTATGGCCTCATCACGTTCTCGTCTGCCGAAGCTGTTCGGCACCTGGGTTGGACGCTCTTTGAGACTCTCGATACAACAACGTGACAGGACGACGAAGTGCGCTGCCGGAGGAGACGACATCGACGAAAGATGCAGGATGAGATAGGTGAACTGTGAAACGGAGAGAGACGGGAACGGAAGATACTATGCGGATACGCAGAAGGTGGATGATACCAGATAGTGTCGCCCAGGCTGAACCCAACGACGGCGCATTGCAACGCGCGCGGCTAATGCAATCTTGTAGTAATGATGATTGATAGCGGGTCGAACGAAATGAACAAGAGGAGAAGCAATGCGGACGGGCTGCTCGTAGTTCCACATCGGGGTTCCTGCATACAACTATCGCAGTGCTACCAACATTGAAAGTGGAATCTGACACACGGATTCTTTGGGCTGTCTCTTGAGCTAGCAATAATGGAAGAGATGAAGCCAAGACATGGGGAGGGTGGGTGGAACGCGGCTGGCAGAAGGCCAAAGGCTCGCTTCACACGTCAAGGGCCCATGCACGCGCTAGGTCACCTCATCCACAAGTTTTGTGGCATAGCTCATGACTCTCAAAAACATTTCGTGATGGACCGTCGCAAACAATTTTGCGAGGTTGTCAATCGGGTAGCGGCTGTAAAGGCAGTCTTGGATGAGTCGAAACTTCGGTCGCGTGTTGCGAGGAGTCAGAAGGTGGGGAACTAGGTCACTGCCAACCTCGGCCCGTCGCGGTTACCCGAAGCTCACCTACAACAATATGAGAAGCGCATGAACTACATTTGTCACCTCCCATCACACACCCGGACGACCAAATTTGAGACGACCTGACAATATGGCACCCAAGAACGATATTCCAGCGTATGTGCTCGGTGTTGGCATGACCAAGTTCATCAAGCCGCGCCAGCAGCGTGCTTACCCGGAGATGGGATACGAAGCTGGAGTCAAGGCAATGCTAGATGCCCAGATCAATTATGATGACGTGGAAACTGGGGTGGCGTGCTACTGTTACGGCGATACTACAAGCGGACAGAGAATATTTTACCAGTTTGGCATGAGCACGTACGTACAGACTGTCTACAATCCGATCGTTGCTAATGCTACGCAGCATCCCCATCTACAACACAAACAACGCCTGCGCTACAGGCTCCACCGGTCTACATCTTGCTCGTACCCTAATCAAGAATGGTGCTATCGACTGCGCCCTAGTTGTAGGTTTTGAGCAAATGCAACCTGGGTCTATCAAGTCAGCTTGGAGTGATCGCCCTTCACCCATGGGTCTCTCAATGCGAATGATGGCCGACACACGAGGTATTGACAAGGCGCCGCCTAACGCTCAGTACTTCGCCAATGCTGGAAAGGAGTATATGGAGAAATACGGTGCCGAAGCGCGTGACTTCGCCGAGATCGCCAGAATATCACATCTCCACAGCCAGAACAACCCGTACGCCCAGTTTAGGGACGTGTACACATTGGAGCAGATCGAGAAGTCGCCCATGATCCACTATCCGCTTACTAAGCTGCAGTGCAGTCCAACAAGCGATGGCGCAGGCGCTGCCGTCATCGTCAGCCAGAAGTTCTTAGACGCACGGCCACATTTGAAGAACCAGGCCATTTTGATGGCAGGCCAAAGTCTGCTCACAGACTCCCCCGAACTCTTTTCAAAATCGTCGATCGACCTTGTTGGCTACGACATGACCAAGCGTGCTGCTCAAGCAGCCTTCAAGGAAGCCGGGATTAGGCCAGGAGACGTCAAGGTTACCGAACTGCACGACTGCTTCTCTGCGAATGAGTTGATTCTCCTGGAAGGTTTGGGTTTCAGCGAGCCTGGAAAAGCACACATGATGGTGCGCAATGGCGACATCACTTACGGCGGCAAAGGACCAGTCGTGAACCCTTCTGGCGGTCTCATAAGCAAAGGGCACCCGCTTGGTGCAACTGGTCTTGCGCAGTGCGCAGAATTGGTCTGGCAGCTTCGCGGCTGGGCTAACAACCGATTAGCCGACTTTCCGGATGTTGCTCTGCAACACAACTTGGGTCTCGGCGGAGCTGTCGTCATTACTGTGTACAAGCGTGCTGATGGAAAGAAGGCTGTTAAGATGAGCGATGAGGAAGTGAAGAAGGCCAGTCAGTTCGACTACAACCCAGCTGTGGAAGCTCGTTATGTAACAAAGGAGGACGGAGACAAAGTAAGGTCCAAGACGGTCCGAAGTGACTACGCTTTGGGCGACACTCTCGAGAAGATCCAGAGCCGGTTGTAGATTAGACCGTCATTTGACAATATCTGTATGATTGAATGATGAACTGCTTCTACTTGCCATCCAGTTTGCTTTCGTGCAGTGCCATCTCAAGCTCTACGCGTGGTTTTCAGGGGCTGTACAAACTAACATTATGATTGGGAAAAGCGGATCCGGCATCTGCGTGGCTGCTTGCTTGTCATCTCAACTTGACTTCAGAACTGCTTCGATAGACCTCATTTAGAGATAGCCAGCGCAATAGCAAAGGATTTGCCACGAGCTCGGCGCCAGCTAGGCGTACGTCTCCGTCGGAAAGTCAAGCCTTCACAAGTGAGTGGTTTTTGAGGAATCTGTACCATTTTATCATCAAGGTTCCTATCTTTGTAAGGAACTGCTAGAATGAGTTAACAGAATAAGCAAAGTGTTTTGGAATGGAAGTCTCCCCAATAATGAGGAGCGTTGACCTCGAAGGTGCACTGAACAGATCTCGCTTGGGAGATATGCTGAGTAATTGAGCTTGTATGAAATGAACGATGGTGCCGAATGAAGATAGCACCTACTGCCCCCTAAGCTCCGCACTCATCCCCTTCACCACCTTCATAATGGCATACCTTCCATCCCAGACCGGATATAAGATAACCGCAAACATGGCCGCAAAGTGCCAGACGATAGCCACCGAGACCCACCCATCGAAGAATGACCTTGTGAAGATGTAATCTCTATACAACGGCATAGGCCACAGGACAATCGTAGTCAGCACATTGACCACAAAGTATACACTCGCAATCTTGAACCACCTTCTCACATGCCTCAGCGTTTCCTCATCGAACGGATGGACAATCTCCTCGATCGGCCTCTGCGCATTTGACACATGATGAATAGGCGTAGTGTGCTTGCATTTCTCATCGACGGCTGTGCCCTTCGGTTTGTCAAGGACATTAACGCCGGAGAGACTATCGGGCGGTGTGCTTTCGCCCGAGCGTGTCTTGTCTTCGATGAGATCAATGCGAAGGAACTCGCGCCAGTCAAACTTGCTCGGCCAGATGAGCGATATGATGACTGAATACAGCGCGGGCGAGAAGAAAGATACGCATGCGCCGTACAAGCCAGCAAGTTGAATCTGTGTGGTTGCGATGTTGATTGCACCGCCCCAGTGCCATGAGAGACTCAACCATGTTGCTATACCTGACGCAAGACCTAGAACTGGAGCGAGCAGTGCAGCGAGTTTTGTTTGGCGGGACCACAGAAGAGTGAGGATGAGTGGGATGATACCTGGACACGCGATGATGGGGCGGAAGTAGGTCGACCAGTTGTTGGTTGCGCCGGCGTATTCGAGCATGATTGCGAAGCCGGCCATGAAGCATCCGTGTAAGACGACACCCCAATGGCTGATGGAAAGGGTCTTGCGGTCGGAGGCTTTGGGATTGATGTATGTGCGGAACAAGTCGAGCGAGATGATGCTGCTGACCGCGATCACGGAGGAAGAGACGGTACTAGTGATCGCCATGAACACGAGTACGAGAAGTCCAGTCGTGGCGCCGTGACCTAGGAGAGATCGCAGGACGTAGGGCATGACCATGCCGGAGTTGACTTGGGTTAGGGTGAGCGTGTTAGGGTAGTCGAACCATATTGGTGTGTGCTCGATTGCGCGGGCACTCAGCCCGATGATGGTTCCAGTGCACCAAGGCACCGCTAGGATGACGATCGAGACCAGCATGTAACTCGGCACTGTTGACTTGACATCCGAGGCGAAAGATTTCTGCCAGAAGGCAGTGTCCATGAGCACGAGCGCGAGGTTGCCGAACTTCAACACAAGACCAAATAAAACAGCTTCAGATGAATTAGCAGGAAGCTAGATCGCAAGACCGATGCGCACCTACAGCTTTTAGATTTTAAAGTCAGGAGCGAGCCTTCGTAGTTACCCGGAATGTAATCATTGGCCGCTTTAACTTTCTCGTACAAGCCAGAAACGCCACCAATGTGCTTGTTAGTGAGTACTGCCAGCGAAAAGTAGATCAAAAGGATCAGCGCCACGAGTGTGTGGAGGAAGTCCGTGAGGAAAGTAGCTTTCAAGCCACCCATGACGGTATAGATCACGACTGCCACATTGTCAGCTTCGGCCATTCGAATCGAAAAACCGCGACCCACCTCCAGCAGGAATCAAGACGCAAGCAGCAATAACGTGCATCCCAGTCATCCCCGTGACCAGCTGCGCTCCAGCCAAGATCATGCTGCCACAGCCGAAGATGTTGTTGATGAGGTTGAGCAAGATGAACAGCCAATGCACATACTTGCCATACCTGATCTTCATGATCTCTAGCGATGTATGTGCGTATGGAACCCTCAGCTTTGCGACGATGCCGAGTACAGCCATCAGCGCGATCTGGAAGGATAGACCACTGGCCCACCAGATGGGGAGTGCAATACCCCATTTGTAGGTATATGCTGCCGCAAATACGCTTTCGTTGATCCACATCCTGCAGCAAGTCAGAGGATGCTCGAACATGATGCTCGAGGTTGACTGACCAGCTCGAGAACACAGCGGATGCCGTCAATCCAGTTCCCACAGATCGATTTGCAACCATGAACATCTCGGATTCATCGCTATCTTCTGAGAGGTACCGTTTCTGTATCTGAACTGCAGCAACGATGATCAAGCAGAACAGAACGGAGAGGCCGACGATGATGCCGTAGCCTTCGGCTTGGGTAAGTAGCTGCACAGCCATCTCGACTGATGGAACGCAAGCAGTGGCGTTATGTATCTGCAGGACAAGAAGTTGAAGGAATAACAAGAGATCATCAAGCCTCTACAAGCAAAATTTGGGTACTTACCATCTCGGAAAGCTTCGATATCGGAATGCTAGGGTGCAATGCCGTTGACGTGCAGACCCACCTACATGGTATCATCCAGCCGTCCTGCCGAAGATAGCAGCTACCAACACGTGGAGAATGGTTCGCTAGTTAACCTTCCGGCTGCAATAAAGTCATGTTGTACGGCATTCAGATTGCCGCGAGAGCCCAACGGTGATGGACGTGATGGGCTAGCGCCATTGCGCTATGCATGTGGGTCAGCACGTCAGATCGTAGCCTACCAGCACCGGTCTTCATCTCAAGATCCGGTAAAGTGACAGAAGTCGGTCATTGGGTGATGTCCGGTATTCTGTGTCAATTGTTCTGCAGGCTCGGACAGACGCACTTTCAGCATCTACGAGATTGGCGCGAAGAAGTTGAACCGCCCTAAGGGATCTTACTCTTTCTTCAGCCTGCGAAGCTTCTCCAATCTCCACGGCTCATAGCCGTACATTCCTTGCATAGTCTCATCTTCGCGAGCATAGTTCACATATGCCACTAGCTTTGAACGGTCACCTCCCAAGAGCGCGTCTCGTATCCTGCCATCGTAGTCGTCAGCAACAACATCAAGGCTCGCGTTCGGTGAGTATGTTAGAAGAGGCGAAAGCAGGAACTCTCCAGCTCTATCAGAATACGCAGTGCTATCGGAATCGATCTCTTTAACGCGGTTTGTGGGGTATCCTTCTGTGAACATAACGGAGTTACGGAACGCCGGTGGGACGCTTCCAAAGATTTCGAACGCCTGGCGTATAGCAGCAATATCATACTCTTGGACTCCTATCGGGACCATCTTTCGCGTGAAGCCTTTTGCGCAGGCGACACCTTCTTTGTTGGCCAGGAGATGAGCGTTTGCGCCGGCAATATCGGTGACACTAGAATCAACGCTTATCGGTGCGAGTGCATGGAGCGGAGCCGTAAGATCGCTGGGAATCGAGGCGCCTTGAAAGTAAAGCCAGGCAATGATAATGGGCTGGAATATTCAGCAGGAGGCCAACATACCTCGGACAGGAATTCGGTGACTTACGTTGTCTGCATCGATCTCAGGATTAAACGCAAAGACAAATTAATTGGTAAACCCAACTGATTTGTTTGGATCTTTCGCCCAATCATTGGCAATTGCATACAGGGCTTCCAACTTGTCATAGGAGAGGATGAAGCCGCTTGCCGCCCATTGGTGTTGACCAGGTTCAACATCGTATTTGCGTAGCTTGGCCCGGGTCATGATGCCGAAGTTGTGGCCGGCTCCTCGAATTGCCCAGAACAGGTCCGGGTTGTCTTCTTGCGAGATATTGATAGCAGTGCCGTTCGTAAGCACAATACGAGCAGAGAGAAGCTGATCAGTGGCTTTGCCATAGCGGCCTTGATTGTAACCATGTCCACCACCCAGGATTGGTGCGATGAAGCCAACACAGTCGCAGCCGGTCGTTGCCGTCTGCTTACCATGTGCCCGCAAAACTCGACAAGGTCTCCATTCAGCACACCACCCTCGATCAAGACTGCCTGACCGTCGTCCACGATGGGTGTATTGTTCATCTGACTGAGATGAATGCCGATACCGTTCTTCAGGCCCCCGACCAGCGAAGTGGTTTCGTGACCGCCGGATATAGCAAGAAATGGTTTGCGTTTTCGGTTCGCGTAATTGACCTTAACATGCTCAGCATATCGCCGTCACAACATCTGCTTCCGCAGGCGGACCGTCAGTTTCACATCTGCCTCTGTTGCAACCTGGACTATGAGGCTGTAGGTTGGCGGGTCTGCCGAACTCCAGCGCAGACTCGCGTCTGTGAACTCATTTGAGCCTGGAAGGAGCAGGCGCGCTCTGTCACTGAGGGACGCTGCGAGTTTGTCTCGGCCAGGTCGTACACTCAGCAATACTGGAGCAAGCACAACAAGTGTGATAAAGAACCATCTGGTGCTAGGGAAGACCATTCTGAAGAATACTGAAAGCAGATGGCTTTGATGAGGGGGATGTGGGTAGGGGAAATAGAGGTCCCGGACTATAGCTGAGATATGTGTTGGTAACAACCCTCATGTACTCACGTATCGCAGTCTAGCTGCATGTATGCAGCCGCTGCGGAGAGGCGATGGAGGAACTTGATTGGTCGCCGAGCAAACGAAGAAGGACGCTGTCTTCCAGTCAATCGTCTCTTTAGACCCATCTCCTCAACACAAACATGATTGTCACTACGGTGAGATACGGGCATAGCGAAAAGTCTTTGCGACTCCAGACGTCCAAGCGGATGCCACTTCCGGCTTCGTAAGGTTGGCCAATCGAAAGCGCGCCGCATGCCAATGCTGACGCAGCAGCGATAGTCGCGTCGATCGCACACGGAGCTGACATCTGACGAGGATGGTGCTTTTGTGAACTTAGAGGATGGAAGGTAGAGAGGTGCACCCTGATGGTGATGACGAGAAGGAGTGAGATTCAACTACGGAAGATCGACGAACCAGTATATTACTTTCGAAAAGGATATGCATCGATACGTTGGAGTCAGGCAGTCAAATGTGCAGATCTTTGCCAAAGTCTGTGGACATACTGCCTAGTTTCTTTTCTCGACCCCAGATTCGCGATAAGCTCGGCCATACCGGTATACTTCTCGGCCACATAGTTTTCGGCCACCCCACCTAAATGAAGCACCCCATTTGGAGTCGAATATTTTCAACAGCCACACTTATATTTGCCACTCATTACACATAGACCGAAGCGTGAGAGCTGCTGCTACCTCTGCTGCTTTTTGAGCTTCTTCTTCAACTGAACTTGATGCCTGCTCAGCCTGTAATGCTGCCGCTCGCTCAAGCGCAGCCTTGATCGCTCTAACGTTACTAAAGCGCTTATTTAGGTCAGGCTGGACTCGCTTTCTCTTCTAGGTAGTAGCAGTACTATCTAGTTGATATTTAAGTTGTTGATTTCAGCTTGGAGCTTGGCTGCTTGAGTATTTGCCTTCACTATAGCCTTGCCTGCCTTGCTAAGCACTATCCGAGTGCTCCGTGAGAGAGATTCTGACTGTAGGAGCTGATAATGAGCCCTATATAGAGCCTGTGCGCTCTGAGACGTGCTGAGGGTTGAATTCGGGAGCTCTGAGTCCTAGGTATCACGTGGTGGTGTTGCTGGACAGCTAGACACTTGGGATGAGAGTTAGACGAGGTCTGTACCGACTATGCACGAACACGACACGTGACATAGCGCTTATAGCAGCTAGAGGCAAAGCTAGCTGGCTAGCACTATTATTGTCTATATATACTATACTACGCAACGAATACTTGCTTGAGTATTCTTGTGCTTACCTTTTGGTATAAGCAGAGAAGTCAGGTAGTATTGATTTCGAGGGCAGGGCGCCTACTCTGTTACAAGGTCTAGGGTATATAGGCAGAGACCTGAGGCTCTCCACCCAGCTTAGATTACTCACTTAGTTAAGCCTTCCTCTCTTGCCTTGTTGGATGATACCACAAAGCGCTCTTTCTTGATAGGTGCTGCGTTATTGAGGGCAGAGAGAGCACAGATATCTGATTAATACTTCGTCTTAATAACAGAGAAAGGAGCAAGATCTAGGGGCTGAAGCACGTGTGAGGCGTGACGGGGAAGGTAGAGGACCTATATCTTGTTCTTCTTACAGGCCAACATGAAGTCAACAGGGGCATAAGAGCCATGGCCGTCCACAAGAAGGAGCCTCTATTGGCCTTAGCAGGGAGTAATATTAGGGATAAATATACGCTGTAACCACTCTAATGTAATCTGATTTAACGTCTATATATTCTCTAAGGTTGTATATAGCCAATTAGGTAATCCTTGTGCTGGGAACTATGTGGTTTGTAGATGCTTGCCCCTGAAGATAATGAGGCGTTGAAGCTTGACGCCTGTGGCGGATATCGTCTCAATTATCGAGACCCACTCACGATCCTCTAGGGATTTGATATAAGCCTTCTTCTTTGACGAGCTAGCAAAGACTCTAGTTTTTGTACATACCCTAAGGCTGACCCCAGTCTCATCTATATTCTATATATCCTCATACTGTACACCTAGCTTGATTCTAGTACACTTAAATAGCTTAAGAAAGGCATGAATTGTCTCATATTAAGCTCCTGTAGTCCTTGCTGTCTTAATTGTTCGGCCAACTATAGAGGCAACCTGCGGGTTGCGGGCGATGAAATGGGGTACCTATAGTTGACCAAGCGGAGCGTGGTCTCTATTTATCTGAAGTATTTGGGAGGCTATTTCTTATACCTGTGGATGGGATAGGGGCTGAGCATGTTTATCCTCTTTAAGAATCTACTCAACTAAGAAGCACTCTTGCTCTGGAGTTAATTGCTGCTGATTTGAGTGTGCTGACGTGTGAGGTTGACAGCCCTGTAGGCGGCTTTGAAGCGTGGATCGAGGAACTCCGTACGCACGAGCAGCCTGCCGCTGGCTCTTAAAAACACCAGAATTGAGATCACGAAGCGCAGATTGTATGGCAAACTCACGGGTATCCATTTAACAAAGTGGTTGTGATAATATAGATCGTCAATTGAAGGTGACACGTGGTGGTGGGGTGGCCGAAAACTATATGGCCGAGAAGTATATGGCCGAGCTTACAGAAGACGCGTAGCTACAGCCCCAATACTTTCCAGCTCGTACCCAACTCCCTGCGATCACATCACGCCATGCTAAAACTCACATCAACGTTCCGGAACCGGCATCCAACCACCCCCTTCAGCAGCGCAAACACAACGCACCTCCTCGGCGTATCAAGACGACCACTCCCCGTGATCAGCGTTGCATCTTGCTTTCCATCCTGAGTGAACTGGAGCGCCCGAAACTGCGTCCAGGTAAATGTCCAGGTCAGCATCCAAGTCCACCTCCAGGCACGAATTTGGTACCAGAGCATAGGTAACATGATAATCGGTGCGCCAGCCATGACTTTGACGGCGGATAAGTCCACATGGCCTGCGCGTCTTTCGCCGAATGTTTGGGAGAAGTAATTGCCGATGAGATTATAGGTTTCAAAGAAATGATCTTTGAAGGCAGGTGTAGTGGCGCCAGGGTGTGGTTGTAGGGTAAGTGTGACTGATCTTGTGTTCGTAGGCAAAGCCTGAATCAAGGCCAGAATTGAACGTTCGAAGGGCGTCGTTGCGAGAGGGCGTGGTCGCGGTGTGGGAAGGAGCAAAAAGTTCATGGGAAGGAGAATAACGGCTTCGACGTGGAGGCGCGACGCGCAAAAGAATGTGATGATAGAACTGAACGAAGTGTTCTGAATAGAGGTCATTGATCGTGTGAAAGCATTGAGGGCTTCACGGCGAACTTCATTGTCGAGCTGTTTGCACGTGGCCTGCAATGCTCGGCTTGTGGAGACTGGGTTGCTGTCAGGGAGGAGGTAGGCGTAGATGCATAGCCGAATCTCGAGTGGCACATATAGTATGGGTGAGCGACGACTCGGTATCTCGATCGATGAATTGATAGTTCGTTGAGGCAACAGAGGTTCCTGGCGAAAGAGCTGCTTCCACATAGCTGGAGACCAGAGAATTGTGAGCCAAATGGCGTACAGTGCACGAGAAATCAGCTCTCGAGAAGAAATGTTGTCACTCACTTCTCGCTGTCAGATGCTGCTCTTTAATACATACCGATCGCGTTGTAGGTACTCGCGGGCCCCCAATATTTCAAGGTTATGGGAAGGTGGGCTGGGATTTTTCTTCGGGACCCTGGTCTGTAGCTATGCTATCCCTGACCCACAGTTCGACCAGGTATCGCCAATCGTATGTTAAAAGACCGGCAATAATCCTGAGCACCAAAAAGTGACTAAGTTCGATGTCATATCAGCATCAACATACTCCTGCAAGAGCTTGTGCATGGAGATAGGAGTGTCGGATACCGTAAAAGACACAACTGTATGAATGCTGCAGTGTTTGAATTGGTCAAGACTAGAATAGACAACAAAACCAATCAAGGGTTAAGGAATAGGTCATTAGACAGCAGCGTCTTCTGTGGACTCTAGTGATCTGAGCAGTTCGACTCATCTGAGGAGTCCTCAGGCCATTTATCGTCCTCCCAATAGTGACTATCAAGTACTTCTTTGCGGCCACATGTCTCACAACCGTACTTGTGCACCTTTCGGAAGCTGCCGTGAGTTCTGAAACACCACAGACACAGAGCATGACGAATCGGCCCGTCATCGTGAATGTTTGTGTATACGGACCTGCCGCCGTGATCAACGAGGTGCATTGGTCGCATCCAGGCAGGCGTATCAGGTAATGCAGGACTTGTCGGCTCGGGGGGACTGGTAAAAGCGCGAGACACTCTCTGAGAGAGAGGACCTAGACTTGGTCGACCTTGTGGATCTGCAGCAGTTGGTCTGAAAGAAGACAGTCCGGGCTGTACATCGCTCATAGACATCTCGGTCAACATCCTTGGTGTAGGTGCTCGCTCAGTGAAGGTCTCGTGTCGAAGCAGACATCGATTATCGCCACCAACACCAATGAACCCATGCGGAATATCAACAGCTATGTCAAAGTATCCTTCACTTCGAATCTCGGGTACTGTCATCGTGCGCCTCTTCTGGGCGGACGCATCGGTCAGCGAATCGTCGACGTAGTGCGATCGTTTAAGCGCTGCGTTATGATTAGCCGCGACCAGAAGTCAAATATGGAATTCGTTTCCAACCATCATCGCCAGTGGGTGTTCGCAATTCTTCCGCTGTGTAGGCTGTTGCAGCTGAGGTGGGCACATCGGTTGGCGATACTGTAGTCTCCGTCTGAGGCGACAACGAGGAAGAGTCATCAAAATAGACATCGCTGAAGATGAGCGGCGACAAGGGTGGTGGTGTCGCATTACCCAAAGGAGGCGTTTTTAGGTGTAAGGAGTGGTTGTTGCGACCTTGTATCTCAGGCGATAGCGGGCTGCCTTTCAACATGTATTGCATATACTCGTGAGGGTAACTGACGGGATCTGGTGTTCGTTGGAACTTGGAAAAGGACCGCATCCCCTGCTCATTGTGTAAGGTCGTGTCCTGTATGTCCAGGCTTGACGTGTCCAAGCACAGTCTTGGGGTGCGTACGTCGGGCGCACCGTCAATAGCGTTGACGGACGCCTTTCGCCCAAGAGCTTCATCGGCCCTTCGAAGCTCGTTACGAGCGTTCTGGGCAATTGGGGAGCCTCCTACCCAAACAGAAGGCGAGTAGCTTTGAGAAGAGGATCGAGAGTATGTACTTGCTGGGCTCTGAGGAGAACTTCCGGTAAGCCCCGCTCGACTGGACGTCACGCCATTGACTTCTTCCAGGAGCTGTTCCAGTAGCGTGCGTGACGGTCCGGTACTGAGCGCACCATTGCTGTTCGAGCGGCTTTCGGGAGTAGCCATGCTTATGAGTTATCGCGATATCTACTCTTAACGATACGCATAAGCAATGTAGCGGAGTAATTGAGCCCTCGGTGTGGGCCGAGGTGAAGTGAGAGGGAATGAAGGGTGGCCTGTTGCGAAGCTACGCATGACATCAGATTACAAGGAAAGCGCAACTGGGACGGGAGGCAACAGCAACACACGTGGTGAGCTTAGCATCCTCAAAACAGGGGAAAGGGACAACACAGCACCAAAGGCAAAAAGTGGCATGTTCATCATCAGGTGGATTTGGCTACGAGAAGCCACTGGCTCTCACCTGTTTTGGTGCACCACAAGCCTCATGCTTCATATCGAGGCTTACCCGTTGCGCCAGAATGTATCGTCTAGGTCGTAATTCTCATTGCTCAGACATCTCGGTGTCCACAGGCTTCGCCAGACCGTGCTCCTTGAGCAGAGCATCGATCTCGTCAGCGCCCCAGAGGTGGTGGTAGATCTTGCCTGTCTTGGTCTTCCCTACTGTCGCGAACTCAACTGTGTTTTGTTAGTTCTCAACGCCAAACCAAATGATGTCGTCAGTACGTACTCTTCTCGCTGCTGAGCTTGGTGGAGTCCATGGTCTTGCTGAGCACCTTGACCGCAAGCCCACAGGCCTCCTTCAGGTCGCACTCCTCCTTGTAGTCCTGCTTCAACAAGCTCTGAGCGGAGGCATTGTTGGCGCCGACGCTCGTTGCCTTCCAGCCGCCGTAGTTGCCACTGGGGTTGCTCTGATACAGCTGGAACTCGCGCTGCGGGTCCCAACCGGCGTAGATGAAGGAGACACCAAAGGGCCGGAGGCCACCGTGCTGCGTGTAGCCTTGCTTGAGATCGCACAGACGGCGCACGAGCTGCTCGCAGGGGATGTCTTCGTTGTAGGTGAGGAGGTAGCGCTGGGCGGCTTGACGGGCGTAATTGATCAGGATGTTGGCGTCGGCCGTCATACCTGCTACGGCGCAGATCATGTTGCTATCGCTGTCAGCACACGTGTCATGCATGTCGGATGGCGTGCGCACTCATTGAGGATGTACAGCTTCTCGGCGGATGTGTCCTGCTCCAGCAGCTTGCTGGTGACCTTCCTCTCGGCGGCAAGCACGATGCCATCCTTTGCTAATATGCCCAGCGCAGTTCCAGCGTGCGAGATGGCCTCGAGCGCATACTCGACCTGGTACAAACGCCCCTCAGGCGAGAAGATGGTCGTCTGCATGCACTGTTAGCTTTCATGGCGCCGGCGGCTGTGGCGGGGCACTGACCCTGGAGTCGTATCTCCTCGACATAGCTGCGGCCTATCTGATGGGTTCACGGGGTTTTCCGAGGTTGTGTGCAAGGGCGAGGTGAGAGAGTCGGCGGGGAAACTGGGGTGGTGGCTTGGTGTTGACGCGCATGAGCTTCGTGCCTGGAGCTCTCATCGCGGCGATTCACGAGCGCCAAGGCCGATCACTTTTCCACTCCGCCATCACCAACCTGTGCTCCGTTTTTCAATCTGGGCAACCCGGAGGCGCCTAGACGGGTCCCTCGAGCTTCACTGCGTCGAAAAATGGCCGACTTGCCTGCGCGACCACCTGCGCCTGCGCCGCCGCTCCCAGCAGGCTGGACTGAGCACAAGGCACCTTCAGGTAGCTACATAAGCTTTTGCTGCGTCATGGGTGAATGCTAACATTGCTAGGGCACACATACTTCTTCAACAAAGAGACCAAGAAGTCCACATACACACGGCCCGTCGCCGAAGTCCCTCAATTCCAACCGACTCCTCCAACCGCGCCGTCCTCGTATATCCCTCCGCCTCAGAACAACACCTACAACGCTCAGCCTGCGCAACCATCTTCCGATCCACAGCGGCAGATACAAGACCTCGTCTTCGGCGGCGCACCGAGACAGGCTTTCCACAATGCCGGACAGCAGCGGGGCGGGCATCGTGGTGGCTTTCGAGGAGGGCAGAACAACTTCTCGGACAGACGACGCGAAAAGGATGACCGGCCGAAGCATCGCAACGACATTCCAAACTGTGCACCGTGGGTGCTCGTCAGGACAAAGTTTGGGAGGCGTTTTGTGTGGAACAAGGAGACGAATGAGAGCTTCTGGAAGTTCCCACCACACGTGATGAAGGCAGTCGTAGAGTACGATCGCAAGCAACGCGAGAAGAAGCAGCGCCGCGAGCGTGGAGAGCCCAGCGACGTCGAGGAAGAAGAGGACACTGCGATGGCAGATATCGAGGCAGAGCTGGCAGCGGGCGAAGAGGAGGTGGAGATCGTCGAAGTTGACGGTGAGGAGGGCATGGAGAACGACGAAGAGTATGAGGAGGTCGAAATCACAGATGATGAGGGCGAAGGGGCAGAGATCGTATCTAAGAGACAGCGTAAGGAGCCGAGTGGAGAACAGGCTCAGGCAGCAAAAGACGATGATCTGGCGTGGCAGTTGGCGCAAATGGAGGAGATGGAGATGGGTGCTGGCTACGAAGAGGAATTCGCTGAGGAGTATGAGGACGAAGAGCCGGCATTGACACAAGAGGACTGTAATGCTCTGTTCAAGGAGCTTCTTGATGATACAGGGATAAGTCCGTACACGCCATGGGGCAAGATCCTCGAAGACGGCACGCTCTACGAGGACGAACGCTACAAAGCCCTTCCAAACATGAAGGCACGCAAAGAATGCTTCGATGAATGGGCGCGAGACAAGATGCAATACCTGAAGGAAGAGAAGGCAAAGCAGCAGAAGCGCGACCCCAGGATACCGTACTTGGCCTTCCTCGACCGCTACGCAACACCAAAGCTCTACTGGCCGGAGTTCAGACGCAAGTTCAAGAAAGAGCCAGAACTGAAGGATACGAAGCTCCCCGACAAAGACAAGGAAAAGCTGTACCGCGACCACATCAAGCGCGTTGGCATGCGCCAATCCGACCTCAAATCCGACTTATCAGCGCTGCTCCGCGCACAACCGCTCGCCACACTCAACCGCTCGACAACGATTGACACCCTGCCCTCTGCCATCCTCACAGACCTCAGATATATTTCTCTTCCTACGTCGACGCGCGAACCCCTCGTCGAAACGTACATCTCGACTCTACCTCCTGCGCCGGAAGGTGCCGCGGCGTCTGCTGAAGAGGACGCCGAGCGCGCGAAGAAGCGAGCGGAGAGGGAGAGGAGAGAAAAGGCATTGGCTGAGCGTGAGAGGAGAGTGCAGACAGAGAAACGCAAACAGGAGCGCGATCTGGCGTACGGGAAGAGTAGGCTGAGAGAAGAGGAAGAGGAGATACAGAGGGCGCTAAACGTTGGCAAGGAAGGATTGAGGAAGCATTTGGATGAATAGTTTGTTGATCAATAAGATACCCACTGTGATCTGCAGCGTTCACGTATATTTCCATGTGCCCTACTGGACTAGAATGTTGTCTGGCTGATGACCTCGATAAAGCTTACATCTACACTACATTCAGTAAGTGCCTCACCTCTAGCTCCAAGAACTGCTCCAGTAGACCCCACCGACGCGTCTTCGGCTCCGTCCATCTACATGCCAACTGTCTGGGAGCTATATTTGTCACCCGCAGTGTCTCAGTAGTACGGGCATAGATCAAAGAAGTCAGCACACTGGCCGACATTGATCATGACAAGACCCTGAAGGATCTCAGACCGCCGACATTCCCTGAAGCGCCACGCAGGTCTGGCGTCATCACGATTCAAGCGCAATATGTGATCACTTTTATCATTCCTGCCGAACGACACGATTTGAATGCACTGAATCCGCGTTGATTGGAAACTACATTGACACCCCCCAATCTCTAGTATAGAACGACATGGCACGTGAACCACCTCCTTCTGCAACTAACAGTAGACGTCTCTACATCAGCAATGCAGCAAAAGCAGCGATAGCGCCCGCAACGACACCGCCAACCTGCACTGCACTCGCCGCGCCAGTGAATTCAGGAATCTTGTACCCAGTCTGTGTCGGCTTGTCGCCCTTGATAGATGTAGCAGTGCCGTAGCTGATAGTGACGTTCGAGCCTGGGTGCCCGACAACAGTAGGGTAGACGGGCTTGTCGCCGCCGACGTGGACTGCGCTGGAAGGAGCAACGGGCTTGTCCGCGTAGCTCTTATCCGAGTCGGAGTCGGGATACTTGATCATGCTGGCAGACGGGGAGGCGACGCTGGGATTCGTAGCGTAGTACTGGCTCTCGGGGACGGGGATCTTGGTCAGAGTGATGATCTTGGTGGATGTGACCTTGGACGTGGAGTCCTCGGGTGTGGAAGGTTTGCTGGGCTGAGCAGGAGTGTAGGGCGTGTTGCTGGTGGGCTTGTTAGGGGTATCTGTTGGCTTTGAAGGAACACTGGGGGCGGAAGAGGCGGGCTTGTTAGGCACGCCGGTGGCCTGGCACTTCGTGCACGGAATGGTCACGGTGACAGTTTTGGGGCCCTCGCCGCAGCCTTGAGCGCAGTACTTGGTCGTGACCTCGAAGCCCGGAGGAGCATAGTATGCGTTGGTTGTCGGATAAGGAGCGGAAGTCTGGATGGCAGTGACCTTGGTGGTGATAGTTGTGTAACCCGTCGGGCAGACATCGACGTAAGTTGTCTGGTAGGCGGTGGTCGTGTAAGAATCGGTCGATTTCTTGTCATCATCGTACGAGGGCTTGCTTGAAATTTCAGGATAGGTGCTGTAGAGCGGTGTGAAACTAGGAAGTCCTGGGTAGTCGCTGTAGACAGGTGTGGACTTCACACTGGGCTTCGGCTGGTTGTGTCCATACACAGGAGCGCTTGACGAAGCTACGAGATAGTTGTCATACTGTACAGACTTGGTGGAGGCAGTTGGGTAAGAATCGTACTGGTTGACCTTAGCGGAGATGGTAGAGTACTCGGAGGTCGTAGGGAATGGATCCGGAGTCTTCGAAGACTTGTCGCCATAATTGTAGCCATCGCCTTCAGGGTAGACAGAATAGTCAGGAGCAGAAGTGGAATAGACAGGAGTGCTGCTAGTGGACTCGCTATCGGCGGGATGGGACGAGACATCAGGATAAGCGGAGCTTGAGGATGTAGATGAGTAAGGAGTCTCGGAAGAGTAGGCGGTCGACGAGCTGCTGTATGGGGTCTCGGATGGGTAGACGCTGAAGACATCGGAAGGAACGACGTACGAGGAGCTGGCAGATGCGTAGATGCTGGAGCTGTCGCGTACGTAAGGAGTTTCCGACGCGGATGCGCTGGAGATAGTTGAAGAGATATCGTGCGAGTAGGGCGTCTCCGAGGCAGAGTCCGAAGCAGAGGCGTAAGATGCCTCCGAGACAGACGAGCTAATGCCAGACGAGTAGTCATGGGCGGCTGAAGAGCTGCTGACGTGGTCATAGGGAGTCGAAGATGCTGTGCTGGAGACGGTCGAGGAGTAGTCGTGCGCGGCGCTGCTAGAGATGGCGCTGCTAACGTCGGCAGAGTACGATGAAGAAGCAACCGGAGTCGAGGAGGGGTAGACAGAGTTTGGGACGTAGGGTGTGGAAGTGGCCGAAGAAGAGTGAGCAGTGGAGCTGGAAAGAGCAGAGCTACTGTGCGCTACCAAGGAGGATGAGACGTGAGTTGAGGAGCTGGAGACATGAACAGAGCTACTCGAGACGTGGGCAGAGCTACTCGAGACGTAGGCAGAGCTGCTCGAAACCTGGACAGAGCTGGGCGAAACCTGGACAGAGCTGGGCGAAACCTGGACAGAGCTGGGCGAAACCTGGACAGAGCTGGACGAAGCGTGAGAAGTGCTGCTGGGAGCCACCGACGAGGAGCTTGTGATAGCGCGCTTGTTGTATGTCTTGAACGAGCTAACACGCCAGTACGCGTCCTTGAAGACCTCAGGGTTCTCAGCGACATACTTCTTGCAAGAACCCATTCCATCCAAGCCTTGATACATGGGGCAGCCGGACTGAGCGTAGACATTGCCTCCCCAGTCGCCGCAGAAGGTGTTGGTGAAGATAAAGCGCTGGTCCATGAAGCGCTTCTCGATGTCGCAGTCGCCCTGGAAGCTGGCAGCAGGTGTCCCGAAGGTGGTCGTGTCAGGCTCGTCCGAGAGAAGGCTGCGGGGCTGGCTGCCACGAGGAAAGAACCAGATCTTGATGCCCTCAGCCTGCCACTCGGTAACGTAGTAACCACCTTGGGCGGCGTTGAAGTCTTTGCCGAAAGAGCTACCCCGGGCATCGGTCACGCCGCAGCCCGTGGACTTTGACGGACCGTCGAGAGCGCAGTCGGTCAGGGCCTGGGTGCCAGTCTGTCCCAGGCCGTTGACCTTGCATTTGGTGTCGGTGTGGAGGACGAAGTTGTTGTTCGTGTTCTGGTTGACACCCTCGATAATATCGATCTCTCCCTTGACGGGCCATGGCTCGCGACCAAGGGACCAAAAGGCAGGCCAGGTACCGCAGATACCTCCAGGCATGTGCTTGAGGTCGAGGACGAAGAGGCCCTTGTTGTACTCCTTCTTGCCTTCAAGACGGACACTCTCACGACCAAAGTCGCCACCGGCCGCACTGTTCAGCTTGGATTTGTAGTCAACACCGAAGACAGCATCACCTCCATCGTAGCCGATGTAGCCCTTGTTCTGCGCGGTGGTGCGGTCGACATACCTATATAGAGTCAGCTAAGGTTGCTGGAATCCAGTAGTGCAGACATACTTGACGAAGCCGTTGGTTTTCTCTTCAGTGACGAAGTTGAAGTTGTCGAAGAACGAAGATCCGGAATAGGTATCCGCGGGAGTGTACTTGGTAGCAGAAGCGACGGAAAAAAGAGTGGCAGCGCCAACCCCGAGAAGGGCGGACAAAGAGGGCATTGTGATTAGTGTAAAGAGTGACTAGATTAAGGGTATAGTGAGAAACGAGAGGCTGTAGATGAGGTTCTACAAGACCGCGCACGAACAAACTGTACAAGTCGTTAAGGAACGGAAGGAGAAGGGCGTCCAGCCCATTGTAGTAAATCTGCCCCTGATACTCATGACTTCGAGACTGCTCTGTGTCTAGCTGGATTGTCGACTGGTCGAACGGTGGCTAGGCTGCCAGGTTCCACGTGCATGCCGAGCCGAATTCAAGCAGGGCCACCCTACGCCATATCCGGCTGTGTCATGAAGCTTTGGGTATCGAGCTCGCAGCTACTGCTGCAGGAACGCACTTTTTCCACGCCCAAATTCACCCACATTGATCCAAATACAGCATAGTGTTCGTCAATCCCAGACGAACATCGCGGCGTGAACCCGCAACGCCGAGGCTTCAACCGCTGAATCAGCCATAAGGCGCGGCACAGCTGTCGAGACTGCGTGTGGCTCGAGTTCGCGATGGCGAACTCTGGTGTTGAGTGGTGCGTTTTCTCGGGCGAGTCCGTAGGTTTTGGCGCTAGGCTGATGTGGCGTTCACCCCTGGCCAGACCGGTGTCCGGAAAAAGTAACGCTCCAGGAACAGATCTGAAGCGATGAAAGTCTACATCTGGCGTGCGGCTGAAGTGGAAATTATGCCCTGGCTGCAAATGCCGCGGGCGGCGCTCAGGCAATGCTGTGCATGAAGCGCAGAAGGCACCTCGCGGGAACACCTAGGGAAGCTTACATCTAGTCTGCTGCACATGCTGTAAGTATTGAGCAATGGGATGCCTGAGCGATTAAGAGAGAAAACGAGATTACCCAGAGTGCTTCTATTTGCTTATGTGCAGATACGAGACGCGACCCTTGTCCGGGGAAGAATGAGATGAGGTGTAGCGGACGTTGCCATCGAAAGCTTACCTTGGCGGCAGCATTTCCTGATGTTCTTGGCGCCCCTGCGTCGATAAAAAGTGTCTTGTGCTTGACGTGGACGTTCAAGGAGTCCTAGCCTTGCTTTACGTTGCTGGTACAGACTCTGCGATTTCGTTGCAATGCATTAGCTGAGGTTGAAGCTGGTAAATTCGTTTTGCCGAGGTATGCGGAGACCACTGTCCAGTTGCACCTGCTCTTCCAACTCTTCAACTACAGCCGCCCGCATACTGCATCTCGTTCCCAGAGATGAGTCGCAGGATCCTTCAAGCCGCGCTCCATCTTCAGAGGACCAGGCCACCAACGGCTACCGTAGACTTTGCCCGTCAGTGAGGATCACGCACCATCGTCCGCTGACCGGTCGCTTAAACGTGCTCCAGTGTCAGGAGAACTCCCGAAGAGAGTGCAGTACCCGCTCCAGTGTAGGTTTGTTGATGAGGCGAGAGAAGGTACCGGGCAATCTCAGACCCTGCGTCGATTGTGATTGCTGACTAACGTCCACTCCCCCACACCTACATCTCCACCCGCAACACAAGAAGAGCGAGAGAACTCCATACGTGACATGTGAAGAGCCGTGAACGCTCAAGCAGTCGGTTTCGATCTGCCAGGGCTCCAATCGAGTTCACCACATCGCCGAAAACCTGTTGGAACGAGCCGCGAAAGCGTGTGACGTCATGTTCCGGACTCAACACCATGCTGACAGCTGAGGTACAAGTGCGAAGGTGTTCCACGTTTGAGCACGCCCCAAGTACACCAAAAATCCACTAATTAGATTCCAATCGACCTCGATCAAATCTTCCACAAAATGTCGGGCGAGCTCACCAAGAAAGAAGCCCATGCACAGCAAGTGCAGCAACAGTCGGCCTCCCAAGGCGCGCGCGATGTCGAGACACAAGAGCATCACGCCAAGGCCAGCGCATCCGGCGGTCTGAACTTGAACATCTTCGGCGCGCTCTCCGGCGTTCTGTCCAGCAAAAGCAAGAAGACGACACACACCAACGCCGACGGCTCATCGACAAGCGTCGAAGATAGGCACGATCAGGGTATGCACATCTCTCCTTCGCCGTTCTCGCAACCATCGTACGCGGCCATGGAGCTCTCAACGCGGGCAGTCTTTCGAATTACCCACTTGCGTGCAATGCCACACCGATCACTTTCGGTGCCCATCTCAACCCCAGCCTCCCATTACGTTTCCACGCCCTCACTGCCACGATGACCAACCCTCTTGCTCCCCGCCGCGCACTCTCGCAACTTCGTCTGGAAGCTCCCACCACCTCCCTCCTCCCATCCACAATCAAGCCCCCACTGACACTCAAACAGCAGCAGCAAACGCTCTGGCCAACGGCTCCGGACAAGCGTACGCCTCCGCGTCCGCCGAAGAAGGCGGCAAGAAGACGAAGGCGCGGGAAGTCGCCCAATCGGCATCGCAGGGCAAAGCAGTCAGCGCGAGCAAGAGAGTGGATCACCTAGGCATTGAGAGCTGAAAGGCGGGATTACCCGCTAATATGATGTGTAAACTCCGGTTCTCCGGCTGTTGCAGTCGTCGCACCTGTCTGTGATGAATTGCATCTCAATCCCCTGCCGTCCATGGGGTCGTCTCGGCCTGGCCCGACCGTATGCCAACGCAGGACCGCCCGAACAGGGTCCCGCAATGCTGTGTTGAACCTGGTGAGTGCTTGCTGACTCTGAACGGACGATGTGCATATCTGTAAGACGCGGGTTCCGAGCAGACAAGACGCACAGACACGCGAGCGCAAAGAACTGCGCGACGAGCGTCACAAACGAGTGACGCGCAGGACAAAGTAACACATCTCGTCCGCACATCTGCTGCTGCTCCAGCAACGCAAACAGCGCCATCACCACCACCCAGCGCAGAGCCGTCACCACCCAGCGCAGAGCCGTCACCACCCAGCGCAGAGCCGACACCACCCCGTCCCCGAGCACTGCCCAACAACAGCCCATCCACTCCACCAAGCCTCACGAACCCCACAGCTACTCCCCCATTCCAATCCGTCCCAGTACATCCCCAGTCCCCGCCATCCGCGCACCAGCGCAGAACCTGCAGACCTTTGTTCACGCCCAAGTCCCGCCATCAAACGACACCTCTTGAGCCCAGTTCCCGCGCGATACACGGACGCGCTGGACACCCAACGCCGGAGAGAAAGACGCAGACATCCCATAGGTGATAGGATAGACAAGAAGAGATGGAAAAGTACACAGCGGTCCATTGAAGAAAGCTAAGATGGGTATAGTAACGCTGAAGATGTACACTCCCATTGCAACAAAAAAAAAAAAAAAAAAAAAAGTATTACAACTACATTAAAAAAAAAGCTAATATCGTGATAAAACACAAGACCGCAACGCCATCGTCCCACAACTTTCCAATCCCAACAGCCAAAACACAAGGTATCAATCCTACCGCCCCCCAGTAACCCTACTAACGCCCTCCACCCCCCTCCGCGCGGCACCAACATGCCACGGCACAGTGCCCCACCGCGAGCCCCGCTCGCCCTTGAGCCGGGCCAGCACGCCCAGGGCCCTAAACTGCGCGAGTATCTCCTTGAGCAGGTTCTCGGCCGTCGCGCGCGTCTGCGGGGTGGGCGTCCACATGAGGCTGCTCGTGTGCTGGGGCGGCGAGAGCGAGGGGGTCTGCGGCGCGGCGGGCGCTACGGTCGAGGGGGCGGGGGACTCGGTGCCGCCGGGCGTGGGCGGGAATGGGCTTGCGGCGCGTGTGCTGCCCACGGCGCCGATCCAGAGGATGTTCACCGCGACGGTGACGGGGCCGTATTCGCGGGGGAAGTCGGGCGCGGAGGCGCCGGCAGCGGCGGGGCTGGGGCCGCGCTTAACGAGCAGGCCCGAGATGAGGGCGGGGCTGAAGTGCGTGGTGGAGTTGCTGTTGTGCAGGCGGTGCGCGAGGATGACGCCCCACGTCTCGTCCGTCACGTCGACGAGCCGGGCGTCCGGGTCTTGGGTTGGGTCGGGCGGCTCTGCGGATGAGGGCGTGGCGGCGGGCGTCAGGCCGAGGGTGGCATCCGGGCTGACGCCGGGGGTGGCAGCGGGCGTGTTGGGGATGCTCTGGCTGCCGGCGGCAGCGGACGGGGGAGTGAATTTGTAGTTTGGATTCGTGTCGACTGTGAGCAGGGTGATGAAGAGGTTCAGCACAGTCGGACACGAGATCAGGTAGACCCAGGACTCGAGTTCCTCGCGGTCCATGACGCCGGCGCGCGCGATGCAGACGCGCCAGTGCACTTTGCGGGCTTGCAGGATGGAGATGGTGGTGGCCCAGACCTCCTGCGCGAGCTCCTTGAAGGGACGCGTGCCCAGGTGGTAGGTGCTTGTGGCCTGGCTCTTGCCGCAGCTGTCGGTCCACGCAGCGGTCAGCCACGCACCGTCCAGGCTGATGGCGTAGGCCAGATGCATATACGAGTTCTCCTTGAGGAGGTCCTGGGGAGGATCCGACTGCAGCTTGAACGGTACGTTGCGGGGAATTGGCTCTTCAAGCTGGAAGGCTGGAGCAGAGGCAATGGGGAGCGGCGTTTTGTCGTTGGGTTCGGTGCTTGGTGGGCAGCGGCCGTACACTTCGCGTGCCAGGTTGATGTAGGTAGTGCTTGACAGGATGACTGGGTGATCAAACGAGGCAATGTACTTTATGGGTATGATTTGCAAGACGAGATCAGGCTTCTGCGGCAGACTCGGATGGGCTGACCCCTGACCATAGGTCTGGAAGAGCGTCCAGAACGAGGCACAGAGCTCCCAAAGCGCCAAAGGGCTGTCGAAGGGGTCGACCATGTAAATGATAAAGGCATCCAGCCGTTCTCCGAGTGTCTCGCGGACGTGAGCATGTCTTGCAGCAAGCGTCTTTCCCAGATGGATGCACGTATCTCGTAGCGCCGTGTATACGGCACGCGGGGCCGCAGGCGTGGGAAGCCTGCAAGGCACCAAGCCACTCTCGTACTCGCTCACCGTCTCGACTCGCGCATGGGAGCCGAGCTTGCAGCTGTCGTAGGCGAGCTGCATGTGGAGGAGGAAGCTCTCCAAGCAGGGCCTCAGCGAATCACTGTGCGGGTAGATGCAAAAGGCGGCGACGTTCTTCGGCCCGTGAACCGGCGCAAGCCCGAGTGGTTCCCAAAAGGCCACGGCGGGCGGAAGCAAGTCCCAAGGGGTGTCTGCTCGACGCACCCTGATGAAGGGTGGGTTGATCGGATAGATCTGACTGCCGGGCGTGGCCGCCGGGTCGTTTGGTGTGCGTGCGGGAACCCTCTGTTGGCCTTTGGGATGCGCCGACATGTCGGGAAAGACATCGTTGACTGCAGCCAGCGCAGGCAGCGTACAGTCTACGGCCTTTGGAAACAAGCCCTTGATGACGGCAGCCCAGCGCAGCTCCGTCGAGGGTCGACTGGCGTACTGCGGCGGTATGGCCGAGTCGTCTCCGAGAATGTCGAGCGTTGCCGAGACGATCTGCTCAGCGACCATCTGTGCAATGTTGATGCTGTCCGACCCGCTCGGGGGCTTCTCTTCTGCCATGTCAAACCCCATTTCAGAAGGAGAGGTCGGTGTGTCTGGTACCTGCCCTATGGGGTGCGGAAACAGTGGCATGGTGTAGCGAGAACCAATCGACGGTTTCTCGACAGGCGGAGGAAGCTTCAGCAGGGACCAATCCCAGCTGCTCGGTTCAAAGGTGAGAAGTGAGTTGTCATCTAGATGCAAGTTCTGAAGCTCAAGCAGATCGCCGCCCAGCGAGTCGGCAAAAGAGGTCACAGACAGTGGAGTAGCATTGCCGTCCGTGGGCAGTTTCCTCTTGGCTGAGACAATGGAGCCAGCGGTGAAAGACGTAGGCAGTGCGGGCGGTAGCTCTCCGTCGTCTTCGTCTGAAACGTCGGAGCTCATGCTGTCGGAATCCGACTCTGAGACGGAGTCGTCGTTGACACCCTGGATGGAGGGTGTGATTTTGGAGAGGCTGCCTGCAGATGCCACCGCGACGGCGCATCGCAGCTTTGTCAGCAGGGGAACGTCTCGCAGACTCTTTGGCCGAACCGGCTCAGTTGCGGGCGGAGACTTGTCCTTTGCTTCACTGTCTGCACGCGCGCCGTAACGCCGCCCATCCTGATACTTTGCGTCCGAGACACTCATCTTGCGGCTGAAAGACAAGGGGCCAAAGGCGCTTCCTCGGTCTTGGGCTTGGGCCTGTGGTATGTGCAGGGTCAGGGCTGTCTTTGGCGATGGTTTGAGAGCATCTCTGATCTTGTTTGGGCTCAGCGGAGGGGTCGGTGCTTTTAGAGGTGCTTTCTCGGCGTGTGTCTCTCCGTTCGAGTCGCTGTCGGGGTTGGGGGCGCCTTGCTCGATGGCGACAACGGCAGGAAGCATCTGCTCTTCCTTGACCAGTGTTGAATCTGCAGGCGGCTGATCCGTGGCGGCGGTGGCAAGCGCCTTCTCGAGCGCGGCCAGGGCATCGAATGCGTCGTCCTTGTCAACGAATGCGTCGTCCTTGTCAACGAATGCGTCGTCCTTGTCAACGAATGCGTCGTCCTTGTCAACGAATGCGTCGTCCTTGGCGTCATCGAATGCGTCGTCCTTGTCTTCTGCCGTGGCGTCGAATGCTTCGTCCTTGTCTCCTGCCTTGGCGTCAGCGATTGGGTCGTGCTTCTCGGCTGCCAGGACCACGTCGGCTTTTGCGTCTGATGTAGCTGGAGCGTCGGCCATGTCCACGTCTCCGTCGTTTGGCGGGTCGAAGAAGTCGAAATCGTCCTCGTCAATGTCGTTCTCTTGATAGGCGTCTTCGTCCATGTCGTCGCCAAACAGATCGTCATTATCCGTGGCGGTAAAGTGATGGTCATCCGCGGCGGTACAGTGATGGTCATCCGCGGCGGTGCAGTGATGGCCATCCGCGGCGGTGCAGTGACGGCCATCCGCGGCGGTACAGTGACGGCCATCCGCGGCGGTACAGTGATGGCCATCCGCGGCGGTACAGTGACGGCCATCCGCGGCGGTACAGTGACGGCCATCCGCGGCGGTACAGTGACGGCTATCCGTGGCAGATGCGGTCCAAGTCAAAGTCTGCTGCGGGGTCTCTGCTTGGGCATTGTCCTGTGGGGCGGACAGGGCAATGGCAGGATTCTTCTTACCGCCAGGAGCGAGGATGACGTTTGAAGCGGCACCGGCAACGCTCGGGGTGTCGCCGGCAAAGACGGAGGCACCGGGTGCGACGCCGTCTGGAGGTGTCGGGTAGACGCCGGTGGCGGGCTGGAGCTCTCCGTATGCACCTATCCTGGTGTTTAGTGGCGACGACGGGTGGAGGCCGGGGTTCTCTTCCTTGCGGTGAAGAGCGTCGTCCCTGCGGTGAAGAGCGTCGTCCTTGCGGTGAAGAGCGTCGTCCCTGTGGTGAAGAGCGCCGTCCCTGCGGTGAAGAGCGCCGTCCCTGTGGTGAAGAGCGCCGTCCCTGTGGTGAAGAGCGCCGTCCTTGCGGTGGAGAGCGTCTTCTTTGGCTGCCTTGGCTCTGCGCTGTGCCGCAGCCTTGTCCCGTGCTGGTTTGCCTGCGAACCAGTCCTGAGCGACATGGTATGGGTCTCTGAAGCCTGGCGAGTCGGCGGTTTCGAACCAGCGCAGAGCGCTGTCTGTGGCTGTGGGAGGGCCATCAGCGGCCGCTGTGGGCATCGCATCACTGGACGGTTCATGGTAGTAACACAACGCCATTGGCCACAAGACGTCTTGATCCGAACACAGGAGGAGCGAGCTTGCGGCTGCTGGTTGGCTATTGAACGTGGTACGTAGCCTGACCCAAGCGCTGCTGTTGTCCAGGCCGGGCAGGGAGTAGCCTTTCCATGCCAGCCACCGCTTGACCGTCTTTTTCCACCTGTCGACACTCTGCTCCAGGTTGGTGCGTCTCTGCCTCTTCCGGCGGGGCCGCTGTGCTGGGTCCTCGGCGGTGGGCTGGAGGGGGTCGTCGAAGCTCATGATCCTGGCGAGCATGCCATTGGGAGCGACGCGGACGCAGGTGCCCAGCAGCGCGTCGAGTTTGCGTCCCGACGAGACATGGCCCAGGCAGCAGAGGTCGGTTGTTCGTTCGGTCAGAGTGGACACGACCAGCGCACCAGAGCTGGCCCAGTGCAGGTCGAGGCTTGTCAGCCAGCGCGGCTTGCGACTGGACCCCAACTCGCGAGTGTGTTGGAGGGGCTGAGAGACAAAGGTGCGGCAGTTGAGCGAGGTCACGGCGCATTCTCTGACGAGCTCGAGGGTGATGAGGGCGACGACGGAGGACGTGAACAGGCCGTAGATGGCGACGCAGTCGGGCGGCGGCGGCGGCGGCGGGTGCTCTGCAGCGCCGGGCAGGCTGGCGGTCGGAGTGGACCGGGCGGCGGCGGAGGGGTAGCGGGCGGACAGCGGAGGGCGTGCGAGCTCGAGGGCTTTTGTGAGACCGGCTTGTTCTCCTGGTGCATGTCAGCGTGTCGCGACAACGACGCGGCATGCGCAGGCACGCACGTTGGAAGAGATAGCCGTCGACGGCGGGCAGGTCGGCCGGGCCAGCGCGCGCGTCCGCGTCCGTGGTCGTGGTCGTGGTCGCGGTCGGCGCGAACAGCCACAGCCACGGCCGCGTCGCATCGCGTACTATGAAGAGGCGGCGCCGGCGCAGCTCGGCCTCGACGGCGCGCGTGTCCTCGGACGGGCTCCCATGGCGCAGCGACGGGGCGGGCTGGGCCGGGTCGCGGGCGACGGAGAAGGCCTGGTATGCGACGGCTTCAAAGTCTCCCTGCGGGTCGGTCAGCGAGGGGGGGTGAGGGTGGAGGTCTGGCCCCAGGGACGCGCCACGTACGATGAGGTGCGCATTGGTGGTGCAGAGTGCGGGAAAGTCCATTAGACGGTCTGCGGCCCTCTATGGAACTCTCCGGTGGTGTTCGCGTTCGGGGTGCACTCGCAGGCCGGCGTGAGCCTTCATCAACTCCGCGGGGGTCGGGCTCCACAGGCGGCGCGGTCAGGCGGTGGTGCGGTGGTGCAGCGGTGCGGTGGTGCGGTGGTCGCGGTGGCCGCGGTGGCTGCTCAGGGCGTCGCGGGCGGAGGTTCGGTGGTTCGGTGGTTGCTCAGAGCTGCATCGTGTGGCCGCGTCGACGATAGCTGGGGCATGTCTGTCGCCGGGCGGGCCGCCGCGAGCCAGTGAGGAGCGATGAGTAAGCGCAAGACTGCAGCAGTGCAGCAGCGCAGCAGTGCGGCAGTGCGGCAGTGCAACAATGCGACAGTGCAACAATGCGACAGTGCAACAATGCGACAGTGCAACAATGCGACAGTGCAACAATGCGACAGTCCAACCATGCGACAGTCCAACAATGCGACGGTCCAACAATGCGACAGTCCAGCAATGCGACGGTCCAACAATGCGACAGTGCAACAATGCAACAGTGCAGCAGTCCGGCGACGTCGGCTGTCACGCGCGCAAGACTCAAGCTGCGAGGTGGGTCGGCTGGTCGTCGGCTGGGCGGCTGGGCTGGGGTCTGCCGCCGTCTGCGTAGCTCAGCCCTATCGATAGCGTCGCATCGGCAGCATCTTCGAAACTTTTTGGCCCTCTGCACCGCTCGCTCGCTCGCCCGCCCGCCCGCTCGCCCGTCCACCCACGCCGTCGCGCCGCCACGCCGCCATGAAGATTTCAAACTCGGCCGTGCCCGTCTACACCATCAGCGGCAGCGAGGCGCGTCCGCTGCCCGAGTGGCTCGTCCGCCGCCGGAAGCGCAGCCTGAAAAACGACGCCGAGTTTGCGAACCGCGTCGAGCTGCTGCAGGACTTTGGCTTCGACGAGGCCAGCCAGTGCGTGCGCGTCAGCGACGACGGCGACTGGGTCATGTCCACGGGCACGTACAAGCCGCAGATCCACGCGCACTACCTGCCGCACCTGTCGCTCTCCTTTGCCCGGCACACCAACACCCTCAACGAGACGTTCCGCCTGCTGTCGACCGACTACACCAAGAGCGTCCACCTGCAGGCCGACCGTGTCATCGAGCTGCACACCGCGGGAGGGCTGCACCACGCCACCCGCATCCCGCGCTACGGCCGCGACCTGGTCTACGACAGGCGCTCCGCCGAGTGTCTGGTGCCGGCCGTGGGCGTCAACGCCGAGGGGCTGGGCGAGGCCTTCCGTCTCAACCTCGAGGTCGGCCGGTTCATGCGCAGCTACGAAATCGACGTCGGCGGCGACGACCTGCTGGCGCCGGCCTCGCTCCAGGGCGCCGTCGACGCGGGCGCAGTCAACACGGCGGCCATTGCCGAGGACAGCCACAACCTGCTGGCCTTTGGCACATCGCTGGGCACCGTCGAGTTCTGGGACTCGCGGTCGCGGAACAGGGTCGGCATCCTGTCCGCGCCGCAGGACGCATTCGAGGGGCGCTCCGAGGTCACCGCGCTCGCGTTCCCGCGCTCGGGCCTGAACCTCGCCGTCGGAAACTCGACCGGTCTCGTGCACGTCTACGACGTGCGGTCGCCCACGCCGCTGCTGAAAAAGGACCAGGGCTACGGCTTCGCGGTCAAGAACATCATCTACCTCGAGAGCAGCACGCGCTCCCGCGGCCACGTCGTCGCCGAGCCCAAGATCCTCACCGCCGACAAGCGCATCATCAAGATCTGGGACCCCGCCAACGGCACCCCGTGGACCTCGGTCGAGCCCGCCGTTGACCTGAACCACGTCGAGTGGGTCAAGGACTCGGGCATGCTCCTCACCGCCAACGAGGGGAAGCAGCAGCACGCCTTCTTCGTCCCCCAGCTCGGCCCCGCCCCGAAATGGTGTGCCTTTCTCGACAACATTGTCGAGGAAATGGCCGAAGACCCCAGCGACCCCTCGGCGTTTGGTGCCGGCGCCGCCGGCCAGGTCTACGACAACTTCAAGTTCCTCACCACCGCCCAGCTCAAGACGCTCAGCCTCGACCACCTCATCGGCACCACCAGCCTGCTGCGCCCGTACATGCACGGCTACTTTGTCGCCCAGAAGCTGTACGAAGAGGCAAAGCTCATCTCCAACCCGGACATGTGGCA